CCTCAAGTCCTCCCCAGCCAACCCCTCCCCTCCCGTGCTCACCTTCGTCACCACCTTTGGCATCTACCCCTCCTCCTTCACAATGGGCGTACCCAAATCAGGCTCTTACCTCAAGAAGCTCAGCAACAACAAGGAAGGCATGGAACAAGCTCATCAATACGGTCGCTCCAAGGGTCTTCTCCTCTACTGGGCGCGCGAACTCGCCTCCCGCGTCTCCGCCACCGACAAACTTGCCCGCAAAGTCACCATCAACAGCGCTGATCCGGGCTCTGCATGGACACCTCTTACGAATCCTAACCAGGCGAAGCTGATTCCACGACTGATTATGAACTTTGGAGCGAGAGATCCGCAGATCTGCGCGACGGCTTTGGTGAATGGTGTTTCGGCGACGGAAGATGCGCATGGCAAGATTATGCAGGACTTTGACACTGCTGAGTAAGTGATCTGCACGATATGACGTGTTATGGTACTGATTTGAGATTTTAGGTATCCTCCTTTTATGGTGAGGAAGAGTGGGCGTGCGGCTCAGGCGCGTGTTTGGGAGGAGACGAGGGAGGAGCTTGAGGCGAAGGTTCCGGAGGTCAAGGCCATCTTTGACATGCTGGACCAGTAAAACAGCTGCGATGTGAAGATTACGACGACTTTGGGATCAAGTCTTGCGTGTTGAGGTCACAGTTGAGGAGGCGATGAAGTGTAGAGCATTGAAATGACCAGATGAGGCGTTGATCATTGCGCGTATCTTGGACGGGCCGCAAAGATTTGATGTGCATGGAATATGGTCTCGCTAGCGCGCCAGTGCATCTAAAGCAAAATTGAAGGTTAAAAACTAGTCTAACTTAAATGCCGGTCCATCGCCGCCTGTGCGACACGGCAGTTCATTTATTGGAAGAGTGACATTCACATCCATCGTCATCCCGTTCCATGCTGACGACTTGACGTGGCTTATCTCACACTTCACCAAGCCAATAACTGCAAGATAAGACCTTATTGTTATCTAATCTATGCTACTACCGAAGAGATCAGCCCTAGCGGGGCCAATCACAAAATATTAGCATAAACCCAAATGGCGACACGCGCCAAATAAGCCTCACAAGCTTGCGAGTCATTTCATGCGCACCAAAGAAAAGAAAGTCACGCGATACAGACATCGCATTGGGGAATTGTAAGTGTGACCTGTGTGTTGGTAGCCGAATATTTCAGTTGCCGAATTTCCAAGCGATGCTGTTTCAATTTGCCGGCGTTCCAGGGTAGGTAAAGTGGCATGCACACAGCCCCAATTGAACATTTCGTGATTTTTACCCGAGGTATCGAACGGACGTTGATGAGGGGAAGCGGCACGCGATAATTCTGTGATTTGTTCGGTGAGCGAAAAAAAAAACAGTGGCCATGGCATAATTGCGGGGAGATTGAGCGACGGCAATAAAACATGTCACTGCAATTCCGCTTCACTTTGCGTTGATCACCACCTTGGTCCATAATTCATTACAAACCAAACCTCAACAATCTCGATGCGCAAAAAACGCTCGCAACGTCTCTGCACATGCCGAAAAACTCTATTTTCCCACTCGGCATCTACCGAGCAAACTTAATCAGCGTCGCATGAAATGCAACGTCCAAGCCTCACTTCCAACGCGTAAAATGTCAGGTCAATTAAGCTTTTCGACACGAAGCTTAACTGAGTCAAAAAATCAGGACCCCTAAGCTCAGGGGCTTGGTTGCAGTTCCAGACTCCACGGTCTCGCCCACGATTAACCCGTCTTGGCTAGATCTTCACTGCTGATGTCGGGGTTGGGATTGGCTAATCCGTAACGAGGCATCATTTTCGAGATTAAGGACTCCACCCGCTGGGTCGATATACGGTAAACGAAAATGGATCCTTACCCAACAGACTCAAGGGCGCAGCACGACACACTACGCCGCCGCCAACCAAGTGCCAACTTTGAACATAGGGGCGCAAGCTCTCGAAACAGGAAGGCCCCGTGGAAATGGATGGACCCTGAGGCGAGGCGGATGGTCCGTTACACGTTAGGTCGTTGGTGGGAAACGGGGGGCGCTTTTTGCGGCGCGGGCTGGGGGAGCGTTATTTATCGGGGAGACGCCCAGTTTTCTTACTCTTGTGTCCGCCGCCGTCGTATTCCCCTGCCTGACAGTGTTGACCATGTTTCTGTGAATAAGAGTAGCAATACAAAACTGGGTGTAACAGTGTTAGGGCCGACTGCGTGGTAGCACCTACCTACCTACCTTCCACGTGCTCCTCTCAACAGGAACCTCCGCCTTCTCTTCTCTTCCCTTTCAGGACAAACACGCTTCACGATGGTCTGGTTCCAGAAGATAGGGTCGCTCATCTACTCCAAGCTCGCCAACAGACGGTTCGCATTCGCTCTCACGACTCTTGCTGTATGCGCCGCAAAGGGCGTCCATCTGCACAACCACCGATCCAGCGTCGCCCCCAAGCGCATGCTCCTCTTCTTCTTCTCCTTCTTCACCCAAGACATTCTCCTCCTGCTCCTCATCCGTCTGCTTCTCAGCCACTGGGTACCCAGCCATCCCGGCAAGCTGCGCACACTCATCACAGCGCTTGCATTCCTGCTGATAACGTACAATGTTGCCCTCTGCGTTGTTTCCGTCTCTTTCTACATCGTCGCTGGGTCTGAGATCCACTGGCGCAACATTGGCTTCATAGCTGACCCGTCGGCGCGGGCAATTATCTTTTCGGGGTTCACTGCGTTCCTGGGCGTTTTGTGTCTTTGTGCTTGTTTCAGTGGCGTTCTTCAAACGGCGTGCTATGGGCTTTTTGGGTGGGGAGGGGATATCGTTAATTGGCCGATCAACTTTCTTGCGAGGAAGCTTTGTTGCTGTTGTTTTGGGAGGAGGAACGCTTATGATCAGTTGTCGCAGAGGGATAACGCGCAGTGGATTGACAGTGAGAGCGGGTCTAGTAATGGCGAGTACTCTGAGGATGAGTACAAGGACAGGTCGAGATCATCGTCAAAAACACCGCGACACTCGGCCCGAGCGCTCAAAGGCGATTCACCAGCCCGAGGATCCAGACGCACCCGATTTCTACGCATATTGCCGTATCCCGTCGTCAGCATCCTCCTCACAGCGCTTTTCACACTCACATTTCTACGACCCAAGGATCCGTCTCTAATTTTCCTCTCATGGACCAGCGGCCTTTTACCTTTTGTCGACTTTGCATCAACATCACCATTCCTCGATGATCTTCCCTCTGTTTTCGGTAAAGGCATGCAACGAAGCTGGGACGAGCGCACTGCACTCGCTCAGCCTCCGTCTTTGAGCTGGCTCCCAAAGAATGCATTACCAAGAGGTTTTGAGGACTGGTACGAAGAAAAGACTCACTACAACGCTGAATTCGACCCACTGAAGATTTCGAACCTGGATGAACCTCTCCGAGAAACCCTTCGCGGCAAGTTGAAGGACATCAACATTCGTCACGTGGTGATGTTCTTTCTTGAAAGCACGAGAAATGACGTTTTTCCCATCAAGAAGGACGGATTGATCTGGAATCGATTCGCCGACACATTTCCCGACAAGAAGCTCCCGCAAGAAGTGCAAGACAAGCTGGCCAGTCTGACACCGACCGCGAATTACATCACTGGAGATTACGACGATGGATTTGAACATGCGGAAAAGCCGAAACGCGGTGGAATTCACTTTACGAATGCGCACACCGCCGGGACGTATACTCTCAAGAGCATGACCGGCACAGTTTGCGGTATCGCTCCTCTCGTCGGCGACTTTAACCTCGAGCACAGTCATCATATTTATCAGCCTTGTCTACCGCATATTTTCGAGGCAATGAACCAAGCTGAGGCATTGAGCGAAAAGACCAAGCGCGATGGACATTCAGGCACGAAATTGAAGTGGAATGACAACACGAACAAGGAGGACAAGTGGAACTCTTACTACTTCCAAGCTGCGACGCTCGACTACGACAATCAGTACAATCTCATGTCCGCGATGGGATTTCCGATGAAGAACACCATAGGGCGGGAGTATCTGCGCAGCGACAGCGCAAAGCATGGTCCTGTGACACTACCGAACATCAACGAGTTTGCATTCGAGGAGGATCCGTTGGAGGATTACATCACCGACATTTTCGAAGACGCAGCCAAGGCCAAGAGCCGTGTGTTTCTGACTCATCTGACGAGCACGAGCCATCATCGATTCCACATGCCCAAGACGGAGAAATACACGCCTTTGGCAAAGGGCCTAGACATGATGTCCCGCTACGTCAACACAATAGGCTACGACGATCGCTGGATCCGAAAAGTCCTCGATGTGCTGGACAAGCAGGGCATTGCGAACGAGACGTTGGTTATTTTTCAGGGCGATCACGGTACTTCGCTTCCTGAAAACGACTATGCTTCACCGTATTACAACCCCAACATCGGCGTTGATCACGTTCCGTTGATTTTGTCGCATCCTCAATTACCTCCGTTCAACGTAGACGACGCAGTCCACACGACACAAGTCCTCCCCACGATTCTCGACATCCTTCTCGAGACCAAGTCCCTCAGCCCCAGCAGTCACGCAGCAGCATCATCCCTCATAACCAACTACGAAGGCCAATCGCTCCTCCGACCACTACGCACACAGACCAGCGATAACAGCACGGGCCAGTGGCAGTTCACAGTGACGAACCCCGGACGAGCTATGCTCACGGTTCGGGACGCGAGGTTTCCGAATAGACATCTCGTCGTGCCGGTGATAGAGAACGTGGACTGGAGATTATCGGATCTGGAGACAGATCCGCAAGAGCATGAGTCTGTGCAGGCGTTGGATTTTAGGGAGTTTGTTGGGAGTGTGGAGGGGAAGTTTGGGAGGGATGTTGCGGAGTGGGCGGAGGAGGGGGCGTTTGTAACGAGGTGGTTTGTTAAGGAGAATAGCAGGCGTTGGCGTTTTGATCACCAGGGGTGATATCATGACTATTATGGATGACTAGATATTTTAATATTATGCGTTGAATTTCTTCTTCGATGACTGTTTATTGCTATAGGTTTGCGAGAGTCTCTGCATCGCTCTGCTGCCACGGATGTATCCGCTCAATTGACTTAATTAGCTTACGATGCTCAGAAGATCGCGGCTTGATCGCAGTTTCGAAAGGCTTCGGATGGCTAACAACTCCAGACGTAAACTCAGCCTTGGGCACATCACCTCCCTCTTTCACCTTAATGTCAAACACAGCAAGACTCTGCGCCATGTTGAGAAACAGCGTCTTGTCAGCCATGGCCTGCGCCGGGCAAATTCTTCGACCAAAGCCAAAGACAAAACGACCCGGGTCTGTCTCAGCCTCCGGGCCAAGGAAGCGTTCTGGTTCAAAGGTCATTGGATCGTGGTAGAGTGTTGGATCATGACAGATTTGCCTTGAAGCGGTGTCAGTCATCCTCTGATAATGGGGTGCGATGATGAGCCTACCAGATATTCGGGAGTATCATTGCGCCTTTTGGGATCAGATAGCCGTCGATAAGATCGTCTTGTGAGGTTGTATGGGGAAGACACATTGGTCCGACGGGATGCCATCGGAGGACTTCCTTCACGAGTGCGTTGACGTATGGTAAGCTTTGTCGATCAGATAACGTAGGCAAGCGCTCACTCCCAATGACTTCGTCAATCTCACACTGGGCCTTCTTCTGGGCCTCGGGAAAAAGTGTCATAGCGAGAAAGAAGGTCGTGATCGCAGAGACAGTCTGGTTCAAGGTCAGCTGGGTCACACCGTCTTGATACTCAACATACAGTATCCGCACCTGCAGCGTACAGAGATGCCGCTAGCCACTTATTCTCAGAAACGTCCTCATCTGTCAAGCCCTTCTTCTGCATCAGCTGAGACATAAACGATGTGTTATCCTTGCCGTTGGCCATTTGATGCTCTACGAAAGCTGCGGGATCCTCAACCGAACTCTCGAGGTTAGCCCTCCACTGCTTCGCTGTAGTTTTGAAGCCAGCTCCAGGGAACCAGTCCGGGATATATTTCACTATATGAACGGGTTAGAGCGCCGTTATTCAGTAGACTTTTGTCATCTTACGGATCGGGACGAGGTCAACCATAAATGCCCCAGGCTTGGCCGCGATGCCGAACTCATCGACGACCTTTCGTACAGTACTGAGTAGAGGATCAGGTCTGAACTGCTCAGCGGTGTATCCATACACCACTTTCAAAATTACAGAGCCAGCCTGTCTGAGGAAATGTCAGCACTGGCACCCGATATGTCTGAGCCAAGATATACTTCTGAATATGCTCGACTAAACGGTCAGGGTCTCTCAGTAGATGCAGAAGAAAATGTCCGACTTCAATCTCTTGTATAACATCGTTCGACTTGACGCTAGCTTCGGACTTGAGGCAAAGGTGAGCTTTTTTGCGGTGACTTCGAAGCTGGTCGCTATATGGAAGAAAGCTCAGGGTTTTGTCCCAGCCAACCCTGCTACTTGTGAGCAGGCAAGTCTAGTCAGTAGGGGAATGTATGCGCACATTTCACCGGCGAAGGTCATCTTTGACCTACTGGAATGTTTGGCTGACCGATCATTGAGGATGGTCTGAGCTAACTTCGCATCGTTAATGATGATCAGGGTTTGGTCGAAGACAGTAACGGAACTAATATTTCCTGACATTTATCTTATCAATACGTGAGGGGATATTGGGTTTAAGCAACCATACCGTACAAGTCTTTATGCCTGGCCCAGTGGTGCGCCTCGAATTGTCCAGCTCGTGGGAGATCTAGTACATTGCTGACAAGAGGAAGACCCCGGGGCCCGGGAGGAAGCTGCGCACTACGCAATGTCTTGGCAATGAGCTTGGTGACGCATATGTACAAAAGTGTTATAGCACCGGTATAGATAAGTAGTGTCGTGAACTCCATGACTGCAGAACACTCAAGGATAGATAGAAGCAGTCGTCGCAATACAGAAGAGGAATGATAATCATTATGACCGAATATAGGCCTCTGGCAGTACTCACCTTTAAAGAGCAGAGCATCAAGGACAAAAGCCCAGGCTCTTTACCGCTATCTCCAACCAGTAACGGTCAACTGAGTGAAGCGACGCCTTCAGTCAAGAAGCGCCTCAATAATGCTCACCTTACTCCCCCATGATCACAGAGTTCCGGTTCAAATGGATGGTAAGCCATGCGCCAAGTCGTCTTTGCAGACAAACATTTCCACCAACGTAGCGCTACCATCTGATTGTGTTACATGAAGCCCGCACTAGTGTCGCCGACCAACAAACTGGCTTAATGGACAACATTTGACTGGCCATTTCAGCACGCTACGCACAACTTGCAGAAAAGTTTAGGTTTGATCTTGAGATGAGCTGGCGTGGCTTCTATTGTTTGTTTGATCAGGATGATATTGCCTGCGACATGACTGGTGGATTGGCGAAGGGGCTTGATCACTGAGTCGTGGAAGGAGTGTAAGAAATTTATGCCGTTTGTCTGAGTCATATTACGATCAGGTTTTCTAATTCGTTCTTAGAAATGTGACAGGTTCGATGTTAGAAGGGCTAGTGTCCGATATTGACCTTTTTCTGAGTTCTTAGAAGCCAGGAAAAGGTATTTGCTCGCCAACTCTCGCCTTGTGCGACAATTCATATTCCTCCAAAGCCAAGGACCAATTTGTCAAAGGAGCGATGCCAATCCTCGGTTGTATGGAGTACATATCATCCGACACGTAGTCAAAAACTGCCAAAACGTTGCGGAGAAATGGAACGCCCAGTATTGAGTCAGCTAACGAAAGGCTCTGTGCGTTGACGGAAGCCCGACACCTGAAGCAATGTTAGGCCTGGTCAGTCGTCGTTACATAGCGCATACTCACATTTGTGTTCCATTTAGGGTAAACCAGTCTCCTGGAGTGATCAAGTCAAGGGGATTGATGTCAACCCATTGGCCATTTATCTTGATCTCCAAATGCTGTGGTTTCGAGCAATCGAATGAGACAACCAAACCCGATGATTGCGATGGGCCGATGATGTTGTTTGCGATCTGGTCGAACACTATGCCACCGACAGCCATAAATGACGTCCCACTGTCTATAGCTGCAATATACGGCGAGCCTGAAACAATACCTACTTCGTATTAATTCTGGTTTTGCAAGTCATCGGGACAACTGGGAGATTGTAGAGGACGTACCACTTGCCGGTAGGGAAATGTTTCTGCCGTTGAACCTCATCCCATCAACCGTAATAGACCAGAGCTGTGGAGCCGGAGGGGCCCCCGGATAATTATAACTGATAACATTTAGCAAGTCTTTTTCTCCAAAACATGCGGTAAATACTTACTTCGGGCTGTCTACTATGTCGCTGTATGTTATCCTCCGTCCATTCGAGGCTTCCTCGTCAATGCCACCTATAGTCAGACGACCTTCTTTAGAACTGTCTGGATCCGCGTATCGTGGAAATACTGTCGAGAACTTGGGTGCAAGTACCCTTTCTTGTGCTACCAAGGTGTCGAATGGTGGTAAGTTTTGATACTGGTAGAACTGCCGAGAAACATTCCGGAGACCCATGCCGAGTATTCCAGAAAAGCTTCCATTCTGAAACTCCGTTTTAACCGCATTATAAACAAGACCTGTTTATGATTTCGTCAATTTATCCTTCTCAGTATAGTTAACTAGGAAGCAGCTTACCGACACCCAAGTCTCTCGCAATAATGTCCTTCGTACCAAATTGGACATCCAAGATAGACTGATTGCCAAATACTGGCCCTGTCCCAACAATTGTAAAGAAAGTTTGGTTCGCTGGCATATTTGTCGTTGGCTACATACATGTAAGCTTATCGGTTACCAGCCAAACAAACACGGTTCCTTATTCTCAGAGAGGAACTTTTACCTGGATCTCGAAAGGCGTGCTGTTGTAACATCCACTGGTGGGAGTGTTCGGGCACTCGTTGGATACAAGAAACAGATCGGCGGAGCCAGTATCAAGCATAACAGGCAGCTTTTGGCCATCGCACGTCAGCTCCACGGAGTAATAAGTATCCCCAAGTTGCGTCACGCTGGGAAACTTGATTGGCAGTGTCTGTACTGATCCAGGCCCTGGACCAGCCAGAGCCTTTTCTTGATTGTAGGCATTACTTCCAGCAACGACGTCGCTGCCAATCTCTGTATGCGGGAGACTCAGTGGAATAGACGAGAGAGCACACTTGATGACCGCTGTCTTATCATTTGAAGAAGTTTTGGGGTGATCGGGCTTGAAGTAGATGTTGAAAGCAACACATTCTTTGTTGCCGTTACACCGTTCCGCACAATCGTCAACGTCGTAGTCGACCAAGGTGAAATCTTCCAGATAACCCTCTGGGCTAGCCAATACATCGGTGTTGACAAATGCCGCAGCATATCCGAGTGGCGTAAGAGCAGAACTGGCTGACTTGGAATAAGCTGAGCCGTTGTCGGATGCACTCGCTCTCGATGTCAACTTAGTTGTTCCGGCTACTACTTGAGTAGCCAGAAACAATAGGAGAAGTGGATGCATATTAAAAGTCTGCTTTCAGGGAGCTTGGTAGCGGTTACTTAGAACTTGTGAGTAGAGAGAATACTGAATCGTATCATGCTCTTGTTATAGGTTTGCTATATCTATATACAAACCAATTCTACTCCGCATTATCCGTATCCTATGCATATTTTATTTCTCATACTCCGTATTATATCAAGTACCCGCAATCATTACAACGCTGCTGTGATGAAGCGGGGTTCCGGATAGTCGGACACATATTAAACATGATTCAAAAGCAGTAATTGGTAGGCTAATTCAAGGTAGATAACGATTGATGCCGATCACAAGGGTCTCAATACGAACTTCGGAAACGTCATTCTATTTATAAGTCAGACGCGGGTATACGGCAACTATGATTCTTTGCCTTACGGCCTGCTCGGATAACTCTGGATGATTGTGCACCCCCCATCGATCGAATCGAAGCGCCAGTAGATATATCGGAAAGCACGTTGTATGATAAAGAAGAGATCAAGGTTCTTTAAGTTTCTGAAACAACAGGCCCTTTCGGCAGAGGTACTCGACCCCAACGCCTGGCCAATGCGGAGGAATCAGGTTCTCGGCTGCAATAAGGTTTAGAGAGCAGCAATGCCCTATTTCTATTTGCTGCAGCGTGTGTTACAGGCCAAGATACAGTGCAGTACAACTACCGACTACAACGTTCGGCTTACGACCCCGCTCTTGTGCCGAGTTAGTCATCGCCTCAGGCACGGCAATTGCCCTGCATCTGATCTGATGTGAGAATAAGCGATCTGACAGGCAAATGAGAGAATTAATAAAGAAGCCCTTGGCCATTTCTTTCAAATAAGCATAATTCACCATCAAAATGATCCCGACTGAAGATCGACCTGTCCTCATCATAGGCGCTGGCATAAGCGGTCTGCTTCTTGCACAGAGTCTATCGCGCCATGCCATTCCCTTCCGTGTATTTGAACGCGACACGGATCTTGAAACACGTGGTGTAGGATGGGGTCTTACTCTTCTCTGGACGCTGCCCGTGTTGAAAGATCTTTTGCCTAAAGATTTGTTCGATCGGTTGCCAGAAGCGTATGTTGATCGAGAAGCTGTGACCCAGGGCCTGTCGTCCAGCTTCCCGTTCCTTGATCTGAGCACAGGAGAGCTCAAGGCGTCGGTACCTAAAGCGCCAGAGGCAGAGCGTGTTCGAGTAACTAGGCAGAGTCTCAGAGCCTTGCTGGCCACTGGGATTGACATTGAGGTACGTTACAGTGCTGAGTCTAGTTTTACTATGCTGACACTTCCGGATGCTAGTGGGGTAAAGGAGTTACTGGCGTAGTATCGACGGACGACTCTGTCACTGCTTCATTCGAGGATGGAAGCTCAGCGACTGGTAGCTTACTCGTCGCCTGTGATGGAAGTCACTCTCGAGTGCGTCGCTCACTGTTCCCCGAGTGGAACCTCAAAGACATTCCCGTTCGAATGCTAGGCATCAAAATGGAGATGTCACCTTCACAGATCAAGCCAATTCGCGACCTTGATCCGTACTTCTTTCATAGTACCAACTCGAGAAATGACACCTTCGTATACTTTAGCGGTAAGCCAATCAACTTTGCTCTTTCTGTGAGTGTTGCTCATGGCCGTTAGTTCTCGACGCGCCAGGCAATCACGCCGATACCGACCGTCCGTACATCGGACAACTTTGTATTTCATGGCCGTTTCGGGAAGGGTTCCTGAACAGGTCTTCTCCTATCGAGATCCCAGATACACCAGAGGAGCAGTACAAGTTGGTTCAAGAATTGACTTCCACCTGGGCTGAGTGCTTTCAACCGCTTGCATCTGCAGTCTCACTGGATAGCGAAATGAAAGGACTCAAGATACAAGACTTGACACCTCCGAAAGACTTCCAAACCACTGGCCGAGCTGTACTCATGGGAGATGCTCTTCACGCAATGGCAATGTGTAAGACTCACATTTCCCTCTTTGTATACCTGTAGCTAACAACAAAGACCGGGGAGAGGGCGCAAACCATGTCATCTTCGACGTCAAAGACTTTGTGGAACGAGTTGTTCCTACTCTCAAAAACGATGGCAATTTGAGATCCGCGCTGGATGATTATGAACGAGGAGTCATTTCCCGAACGCGTCCAGCAGTGTTGGCTTCTAGGCGAGCTTGTCTCGATGCACATAACTGGAAGAGGATCAGCAAGACTAGTCCATTGCTGACAAAGCGTATGCCGTACATAGAGTTTGAGGAGACTGACGAGGTTGAGGTAACACATAGACTGTAGGAGAAGGGGTAATGCATAGTTCTAACCGTCGTTGCACTGATCCTCAACAGTCTTCTTGCCCTTAATCTGATCACGTGTAGTGTGCTTCTCAGACCGAACATTTCATCTGGGAGGACAGCCTCTTCCCCAAGCAAGGAGTTAAAATGCTCATCTTGAGTAGTCAAGATATAACCTAAAATAACTTACTAAAGTATTTCTTTAAACCATGAGAACTAATATGCAATAATTACAATCGAATCTCTCCGTATGGTATAGGCCGGTCCTCAGGCAGTTTCCGCCACTCAAAGTTCTCCATCACCATCGGGCCCCATCTGGGGACATGCCTGAATGACTCAAAGTCGTAGTCATACGCCATATCTCCAAAGACAAGTTCAGCTATGCAACGGTCCAACCCAACTCCCCTGTAGTGCGCCATCAATGCGTCCACATTATTCAGATGCCCAGGATAGAAATTCGACTCGAAGAACGACGTCTTATTGCAGAGATGCGCCAGAGCGCCGGCATGCCCTTCAAGGAGAAACTTCATATCGTATAAGTAATCGCCCGCCCAAGCGCTATTGGGATCTTCTTTTAGAGCACGGTCCAGGATCAGCCGCCTAGCCTCTTTCTTGAGGACCTCTTTTTGGAAGAACGCAGAGCATAGATCCCCGGCATCTTCCCCATCCAGGAGCAGGGTGTAGGAACCATCAGGCATGCCAGCATCTGGGAGATACATGGCTTCTGACAGGCAGTTACCAACCACGGTGTACAGATTCATACCTGCGAATCTGAACATGATCTCTGCAGACCAATTGTCCTCCTCGACTCCAAATTCAGACATGTAAGCACGCTCGAAAATATTTCTTACCATGCTAAACTTGTGTTTGATCCGCAATCGCCCGTTTTCTTGGCAGAATGGAATAAGACCTATAGCATGCCCATCTGGTTCGCCTGCGGATACGCGATCTTCGTGAATGGTAATATTGCGAAGAGACGACCTCTTGTTGATAGGTAGGGCATCAAGGAAACATATAGCCGCTGAAACTGCAGAGAAGCGGTAGACTGAGCGATACTGCATGTTATGGCGTCTGCTGGTCTTCCACGCAGTCATTGAAGGCCATGCCTCGTGCTCTCCAAGCCTAGATCCCATCTCTTCAAGATCGGACAATAATGAAGGGAAACGCCAGGGCTCGTAGCATCTGTTGAGAAAGTTCGAGAGCCGTGCACCGCCGCTATTCTCCCAACCGACAAGGCTCTCGTTGATAGTTTTTATAAACTGTTCACCCGAGCGTTCACAAAGAAGCCGCAAAGTGAACTCGATAGCTTCTCGATGCGCAGATCGAGCTCGGTCGTTGGGGCAGATATCGAATCGATCTCGCCAACCCAGTCCTGGGTTGTTGTGGTAGGTGAGTGCGCTGGAGAGACTGGCAACAAACCATGGAAATCTTTCTTTAACACGGAGCTGAATTTCTGGTGTAATAAACGGGCTTAATTGAATGAGGAGTTGGATCTGCTTTCGGAACTGAGCAGCGACTAGCCAATTGAAACGGCATAGCCATACGCTAAGATCTTTCTGATAGAATGTCTTGAAACAGATGTGGTTGTACAGGAAAGGCATTTCTTTGGTCTCTCCAGCAATGAAGCGGCATGTATACATGAGGGCAAGGTCGATAGGCTCGCCGTTGGCGGCAGTGAGTTTGCGTGAGGCTGCATTGAAATGGTAGCCTTGCTTAGTGGTGAAGTAAAATTTGTAGACCATGTGCCGCAGTTCGCACGGGAGACTGAGAAAGGGTCGAGGAGCCATGGTGTCGGGAGTGTAGGCAGCGAGGGGGTTTCTGTTTTGGGAGGTCTTGTAGAATCAAAGTTCAGGGGTTCACGTGATATGGAATCTTTGGCGAAGTCAAACCAGGGTCGATATGCGTTTTGTGTCCCCCGAGCTGGATCCTAAGGGAGAGGAGCTGGCACTTATTTATACACCATGTGGCAATGTTCTCATAGAATTTAGCTTTTCTGTCAGAAGTCAGACATTAGGGACATTAGGCAACAGGTGGGTAAGTCGTGTACCAATCTATGGTTCTTTATCTTGATTTGTTGGAGGGGGCATCTAAGTTTTCTGGTGAATTAAGCTCACAGGCACAAGTGTCAACAGCAAATAACATACCTAGCTCACGACAGCATCTTTAAGCCTCTAAACTTTATCACAGAAACCAGACTTGATGCGCAGTACAGCTTCAGTAGCAGTAATTAAAGTTGCAGAGTGTAGTCACTGGGCTACGCCACGCATCATTAAATGAGGTCTGTCAACGCAGAGTTCTTGATGCCTGGCATTTGAGTTTCACTGGTTGGCGCAGCAGGCTCGCCACATTTAGATCCGAGAATTACAGCATCTCAGAGACGGACGGATAAATGATTGCGATTCACAATGACTATAACCTTTGTTAAGGCTATGCGCATATTGCCTTCTAAAAGCTAAAGTTAAATGGGATTTTTCAGTGTGGTGGCTTGATATGCCTCGCTGAGGCGTCATAAGCTTCAAGTATCAATCAACAATGACCAACCAGCTGAAGAAGGTCTGCCATAAGGTCACCGAAGACCAGAAGGGCACAGGGAGTCGATGTCTAGCAGATGAGTCCGTAGATGAGGCACTTGGAACAATTGAGAGGCTCGCTTGCCGCAGTACATTAGTAGCCAGAATTCTCTATAGGAATGTCCTGCTGTGACACGTTTATTCATATTTCTCAACTATGGATAATGGCGGCCTATAAGGTTAAGCTTTAGGCTGCAAACACAGATAATGAATGACAACACGATATTTTTTTTTCCCCTGATATAAGCTTTTACCTAGAAGCTTTCACGATGACCAATAAATCTTGTTGCAAGCCCTAGGGCATTGCGGAAGAGACCAAGATATTTCTCAACTAAACCCAACTAGATCGGAGTCGCATATTGCTGGTGGCTGCTGGTCACGATGTTTTGTCGTATTGTGGATTTTACTGGCAAAGCCTGATGATGATGCTTGCAAGGATGGCTACAACTGATTGATTCGTAAGGCGTTGAGAAACATGGCCTACTTCCTCTTCTCCAGAGTATCAAGCATCTCCAACAGTGACGGGAGAAACTCTTTCGTCTCACATCGAAACCCCTCATGGTGCCCAGGCACCGTCATCCTGGGACACTCCAAAATCTTGGCCTGCTCCTCAATCGCTCTCGCGTAGAAAGCATCTTTACATCGGACACCTCTCATCACACCAACACTGACCCCGTGCTCCTTAATCCGAAACATGTTGGGACAGTATCCAACCAACGGCGCCCATTCGTATTCCCAAAAGTTCTTCTGATTCCTTGGGTCAGGCGGTCCAGCCTGGGGAATGCCCTCAGCATCATACCCAATGAGACATTTCTCAAACTCTTTAGCAGCAGCTTCTTGACCCTGCGTCTCGAAAAGTTCTAGAAGGCCGTACATCCACTCAAGAATCTGCGTTGCGTCTGGTAGAAGCATTGCAAGACCGGCTTCGTGAGCGATCAAATGAACGACCATTTCGGGAAAGTCATGGGCGAATTGGTATGCGAAGATACCACCAGAACTACTGCCAAAGAGAATAGCTTTATCGAAACCGACGGCTTTGATGACGGCACGGATGTCGCGAGCTTGTTGAGGAGGACTGAGGCGTTTGTTGACGGGGACTTGGCTTGCTGACATTTGGCGACGATCAAAGGTTGCGCAGGTGAATCGGTCTGATAGAGCGGCGATGATGTTGTTGAACTGCATTCCGTGGCCGTTTCCACCGGGGATGAAGATGATGAGAGGGCCGGAACCTTGATACCAGTAGTGGAGATCACATCCTTCGTTGTGGACAATGCTTCTCGTTGGGTTGAACTCCATTGTTGGCCGTTGCGTTAAACTTTGGTTGACGACTGATAAGAGGTCTATTCAATCACATTTTCGGAAGCATTGGGAAATGTCTTTTGCTTCTTATAACCTGAGCTGAATGTTGAACTCGGTCACTTCTGAAATCCGAGAAGACACTGTAGGAATTAGCCTAAAGGCAAAGAGCGGCGTGAGTCAGGCGGTCATTATGCGATTTATAAGCCGTCAGATTCATTGCCAAGGCTATCTCGAATCCGGGTTCTCATAACGGCATTCCCGCATGATTAGAGTGATAACCATGTAAAAAACCCGGAATTGAGTCTATCATGAATAGCAGAGCACTCTCCACCCCATGCTGCTGATGAAGTCTTGAGCCAACCTTGATTACTGAATATGGCTATTTATCCCGCTCAAGCTTACGGTCGGTCACTTCCGATCCATATAGGTCTGCTCAGATCTCGATGGTGGTCTCGTCAGTGCGTGAAGCATTACCCATGATCCTCACGGTTTTGGTATCCCGAAGCCACTCAACAGTCAATTCACCACCCTCCTTGGACTGTTGTAAAGATCGCAGCGTGTTTCCAGTGAAGTCGGGATGGTGCTGCTTGAGACGCGCAGTAGTTTCGGCGTTTGATAGGACATGAGGAATGATTGCGCGATGGGCAGAGCCAGTCTGTTGCTATTAGTAAATGTGTCTAAAGGCAGTGTAACGCACTTACTGCGGCATCCTCATGGTTATTTCCTCCGATGCAGTTAATGACTCGAGTATGAATATGCTCCGAAGGGCTTGTAGAGACTTGGAAAATGTAGACGAAGCCATTCAATGGAGCCTGCTTAGTTAGTTGTGCGCTGTCAATGATAGTGATGTACTGACTAGTTTGGAAGCATTAAACTTCAAAGCCTTGAGGTCAAGCTCAGGGCTAAACTCAAGCATGAAGTACTGATCTTGCTCAAAAACCTCAACAGGCTCTCCTGTGCCCTCCCACTTCGACCCAGATGCAGCTTCAAACAGGCCCTTCAATTCTCCCCATCGTTCGCTATCCTTTGACACGGCAGGAAGATCAAGCAGCTCCGGAAACTCAATTCCTACCAGCTTCGTATCTTCAAACGGACTCTGGTTTAGAGATGCAGAGGCAATACCATGAAGTCTGGTTAGGTACCTTAGCGTCTGCGGCGCGTTAGGAAGAGTACTAAATAGGTGCTGCGACAAGGCGAGAGTGGCATGGCCACAGAGCGGCGCTTCGTTGACGGGATTGAACCACCGGACAGCGTAGTGAGCTTTAGCCGACTCATTCTCCGGATCAAGAGGGAGCGCAAATGCCGTCATTGGGAGGCCAATGTTTGTCGCTGTCTCTTGAAGCTTTGAGGCGGGAGGGAACAGCTCGTATGGAAACTCTCCATTGCCATCTTGTGTGCCTGACGCGGGCTTCGGCAGGACAATCACGGCTGCGGGATTGCCCTGCGCCCTTGCCGACGCAAAGGCTTGGTAGGTGGTTTTCGTAAGAGAAGCCATCGCGATTTGCTTGTAATGATGTTCAATTGCAATTTATTGAGAGAGATTGAATGGTAGACTGACGAGAAGTATTTATTAGTTATCAAGATATCATCTTAAGGGCGTAAGTGACTCATCCTGACCCCGCAAATTGACTATTTGGAGATAGTGTCATACCTATGAGTGGGCACTGGCATCGTTCCATGAGAAGGCGACGACATGCAACTATTTACTTAATCATTTTAACTACATCAAAGGCTTAGTATATATCTCTCTTGTTTTCAATGGTTCAGCATCAACTATAGGTCCAGTCAGCTTGATAATCACGGCTTGATAAGCAATGAAGCTGTTTTCGGTCTAAGTATGTCGATCCCGACGCTAACCGATAGCGTTTTACAGCAAGTTTCCGCGATAATATTATACATAAATCACAAATATGATAGTACCAGTAAGAGTGTGCTCATTTTATGCGCCGGTCCATTATACTGCTGATCATCCATGACGAATAACGACCGGATGTCTCTTTATTGGCCGGAGATTCCAAGGTCAAATCCAAATTCTTTTCCGACATCACGTAACTCAACAACCTAATGCCATGCCAGGGTTGGACAGTCTGAAAGTTGGCTCCCGTGAGGCAGTTAGTAGACCGTCTTCGACCCGCAGTGCCAGCGTGATGCCGCGCTCAGATACAGAGCAAAACAGTTCCGAACGGCGTCTGGAGAGATGTGCCCGGTGAGATGGGTACCCTGGACCAAGCATCAAGGCTCTGATTAGCTTTGTCAGAATACAGAGATTCTTGAAGCACTCACATGTTAGTTGTGACCGTCTTCGGTACCATGCATGTAGAGCGTAAAGGGTTGGCGGAAGAGCAACTACCAAGCTGACGATTGCAACAATAATCTCGGGTTTCATTTTGGAGAGGGCTTTTGATAAGGGTACGATCAAAATTACCAAAGTCTTAAAAAAGCTTACTTATGATATTTATTTGTATGACTTAGTGAGGGTGAGTCTGGCTTGTTTATATGCCAAGTCAATGGCAGAGATCAACGTGAAGCCGCATTTGTAAATCTACACTACATCTAATCAAAGTTCATTGAAACAAGTGAAACGATCCAAGATGTCGGATTTCGGTGATAGCCTATCATATGAAGTCCAGGAAATCACAGTGGAGTCGGATTTCGGACAGATCCAATTGAAATACGGACGGTCAAGTGACGTACTGTCCAAGTAGAAGCCATGGCTGCAAGATTCTGGTCTGGACGAATGAGAGCGGTCAGGTCACGCTGCCGTATGCAGAGTAAGCCCAGCTGATGAGATTCTGGACACAGCCAATGAAAGATTACTGGGTCAAGCACTAAAATTGGAATGAGACTTGCCAACTTGGCAAGCCACTCAGATTCTGGATTAGACGAATCAGAACAGCGAACGCAAAGCCTCGTCAGGCATACAAGGGGCAGCAATGCCTTCACCGAATCTCCAATCTTCCTCCTTCAACAACTAGACTCTGTCTGCCGTTCTTATACACCTCTATTGTGCTCACCCCTAGCACTTTCATAGTATTTCAACCCCGTCAACATTGCCATGGGTGCGACAACAACGTCATACCCCGGTGAGGGGGACTGGCTGAAACACCAAAACATGATCCGATATGAATATCTGGTCAAAGACACGTCGCTCAAAGATTTGGTGATTTTGCTGAGAGCTCAGGGATTGAATGTAACGTTTGTATATTATGGCCTTGATTTAAAGAAATGTCTCTGACCAGATACTAGAAAGGCACAGCTTGAGTATAGGCTCAAGAACTGGAACCTCAGCAAGAACATCGACAAGGAGACATGGCAATACATTGATCGGAAGATCAGAAAGCGCAAAGATGAGGGAAAAGACAGTGATGTCATACACTGTGGCAAGAGGTTGAAAAAGCTCAAGGTCACGAAAGAGACGAATCGTCATCGAGAAACCAATATCTTTGCTCGATTCAAAACGCGTTAGTAAATTCCGTATTGAATCATCAAGCTTTAAGTTAATCATGTGTCGCAGCTCCGCCTTCGCCTACGAATCTACAGCTTAGCATTTGTACTCCACCGGCATTGCAGATGAGCAGTAACTGGCCGTTGTCTCTCCCGTGGATCAGCTTACAAAATAGCAAATGGAACAGTGAGTCATCTCAGAGGTAGCGCATACAAACTATCTTACAGCTGTTCTAATAGTCACGATCAACTCTGCTGCTTCCAAGGGTGTGGCATTACAACATAAGCATCAGGCTGATATTGCGACGTCACTGATGATGTCAATGTTGGCTCCTACCAAAGACAACCGCTCTGTCACCTTGTCTAAGCTAATAGCGGGTGCAAACAATTTGATACCGGAATGGTACCCAGGAGAGCACGAAGAGACTGCTCAGAATATGCTCGCTGGTCCCTCGTTCAAGTCTGCCTCCGAATGCTTCAAACTCATGGTATACATGATGTCAAATTCGATGCTGTTTCAGGACAGAAGACACCTGGAATTCATTTTCAGCCTCATGGGAAATGGAAGTTTAGATACCTTGGCCGAATTCAAGAAACTCCGGAACGAGAGCCCGACCATCCGAGCATTTCTTGAAAATCTCTTTCAATTAGCGATTAGAGAGGTCACATCAGTCATCATAATCAGCAACGTTAATCCCCTCTCAAAACCCCTGGCTCTCATCGAATGGCTCTTAGAAGTAGGGATAGACCCAAATTGCCATTGCCATGACGTCTTCCGTCAAAGCTCAGTCTTGGCCACGCCTATCCAGCAAGCAGTCAAAGCCGGTTCGATAGAGCTTGTCCAGTTGCTTCTACGTTATCGCGCTCGGGCTGATATTCCTCAATGCAGGACCAATGAAACAGCCTTCGTCAACCTGGTTCTCGAAAGCCGAGGTAGCGATGCAGGGAGATTCCGAATGCTGAACTTGTTGTTTGATCATAAGTTCCTCAGTGAAGATGAAATGCTCCGTGCAGCAATTGAACTAGGCGATACAGCATTAATGTTGAAGATGCTACAACATGACCCCGACGTTACGAGTCACGAGACCGTCTGGCTACACCCGGCATGTCGCCGACAACAGACTCACAACCAGACATACTTGGCAGACTCATCAGCTCTGATGATGGCGGTCCAGGCGGGAGGCATCATGGCGGATTATATGCTGGATCACTTGTTAGTGAGACGCCAGCCTACACCTGCGGTCTTGGCAGATGCCTATATAGCCGCAGCCTATGGGGGCCATTATAACATCATTCTGCGACTTGAGGAATTGCATAATTCCGGGGTAATTTGCAACAGGGAAGGAATTACACCTCTAGAAGTAGCGGTGGTCGGTGGCGTTCCAAGAGTGTGCAAACATCTTCTCGAGCGATATGGAGGTGCATCAACCTTGCTGTTGCTTGTCGCGGCCGAACTTGTCAAAATCGATGTACTACAATTACTCATCGACCACGGAGGTGACCCCAACAGTCCAATTTCCCAAAATGACTTCAAGTTGTACCAATATCTTGATATGGACTATAGCGGCTATGAATTGCCGAGCTCCGTCCTCAATATTCTGATCCATGGAGATATTAGAAATAGTCATATGGAACAGAGTATCCTAACACTAATCCAGAACGGAGCCTGGCTTTCGCGTGGCGACATAGCGGAGCTTTCACGGCGTGGCTTTCACAGATGTTTAGAAGCCGCCCTTGCGGTTGGCGGCAATCCCAATGATCAAGATGGAGGCAAACGTACAGCGCTTCAATACGCTTTGGATGGTACGTGGTCGTTCAGTGGCGACGGCCAGATTACTAGGGCGTTTCGCTCTGCTGAGCTTCTGATTGAAACAGGAGCGAAGCTCAATGGCGGGGAAGTTGTCAGAGCCATTGATCTTCAGAACAAAGAGCTAATACTGTATCTTTTACGGCACGGTGGAACACTTACTGATGTTGATGGAGCCGGAAAAGGTTGTCTTGAAGCCGAGATAATTGCGCGAAACGACCCGTTCCTGCGAGAAGCTCTTGAGATGCAGGATTTTGCCATTGATGCCGGGCCGTTCTGTGCGGCGATACATCAACAGGATTGGGATCTTGTTGGGAGACTTTTCGAACGAGCTCACAAACCGACAAACTGCCACCTACTGGAGGGAACCGCCGTGGGCTTGGCTGCCAGGGCAGGCAGACTCGACATCTTGGACAGGCTTCTCGCCCGATTCACTCATCCATCCGTGTTATGCTCCGCAATCTTGCCCGTCAGGCTCCATGATGGGGTAATGACAGCAATCGAACCGTACCACGAAAGGCTAGGTTACTGGCGTGCACCCAAACATCAAAACGGGTCGATACTTATCACGGCAAGCCCTCTCACCTTGGCCGGTCTTGGTGATGATACTTCTGGTTTCAGGGAACTTCTTCGTCGCGGTTGCTGTATGGATATAGTTACCTGGAATGTTCTTGCGAATAGTCATAGATCATATGACTATTTACCACTACTAACAGAGTTTGGCTGTGGGCTCGGATCTCCCACCAAATACGATGCAGAGTTGGATACGGCATTGTGCAAAGCAATCAAAATGAGGCAGAACGACCTGGCGAAGTATTTGGTGGAAGTGGGAGCAGATGTCAACGAATTCGACTTATCTGTGTCTGCACGTGCATCACCCCTCCAGTGCGCTGTGAAGGAAGGGAACATCGATATGGCCACATATCTTCTTGAAACGGGAGCAAACGTAAACGCCCCTCCGGCCCACAGCAAAGGCGCAACTGCTCTCCAATTCGCCGCCATAAACGGCTACATTGGGTTTGCACGGCATCTGATCCAGCTCGGTGCCCGAGTCAACGCAAGGGGGCCCAGCAGATTTGGCAGGTCTGCTCTAGAGGGAGCAGCAGAACATGGGAGGCTTGACATGCTTGCGCTGCTGATCCATCATGGCGCTGTTACAACGGGCCAAGGGCGTCAGCAGTTGGTCACTGCTGTTGCATATGCTCAGTCGATGGCGCATCACACTGTAGCTGAGTGGCTGAAGGAGAAGTGTGGTTGGGATGGCGCAGACCAGCATGCATTACAGCGTAGCGATGTGAATCAGGAGACATGGATGGAGTGCCTGATGTCGTTTTGCTGCGACGAGTACCATGACGACAATGTTAAGTGCACCTACCATTATTCTGAGGAGCAAAGGAAGGATCATATTAGACAGTGCTGGCGGTGTCTGAGAGTACAATTGAGAGAAGGTTATGAAGATGGAAGTGACAATGACAGCATTAGTAGCTTTTCCGGTGAGGATGAGGATATAGACATGGAGGATGATGAGAGTCAGCAGTACATCTGAAAAATATCTGTGCTCAAAAGCATGGAAGGGCTCGATCCGGCTGCAATATATCACCCCTTGTAGTTACCATGACGAAAGTGTAGGCAGAGCAGTAGCTTCAAAACAGTAATATGAGCTCGGGGGAAACGCACAGAGGCAGTTACCTCGCCAAAGCTGAATGTCATAGTCATGTTTTTCAGCCGCTTCTATAGCGCGTTACAAATGTAGTGGCTGTAAGGTTACGGCGTAAAGAGGCTTAAAATCTCAACGCAATCGATAGTAAGCAAATCTCGTCAATGATCACTGTTGCCCAAACCTTACTGATAGAGTGGCTGCAATACGCCATAGAGGGGTATCCCAATAAATGTCTCGTCTCGTGCCCCTCAGTTTAAATTCCTCCTATCATTCTCGACTCTGCCGCGATCCTCAGCAGTATGGTAGCCCCGTGGTTTCTTCTGGGCCTTCTCGCCCTAATCGCAGGGAGCGCTGCCAATGATCCCTGCGAAACATATCTTGGATCAAGTCCCGCTGATATCATTCGTACCAGCATGACCACTCGGCAGGGAACGATAACTGTAACGGATAAAATTATCATTCCAACTTTTGCTGTCAACATCACGAAGTCTAATACCAGACTGACCTGGCTAAATGTAACGGATGAGACTGCCAGTCAACGTAACAGCACTGTCGGTATCACCACTACATCAACCATCACAGCGACATCTACGAAGCTGGCTACAGTAACTGCAAGCCCTGAAGCTAAGATAGCCACCATCACGGTTACCAGTACATATTGCACTCTATATTCCTGTTCAATATTACTGACGTCGCATCAAAGATCCGAACTTTGTCAAACGAACAGAAACAGTGACGAAGACAGAGACGAACAGGAATACCGTCACGACCACGACATACTTTACCACGACGATCGGACGACGGCCCGGCTTTACCGCAATTAAAGATAATATGGAAAGGATATCTTCTGAGCTGACGGAGACTACTACATCGGTCGGACTTTCCGCTGAGCTGTTCTCCCATGTTATATCAGTAACCTGCACTGATAATCTACCAACAAAGAAGACCGTGACCACCACGAGCTTCAGAGCGCAGACTCAAAGGCTTTCTAAGCCTTCTACTGCGACATCCGCAGTGACGGTCTTGACAACTGTCAACGAGACTGAATATCCTCCTGGCCTTGCTACCACGGTGACCACTACTGTTCATCCCACCCAGACTGCAGTTATCAACGTGACTAAGACTATCACGGTCGATGGGACCGGTAAGTATGACATTACACATCACCCTTTGCATAGCTAATGTGCGCAAAGTCACACTGGAGAGATGGATTCCCCAAAAGACGCACTACCAAGTCTGCGACCGGAATGGCTCCAACTACCTCTCCTGGGTACCAGGAGATAACCGGTCTGACAAACGCATGGTCAATGAACTCTCCCGCCAAGACCACGAATTTAACCCCACCGAAATAAAAGTCAAAGACGCAATCGCCTGCTGCAACGAGTGCATGAAGCGAAAATACTGCCGCGTCAGTTTCTGGGGGCGACACCCCGGCGCAAAACGAGAAGCGCGGCCTTCATGCTATGTATACATGACCATCAGAAGGGAGCAGTGTATGGACCGGGCTCAGCCGCTGTATGCAAGGTACATCGCCGACAAGCAGGTGTCGGATCCGAGTGTTGAGCCGTGGTTTGTTCTTAGTAATGGGCCGTGTGGACAGTTGAAGTTTGGCGGGGTGAAGGGTGATAAATGGCATAAGCCGATGAAGCATGATGGTTTTGATATATGGAATGTTGAGGGGTATGAAATGGAGAAATGGAAGAATACGGATAAGGACTATGTATGAATATATCTGCATTAGTTTAGCACCAAACATTGAGGCTGTCACTCTGCGCACATGAACAGTCCCGATATCATGCCCTCAGGGGGCAAGAAAACACCTAGCCTTAATACAGGGTGTTAGAATAAACTTAGTAAAAAGTCTCCTAAGTTTAGACCGGATTTACCTAAGCATTTTTATCACTTAGGGTTAAGGTCCTGAGTTTTCTTTCCTCCACTAGCATGCGTGAAATGAATTTTCGGATATCCGTGGTATTGATCACAAGCTTATCATGACGCACTAAAATCTCGGGAAACGCCAAGAAGACCGAAACGATTCCCCCGCGGCCAATCATGTGAAGCTGACGTTTCTGACAGCATTCCCCAGGCGCTAGAGTAACATGTGCTTACGCTGTTCAACGGATATCCGATTCCCGCGAATAGGGCTGACTTTGAGATGTTAATTGTCAGAAATGAGAGTGATGAGTGCAGGGTGAGGTTGTATAAAAAGTGAGGGGTATCTTTGTCGAAATCAGTCTCATCACGAACAATCTCAACAACATCCAGCATCTACAATCATACTCAGCACCAAACTTCACAATTTACATCTACCAATTTAATACACCAACATAATCACAGCAGTAATCGGTATCATTCAAAATGGTCGCAATCAACACAATCAAGAAATCCAACCAATCAGCCCTCCCCCAATCTCTCCCCCAAAATCTCACAGCGGTTTTCCTCGGCGCCACATCCGGCATTGGCCGCAGCACAATCAAGCAGCTCGCCATCGCTACCGATAACAAATCACCAACAATCTACATCGTCGGTCGAAGCGCTTCAGCCGCTACACCACTCATCGCAGAACTTCGCCAAAGCAACTCATCCGCCAGAGTTGAATTTATTGAGCGCGATGTTTCTCTCGTCAAGGAAGCCGATGCTGCGATGAAGGAGATTGCCAAGCGGGAGACCAAGATTGACATTTTGTTCATGTCTGTTGGATTCATGTCTTTTGAAGGTCGAAAGGGTAAACATTCTCCCTAGTGAATTGATATGTTCGTTTACTGACAATTTCCAGAAACCAAGGAAAAGCTAGAGCCATCTCTAACAACCCGCTTCTACAGCCGCGTCAGAGCAATCCAAGTCCTCCTCCCTCTCCTCAACAACAGCCCAAACCCGCACGTCACCAACATTCTCGCGGGCGGCCAAGAAGGTCCCCTCATCGAAGATGATCTCGACCTCTCCAAACCAGGCAACTTCGGCGTCGCGTCAGCTGCCCAACAAGCAGCCACCATGCTCACCCTCACCCTTGAGCGCTTCGCAAAGGAGAACCCCAAGATCAGCTTCGTGCACGCCTTCCCCGGTTTGACAGCTACACCGCTTCTCTCTCGAGGTTCAAGTGGTATCATTGGATTTCTACTCCAATGGATTGTCACGCCGCTTGGGGGGCTTTTCTTTGCTAGTCCTGAGGATGTTGGTGCGAGGGCGTTGTTTTATGCGACTAACGCGAGATATACTGTTGATGAGATTGAGACGGCTGCGGCGCCGGTTCCTGAGGGTTTGAGTAAGGCGGCGAGATCGGCGGGTGGTGTGTTTTTGGTTGATAATAAGAGTGAGGCTGCGGATAATGAGAAGGTTTTGGTTGGGTTGAGAGAGAAGATGGCTGATAAGGTCCAAGCTCATGTGGACTCGGTCTTTGAGAGAGTGATTCAGGAATAGTGAGAAGACATTGGTGGTTGAAAAGAATGATTGGGAGTAAAGGAGTTTGGATCACATCATGGGCGAAATTCAAATGGATTTTCTTTACATAGTAATGATAACAGCACTGGCTTCTAGAATTCTCCTTTGCATACATATGAATAACACAATCTCTAGAATCGTCAAGCAATGCAATCTAGAATGAACTGAATTAGCTGTTTGCAGTATTGCTAAACAAAATGGCGACACTTGAGATTGTCGCCCTTCGGGTCCGGGGGCCCGTGGAGTCGATGCCGACAAACCATGGTGGCACGGGATATCTACATGCACCTTAACAGCGCGTCACATGATATGGGCTAATTTCTGTTAGAGCTAGAGTCTCGGTGCCGCGGGGGATCTAATCACTATGAATCATTGAGACGATTACCCTAAAACAGCCTAGACCCATTACTTTGACTCACCTCAATTGCCCAATCACATTGGCCGAATCGGAGCTGCACTTGGGATCTGAAGGCCCAAATACATTGCACAATTCTATAAAGGTTGCATGTTCTGCCTGTGATTCTAGTCATTAAACACAATCAACAAGAACACTCGCAAGACTCAAGTGTCAGAAAGCATCGAATCAGCCTCCATCTTCAACACTCGACTACTCATTCTCATGCTAGGAGCAACAACCACCACTACTGCAACAACTACTACCTCCTCTATGCCCCTCCTATTCGCCGAAGAAATCAGCCCTCTGACACCACACATCATGTCCATCAACAAGTCTGCCCCGATACCTCGTTCATTCACGCCGGGTCAATGCCTCTTCTGCCCCTCTGTCTACCCGTCACTAGCCGAAAGCATCAATCACATGCAAACTTCACATGGCCTCTTCGTTCCATATAAGCAGCACCTCGTGGTAGATCTCGAGACACTATTTCGATATCTTCACCTTGTTATCTATGAGTATCGAGAATGTCTACACTGTGGGACAAGCAGAGCTACAGTTCAAGCTGTGCAGCAGCATATGATGGGTAAAGGGCATTGCAAGTTTGACGTGTCGGAAGGATCAGAGTTTGCCGACTTTTACGACTTTTCACGCGAACATCTTGGTGCAGATGATGATGTTTTGAGTGAAGACGATGAAGGCGAGTTTGAGGGCGCAGAAACGAAGCCCGAGCGGAAACCCCTACAGGTCGATCGGGACTCGATCCGTCTACCATCCGGCCGGCTAATCTCCAAGAAGTCATCAGCGCAAGTTGAGCCATCAGTCTCCCATCTACGCGAGCGCAAGCGGACTTCCAGGTCTCAACTGGAGTACTCTACTGTCGAAGTCGATGAGGAGGCTCCCATGAACGAGGAACAGACGCCTGAGACTTCCGATACGAGACTATTATCGAGACGAGAAAGACGGCAGAAGGCTACTGTTACATATCAACTCGCAAACATGAGTGCCGGCGACCGCAGCGCATTGATGCACCTGTCTTCATCCGAGCAACGCTCATTGATAGCAACTCAGCACAGATTTACGGAAAAGGTTCAGAAGGAGGAGAGTCGAAGACAGCGCAGAATTGATCGCAAGGGGAATAAGAATCTGTATGCTTATTGGCATACTGAGACTCCAGTGTATCAGTGTGGATAGTCAAATCAGATGAAGCGAGATTCATTTCGATCTAGCCAAGGTCTAAGTGGTCTACGTTCAATCCATCGAAATAATATGCATCAATCTTCTATACAGACAATTCCTCTTCGAACTTTATACAAGTGACCACAAATACTCCGCCACAGGATCCTTCCACAGCAAAAGACAATCCGTCTCATTCATCACCAGTCTGAACGGCGGCTGCGAAAACATCGCACGAGTCTCATACCCCTTCATCGTAAAAATAGACCCGGGACCGCTGATAAGAGAAGGAATAAGCACCAAAACGGTCGGCATAATCATGAGCATAAACATCAAGAAATAAACAATCATAAAGGCCAGCAGCACAAGGACAGCTGGTATGATGGTCCAAAGTGTATGTAGACTTTTAAAGCCTGGTCCCTTGTACATATTCGAGATGATGAAGAATGATGCGAAATAGGCTGCGACGAGCAGATAAAATACCGGCAGTGAGATCTGGAGCGAGAATACGCGGGTGAATTCGGTGTAGATCCCTTCGTACGCCTCGGACAGGAAGTTAAATGGTATAGATTCGCCTTTGTATGTTGATGATAAAACGCAGGCTAGCCACGTAGCAGCTGATGTTGCGGACCCAATATCTGAAGCGTAGAGGATCTGATACCAGCTCGGACAACGGCGTGAATCACCGCGGCAGAAGATAACAGCTGGATCTGGTTTAAGCTCTGGGATGTACAGAGTTTCCGGCATATATCCAAAGCCGGGGAATTTGAGAAGCAGTGCAAGAGACAGGAGTGAAACAGCTGCGCCGCCGACGGATAGCTCGAATGTCCGATGATCGAGGACTGTAAGTGCATCCCAGCCATGTAGATTCTTTCGCCGCTGATAGAGAAATATCGTAGCTGCGAATTGGAACAGTGTTGCAAAGATGGCGGTCGCTCTGCCGAGTCGTATCCAAGCACTTCCAAAGCGAGATTGCCTTGAGCCCGTTGGTGTTCGCCAAGGTGGTGAGGGTTTCTTTCCGAATAGCGTGTTCCATCGCCGCGCGTAGGTATCACGATGATAAGAAAAGGATTTAGGCGATAGAGCGACGTCGTAAACAAATGAAAGGTTGATGATTATGACACCGAGAGCTGTTTGGGCGACTACTATTAAAGGCGATAGGAGGAATAGGATTGGTTCGATGGTGTCGAGCTTTTCGTTGCGTAGGGACTGCCAATTGCAAAAGGCGACGACGGCTGTGAAATGAGCGACCATGAGTTTGACGACCATTTCTCTTTCGGTGCGCGTATCGCCATCTGGACAAATATCGGTTACCATCGCTGCAGACTTATCACTCGTATTCACAGTTTATACAAAGAAGAATGAATTATTAAAAGCTCAAAATGAAGAATCGAGGCATTTATTTAGGTCGGTCCACTGCGGCTGTGCTGTGAAACAGGCTGACTGACAGGCTGAATTAGTGATGTTGCAGGGATGATCACTAAAGAGGGGTGCCTTGGCATCATCGTCCAGCCTCACTGTCGAATGTATCCATGTCTTCGCCATGCTTCACAACATCCGAGCGAGTAATAATGCGATACTTTTCCTCATCAATAGTACCAAGACTTGACTCCGCGGCCTTTTCTGATGCAAGACCGTAGAATTCCTGAAAACTCATGATCAAAGGCCTCCAGCGATCAGGATCAATCCTATTCTCAAACCCCTCCATCCTCAGATCATTCCGAACATGTGTCCTAAGAATCTTGACCTCAATCGCTATCAACATCCCCTCTCTGTCTGGAACATCCTGCATCAAATCCATGCTATTCGTAACCTTCGCTTCCATCTGCACAGGACACTCTGAGATTCTAGGCGGCTGCACGAGATCAGATGGTTGTTGTGTGAGACCCGAAGTGACGAATTTATCTTTGCAGTGAGTGTAGCCGCGGTCTTTCTTGCCGGGAGGAACGGTGGGTGTCCCGGTGGTTTTGGCGATGGGGTTGATGTAGTGTGCCATGTCGGCGCTGGGGAGGTTGATGACGCACTGTTTGGTGCGGAAGATGTTGAGGGTTGTTTGGGATCCTGAGGCGAGGCCGAGAAGACAGCGGTGGCCGAGCCACCATACTGAAGAGATTGGACCGATGTTGGCTGTGCCGTCTTCGTTAGAGGTTGTGATGAGGGCGACTGGAGTTCCCCAGTACATAATGGCGGGAGTGATGATGGAGTGTGTGCCTGTCATTTTGTCTATTGTAAGATATTGAATTTAAAAGAGGCTCTATGTGGGAAACGATTGAGACTGGGAGTGGATGGGGTTGAATGTTTTGCTGCACTGTCTCCTGGACGCATCTTCCTTATATATTCTGAAAATGAGTAGTAGTATCCATCTTGCTTTATAAGTAGCAAATTAGACCAAAACTTGAGTCTGAATGCGTTTGGACCGGGAACATCTGTAGCAATGCATTCAAGAAGCGGATCGTTGCTATCTATATGGCCAATGGAGAGTGCTGATTGGGTCCGAGTCAGAGAGGCCAGTTTGATCAAGTGCGGTCCCCTCAGCCTCTCATTCCTTGCAGATGTCATTCCATTAAAATCGCATTCTTGAAGGACATTCATTTCAAGCTGATTCTTCTTGATTTAAAGCAAAAATCAGGACATTTATTACAAGCTCAGATGCTGAGGTTCGTCTGTACGGAATGGCCAATCGAGCCTGTCGCGGCAGGGATCGCCACTAATGTTAGTGAGGGGGCATCCTAGCGCTGTTCTCAGGAACAAGATGATCTGCCGACCCGAGGGCTCCGATAAGGCTGACTCATTATCACTTGCTCTCGACCCAGATTGGTTCCTGATCGTTCGATAGTGCTGACCACCAATTTCTTTTTGTTGAGTAACCCCAAATTCTCATCACAACCTCTCATCAAGGGCATCATCATGAACGCCCTCTACACCAACTGGCGGTCCCTTCCGCTCTCTTTCTCCATCCCAATAACAGCATTTCTCATCATCCTCATCGCGACAATCACCAACGTCATCAAACAGCTCTGGTTCCCGAATCCTCACCGCCCCCCAGTTGTATTTCACATCTTTCCACTGATCGGCAGTACAGTCCAGTATGGAATCGATCCGTATAAATTCTTCTTCGACTGTCAAGCCAAGTATGGAGATTGTTTCACGTTTATTCTGCTGGGTAAAAAGACGACTGTCTTTTTGGGGCCGAAGGGCAATGATTTTATCTTGAATGGGAGGCATGCGGATCTTAATGCTGAGGATGTTTATGGGAAGCTTACGACGCCTGTTTTTGGGAGGGAGGTTGTTTATGATTGCTCTAATGCGAGGTTTATGGATCAGAAGAGGGTAAGCCAGCATTATCATCTGGAGAGCGGAATGCTAATGGTTCATCGGTAGCTGCTCAAACTTGGTCTCACGACTGACTCCTTGCGATGCTACATCCCCAAATTCGTCAAAGAAGTCGAAGACTATATTACAACCTCACCATACTTCAAAGGCAACACCGGCATCGTCAACATCACCGAGGTAATGGCCGAAATCACAATCTACACCGCAGCAGGTTCCCTCCTCGGCAACGAAGTCCGCTCCATGTTCGACAGCACATTCGCAACGCTCTATCGTCATCTCGATGACGGTTTCCAGCCCATCAACTTCGTACTACCCGGTCTTCCCTTACCACAGAACTTCCGACGCGATCACGCGCGAAAAGTCATGGAGCAATTATTCAGCGATATCATTCGCAAGCGTCGTGAGATGGGTAATCAAGGTGGTGAGACTGATATGGTTTGGACGCTTATGAATGCTAAATACAAGGATGGCGAGGATTTGCCGGATCATCATGCGGCGAGGATGTTGATTGCCATTCTCATGGGTGGACAGCATAACACTGCTGCGAGTGGTGCTTGGTTACTTCTCAACCTTGCGCATAAACCGCATCTTGTTCAAGAGTTGTATGATGAGCAAATTGAGGTTTTGGGATCACCGCCGGAGCCATTGACGTGGGAGAATCTACAGAAGTTGACCCTCAATGGACAGGTCATCAAGGAGACTCTACGCCTCCACAGTCCCATTCATTCCATCCTCCGACAAGTCAAGTCACCTATGCGAGTTCCCGCCACAGACTGGGTCGTTCCTCCATCACATACTCTCCTCGCTTCACCCGGCACACAAGCACGCTCTGAGGAATTCTTCCCTCGACCTATGGAATGGGATCCTCATCGTTGGGATAAGATTGAGTCTCTTGATGATGTTAAGAATGGGGAGACAGTCGATTATGGGTTCGGTATGATGAGCAAGTCAGTTAGTAGTCCGTATCTGCCTTTTGGAGCGGGGCGACATCGTTGTGTTGGGGAGAACTATGCGTATGCACAGCTTGGTGCGATTATCGCAACGTTTGTGAGATTGCTTCATATTGAGCAGCCTGATCCAAAGGCACCTCTTCCTGCGCCTGACTACTCGGTAAGCGCTCCCCCCATTGTTGAAGTGTTCTTACTGACCGTTGCTCCAGTCAATGTTCTTTAGGCCTATGAACCCAGCTGTTATAAGATGGACTCGTCGTAATACGGAGACTGACTAGAATAGAATCTAGAAAGTGAGATAGAAATGTTACTTCTTTCAGCGCGGTACAACAGGAAGCAAGTCGCCATCTGTATCAACATGCTCCGTAACCCCCCCCCCAACGTGGTGCTGTACTATGGGCTACAAGCGACTCTGCTAGTAACGTCTAGACAAAAAGGAATACAGGCTTCACAAGCCAAAAACATACAACAGCGGGTATTCACTGGTCGTCACCGAGCCAACTACTAATTCGCCCCTCACTGGCTTGTCTATGGGAGAGCAGACGGGATCCCGAATTCTCCAGTGGGTATGATCGTATGTGACAGTGCAAGTTGGAAAGCTCAGTCTTGAATGGAGGTCCCAGGCAGCCATGACTAAAAGAGACGTCAGCTGCCGGAGCTAGTTCGGGGATAGGCCTCGGCAAGTCATGGTCTTGCAATGTGATCAGCCTTGAGCGAACTAAGTGGACCGTACTACCATCACCAAGGCCAAAAATGTGATCATGCTGGGGATCGAACCCAGAATCTTCTGATTCGTAGTCAGACGCCTTGCCATTGGGCCACACGACCGTATCCAATTGTTGAGCGTCCAGGTTCGCAACAGGCCCTCTGTGCGATGCCGAGTTAGGGACGACGATCATCTCTACCTTTGAACGAAGCTTTCAAGGCTGCAGGTTAGCTTTCTGGACATACAAGGGTTTCGAAATGTATGAAGCCTAAAGACTGTTTCATTACGCAGTTTTGGTAGGGCATGATGAGGTATGTAGTGCCGTATGGCGACGTAGTTGGCTGCACTAAAGCAGGGTGCTGATAGCTTCGCTGGTCACGAAACAGTTATTGTTAAATTCTCAATATTACTGATTATTCCACTTCAGTAACTTCTCTCCCCGACTCTGCCGCCATCTATTCGTCGTTTCTATAAGCTCAGGACATCCTTGGAGCAACCAGCCCCATTTTCTCAAAAACCAAGGTGAAGCCTCCCAAGAATTTGGCACAGATGAATCTCCCCATACAATCAAACTTGGCTTCTCAACATTCTCCCAGTTGATCTCTGATATATCCTCACATAGCTCACCATCGTCTAGTAATTCAGCATCCGCCGCCAGAATGACATTATCTCTGAACTTAGGAAAAGGAAATATGTCAAGCCATGGATGATGCAAGACTGTCTTCTGCACTTCTGTAGGCTCAAGCGCCCTTGGGGGATGATAATCTGCCCCAAAAGGTCCATTGATGTTGAAAGGCGATATAGCTTCTTCAATGCACATCAGCGCACGATCAAATCCCAATAGTGTAGCGTTGTTGGCTACCGCTATTGTAACATTGAGACTGATCAGCAGTGGAAGCTGTGATATTCGAGGGGCGTTCATGGTGTAGTCCATGTACGCTTTGCACGCAATTGCAAACACCCGTTCGCTCTTATCAGGTCTCTCGTAAACTTCGCATGTTTGGCGAATGACTTCAAACATGGCATCGGGCGGACCTTGGAGAGCGAGTGCTATTGAAGGCATGGACTCGGCGGGTAGACCAGCTTGACCGACGATGTTAGAAGCAAGCCGGTTTTGTTCCTGTTGTTGACGCTTCCTGAGATCTGCCAAATGCATTAGGTAAGAGATGTACCTCCGTAGTAGAGGCTAGAGGATACACTCACATTGTGACCTCTTGTTCAGCCGGTTCTGCAGTTTTCGTCGTTGTGCAGTACTAGTAACCCCAGTCCAGTCCTCCCCAGGTTTCTGGACAAGAAGCTGCTGAGCCATTGGTTCAATGGCAATCTTTTGTGGATCAGACATCGTGTTGTGTTGTGTATGCCGGTTGCTGATAGATTGATGTATATGGCTGATTATGAGAGAATTATGTGATACCTTTTGAGAATTGATGGGATGAATCAGGAGAGAAAATCGTTGGATGCTGGAGGCGTCATCATGGTAGGCACGTGAATTCCTCCATCGGAGCTGGAATGGCTAACTCCACTCTGTCAGCAGGTTGCATTAGTGCCTCTGAGAAGGGTATAGTCTCATCCATAGAGCTTATCATTGGATGAGTCCGACAGCCAGGGAAGTCGGTCCGAAGAGGAAGTGGGAGCTTCTCGTTTGACGATATCATCAACTCGCATAAGTACGTATTATATGATGGATAGTGGCAAGGAGCGACTAAGAAGCATTATGGGAGATTTAATTAGAGCGTGAGCTAACACCTGGGCAAGAATGATTTTATTACACCCATACTCAGCATCATCTTCGAATTCTCCAAAGATCCTAAGCAAGCCTATGATTGCTCGACCGAGACATAATTTCTTTTTATCATGCCTCCATATCGTGTCTCATCCCCGGTAAACTGCGGCATTGACTTCAACAAAGAACAAATCGCTGAAAAAGTTGCCATCGTCACTGGAGGTCAGCTTCACCGAAATCAAAGCTATGGTGTAGGTTAGCTAACTTCTCAGGTGCAAGTGGCATTGGGGAGGCATATGTCCGGGCCTTGCGCAGCTCAGGGTATGCGCAATCTCATAGGACTCTACAGTTCATGAGTGCTGATTTGTGTCAGTGCGAAAGTTGTAATCGGTGATAAGAACGCCGACTCTGGGGAGAAATTGGCTTCTGAACTTACCGGCACAAAGTTCGTTCACTGTGATGCGACCGTTTGGGAAAATCAAGTTCGCCTGTTCAAGCAAGCCGTTCAGCTATCTTCGTCTGGAAAGATTCACTACGTGATAGCTAATGCTGGGATGACAAAAGAAGACCAGACTTTCACTTTTGACGGTAAGAGCTCCGTCCCCACTGTGCCTCACGCATCTCTCACATCCACTTCGCAGGCAAAGACCAGGAACCGAAGAAGCCAGACTTGCAGATCATCGATGTGAACCTGAAAGGAGCGCTGTATACATCAAAGCTAGCCATGCACTATTTCGTGTCCCAGAATGGTACCGAAGTCAACGAGGAGCAAGAAGATACCTGTTTGATCCTTATCAGCTCAGGCGCTTGGTTTCTCGATGTTCCAAGGTCACCTGAGTACAGCAGCACGAAGTGGGCGGTCCGCAGAATAATGCATGCTTTGCGAAGAACAGCTTTCTACTATGGGAGCCGGGTGAATGTCATTGCGCCATGGTAATCACTCGTCGTTCCGGGGCACTTGAAGTCTTTTGACTAATTGGCTATGCAGGTATATCCGCACAGGTATTCTCTCCAAAGACCAGTTCGACCAAGTGGAGAGATCGGGGGTTAAGTTCGCAATGGCTGAAGATGCTGGCGAGTGCGCGCTGAGGATCCTATCTGATGCCAGTATCAATGGAAGGAAACTCTTTGTCTGCGCGCGGAAATGGGCTCCTCGTGGATATATGGATCTTGACATCGAGGATTATCCTGAAGGTTTGATCCAGGAAATACAGGAGGATCAAATGCGTAACGCACCAGTTGATCTTGGGCTTTTTCCATAGAATGCTGTTCTACTGACATCAGAACATCAAGAAACTGAAGAATTAAATAAAGGCAAAGAGCATCACAATTATGTTTTCTGCCCAATGAGGCATAAACGTAACATGTTCAAAGTACCAAAGTCGGCTGAGCAATATGACTTACCTATTGGTGAGCGCTAATCTGCAACCCTCCTTCAGAATGTTGAGCTGAACACTAGCGCGGAACTATTGACCTGTAGACTTGAATTAGTGATATGCCCACGGGCGTTTTGCCGTCCTTTGAATGCGGCTGAGGTTCAAGGCCTTATGCCTCGTGCGGAGTGCAATAATGAAGGAGCGTCCAAATAATGAGAAGGCCGCACCCATTCGGCAGCGCAAAACTAACCGGTAGAAGATTATCCTGCATGGATGAGCGATGGACGAAGACACGTGCGCTAAATGTGAGGAAAAGCCTGGTAATGTCTGCTGCTCCTGTGGTGAACGATTCTGCCAATACTGCTTTGCCAACAAACACCTCCCGCGCAACCGAACCCACATAGAAATAGTATCGCAGAGGACTCCCAACACAGTGGAGAGTCTAGTCGGAGCTGCGAAAACAAACGACACCGTCCAATTAGTTGAGCTACTTGAACAAAACGTTCCCATCGATGGGAAACACCATGGCTGGACGGCCCTTGGGTACGCGGCATACAACGGGCATTTGGACACTGTCCACGTCCTCCTCCTTCGCGGCGCTGATATGGATATCCGCATGGATGTTGGTTTCGGTGTTCTTCCTGGTGATGGCAGTGCCATTAACTGGGCAGCATACGGCGGCTACCTGGACATTATCAAGCTACTTCTGGAAACAGGAGCGAAAGCTGATATCTGTGCCACAAGACCGGTATTCCTCGGTACGGGAGGGACTCCAATTACCATGGCTGCTGGGAAAGGTCATCTTGAGGTTGTTAGGTATCTGCTCGAAAAGGGCTGCGACGACGATAGCGAGGAGGGTGTTCCCGGCTGGGAAGCTTTCATCATCGCTTGTGAGCGGGGGCAGCTCAACATAATCAGATATCTTCTCGAGGAAAGAGGCATGAACGTCAACAGAATCGGTAACAAAGGCCTGACGCCTCTGATCACAGCTGTGCAGAGTCAACAAACGTCTGCCATGGATTACTTGATCAAGTGCGGCGCGCAAATAGATGCGAATGATAATGAGGGGAGCACGGCGTTACTCCATGCTGTGATGAAGAAGAGAGTTAGTGCGGTGGAGTGGTTGGTGAAGCGTGGTGCAGATGTGAGGAAGCAGAATAAGAAGGGGATTTCGCCGTTGAAGCTGGCACAGGATGAGTTGCGGAGAAACCATGAAGATAAGAATGCGACGGCTATGGTTAAATGGCTTGAGACCCCGATTAGGGTTGTATTTCACACAAAGGCTTAGAATATATGAGAAGTCAATCTCCAAGTTAGTCATACACGTGGCTCAGGCCTGTCGATCAACTCATCTGTACTAAGGCTGTACACATGTTATCACGGATACTAATATGGCGGCAGTGAGGCATTAGGCCCAGTTTGTGTGACGTTAAGTTGCTACACGTTAGTCGATAACCTAATCTTATATTCTATGGCTGGTGATATTCCACTAAATCTAACACTCATGGATTCTCAGGTCTGGTCTATGAAGCGGCCAATCTAAACAGCAATCCTCCCAAATCAGACGCCAGCAAATACCAGAAGCGATAGAAGAGACTTATAATATGATGGAACCTGCCTTAGTAGTTCTTGATCAACGTCAAGAGTGCTTTCTTCTCCATATAAACAGAGAGATCTTTCCCAGTGAGTATCTTACCAGAATTGCTGTACGCCTTAGTCTGCAGGATGATGCTCTGGTTGTCTAGTAGATGTTAATAAGCCATGGGATAAGAATGACATCGAGTTATGACTCACGTTGAGGACATCCGAGAGCTTCAAGGTTCGCACAGACTTGCCTGAGATCGAAAATGGTAGCCATTCAGATAAGAACAGTTAGTTAAAAGGGCTCCAGTGAGATAAGATATAGGAAGACAGTGATGTCAGCGTACGTCTGTAAGTTTTGTAAGTAATAAGTGTTGATGATAATATGTTAAAAGCAGTTTGTGAGGATCAGTGAAGGAGCGAGGAACGAGTGACCAGTGGATAAATATACAGCAATTCTATTGATAGACAATATCAGTAGGTATCACTCATCTCTCATTCCTTGTTGAACCTCATTGTTTGAAGACATCACTAACAAAGAATACAGTTTAGACAAAGGAATGGATTAAAAATAGAACATCACAAAGAGCGACACTTTTATAAGCATCAACAATAAGCTATCTTGCCAACGTCTTTCATTTTTTCCATTCAAAGACATGACAACAAAAGATGCCAGGAGTTGTAAGATAATATGCAAAGGCCTGAAGGTAAATACATCAAAGCTTTCTACACATGGATTGAGACATAGACCCTAAGTGACAGAAGGATATAGGTAAGCTAGGGAATCCTTTGATGGACATCCTGATACCAGCCTGTATTTATCTGAATCTACCAAAGCTATTCTTTTTAAAGATGAAGGATATCAGTGACAGACAAGAGACCCATCACTTGTTCTTCCGTCGCTTGTTGTCTCTATCGATCTTCTTGAAAAACCCACTCTTTTCACCTTTTTTTCTCTTCAGACCCTTGTTGGCAGATGAGTTGCGTTCAACGTACGCCATATCCTGCACACCACTAAGTTGATCAAGATAACCCGCGACGCGCCTCACCGTAGTCTTTCCCTTCCCTTTTCCACCAGTCTTCTCCCCACCCCAGAGATCATCCGCAGCAAATTCATCATCAACCGCCGTTTCATTATCAACCAACGTGCCCTGCAACAATTCTCTTTGTTCAGAGGGAGTAGGAAATGCGAGATCGGGTGTTTTTTCGATACCATCTAGCTTGGTGATGACTTTGAACGCGTAACCTTGATCAATGAGGAATGCCTGCCGTTTTGACGCAAAGTGCATTTCGGATGTATCCTTGGAGACGAGGGAGTAGAAGAAGGCGTTGAAGCCCTCGTCGTTTCGACGCTTTGCTCGCAGGATGCGGCCGAGGCGCTGTGCTTCTTGACGGCGGGAGCCGAATTGTGAGGATATCTGGATAAGACAAGTTGCCTCTGGGAGATCAAGCGATGTATCGCCGATCTTGGACAGGAATAAGGTATTCACTTCAGGGTTGTGGCGGAAATGATCAAGAACCCTGAGTCGCTCTTCTTGGCTTGTTCCCCCGTAAATAAGATACCTCTTCAGCTTATATGCGTAGAGTTTTAAGGAGTAGAGCTCATCAGAGAAGACAATGATCTTATCGCCGCGCGCCTCATGATAGTTGATAAGATATTGACAAGCCTGGAATTTGGACGGATTAATGGCGGCTAGCGTCCGTCTCATACGAGACGAAACCTGGAGGTATTGCTCGTAAAAGACAGTCGGCATAGAACACCAGACCTCAGCGCATTGCACCTTGGCGATATGGCCCTGCTGCGACAGTTCCATCCAATTCGCCTCGTACAACTTCGGCCCGATGAGAAAGTTGAGATGATCAATCTTGTCATCCTCGCGCAGCAACGTAGCTGTAAGTCCAAGCTTAGAGTGCGTTTTAATCGACGAGATAACACGTCGAAACATATTCGCCGGAACGACATGTACCTCATCGAGAAGCATCAATCCCCATTCCCGTCCTGCCAAGAAGTCCATCATCTTCTTGGAGTCATGCGCGCGCTCGCGACTATTCGTAACCATTGAATAAGTCGTCACAATAACGCCAGTACTCCCAGAGAACTTCCCCTTACTGTCAGACGTAAAAGTATTGATGTCTTCTGGGTTGATATTTGACCATTTGAGAAACTCGTTGCGCCATTGAACGGCGGAGACAGAGCTTGTACAGAGAACAATGACGCCTTTTCTGATGGTGCATGCTGCTGTGATGCCGACGAGGGTTTTGCCCGCGCCACAGGGGAGGACTATGATGCCGCTTTTGGCGCGACCATTGCCGAACATTTTGCTGAGACTCTTCTCTTGATAGGGTCGGATTTGGGTGTTTGGGCGCAGGTCAATGTCCAAGTCGGGATTGATGCTGTCACACCGAAAGTCGTACTCTTCTAGGATGGGGTAGGACAGGTCCAGACAGCGCTTTTGGACGCTTTCAACAGCGCTGTCGGGAATCTCAAAGGCATGAACTGCTTCTTGCTCGTCATCGTTATCTTCATCATTGAGAACGGCCTCAATGTGATCCGGCTCTGAAGCGTCTTTGTTCACGGCTTGCAAGAGATCCGCTTGTTGAGCCCCGGCCGCGTTCTTTGTTCCTGGAATGACCAAGCCACTCAAAGCTGGCGCGCTCGTTGTAGTAATCTCATCAGAGCCCAACACTCGAAGAGGGCCGATAATGCTGTCTTTCAGTAAAGTTTGAAGTACATCTGCATCACTGCTCTCGACGAAGTACTTGTTGCTCTTCAAAACAAGCTTCACCTTTCCGTAGCTCTTGGTGCACGATCTGATGAACTCTTTGATACTCTGCGGAAGCTCTGTCTTGAGAAACTTGTCAAGAGTGCTGATGATATCTTCACCATTCAGACCAACTGAGACAGCAGCGTAGAGACTATGCGGCGTGATCTTGTACTCGTGGAGAAAAGCAGGTCTTGATTGAGGTTCCGCAATAGTGACAAGGAAGTCAGTTGCTAAATCCGCCAACGGATGAAAGCGTTCCAGAATAATGTATCCTTTCTCGGGGTCAATCCATAATGGACGGTTGGCGCTATCGGGATTGGTAGCAAGATATGAGAAATCACGCTTGACGATGTTTCTGAGGTCAATAGTCGCGTTTTGCGCCTTTCGTTTGAGCGACATTATTATTTTATATAAGCAGAGAAAGCTATGGAGGGATTGAGAGAGGTGAGACTGGGCTTTAGGCAGCTGACACTGAGAACAAAGAACATTGCGGGAGAACACGGATGACTAACAGACATCTGTCACGTGAAGTAACAGACCAGGAAATACAAGTTGAACATAATCTCACTGAATGCCTTTTTGAGCTTGAATGAATCTCAGCTAATTTTTCCTTACTCACAAGGATTAAAACACATAGTATACTGATATTTAAGGAAAATACTTTATCTATTGTTGGTAATTGGCATATCCTGGGCGTCTACGGAGTCCAGACCTTTGTCTCAATTACACTCGACACTTGGGTCTTGACTTATTATATTAGCTAAAGCTTTAGATATTTAATTTAATTGCCTATTAGATAAAATACATCTAAAGCATAGACAGTAAAGCTTAGAGCTTTAACTAATAAAGCATTTATATTCTAAACTGAGTTATTACATCCAGTGCCAAGAATGTTAGGCAACGAGCTACCCGGCACTGAGATTTCGCCTTTATTTCACCGTCGTCTGGTTTAGGACTTAAAGTTCATCGCCTACACCGCTGATCTGTCAGTTAAAGTATGACTTAATTTATTTTAGAAGTCGTCTCGGATTGCGCATATCTCAGCCCCAAAAACAGAGGGAGAACAGTACAAGCTCGGTGTTCAGCAGTTGCCTGAATTCACCACCTGCAAAAGGCTTGTTCGTGTTGGCTGGTGACGTGGATCTTTTGCTGGCAATTGAAACGACATCATTTGCTGAGTGCGTTACCGGGACCTGCATAGGCCTGTACGACATCTTTGCTATAAGCATAATATTTCCGAAGTCGGTTAGTGTCTTATGCTTAACTTGATCATTTTCTCAATAGCGTCACGAACTATTGGCAATAGCCTCCTTAGCGTCAGGACTACTGCAGCCGCAAAGCAGAGCTAACAATATTTGTTGGTAACTAATAATAAAACAAAAGGGGGAGCCTGGCACTTGGTGTTTGCAATTCAGACTTGCCTCTTGCAGCCCCTCAATAATTACATTCGTTAACCTCACGCTGCGATATCTGCAGTCGTATCCACTCGTTTCAACCACTGCAACATCATGGTTCGCGTTTCTTTGCTCAACCTAGCAGCTATTGCTACGCTGCTCCTCGGCGCCGAAGCCGGTCCTTGTAAGCCGAGGACGACTGCTGCGACAAGCCTTGCCGAGACAACATCGACGGTTGTCGCTGATACTACCGCGACGTCAATCGATACGACTGCCGTTACGAGCCTGGCGGATACAACCACTACGATTGCAGAGGAGACTACCACTACAGCCCTGCTAGACACTACGACTACAGCTGAGGCAGGATCTACCACCACGACCGAGGCTGGATCTACCACTACAGTCGTCGCGGAGCCTACTACTACAACTGAGGCAGAGTCTACCACGACTACTGAAGCGGCAGGCTGTGTCGAAACCCAGCTGTTTGTCAACCCAAATTTCGACGACAGCAACAGTGACATTGCACCTTGGACCAGCAACGCCGCCCTCACCCAAAACCAGCCCCAATCCGGCACCAACGCACTGTACGTTTGACTCAAAATCCGCATCTTTACTCTTCCCATGCTAATAAACTGCGAACTAGCTCCATGACATTCGTCAACGGTGTACCGGATTACTACATCAAGCAGACCCTTCAGAATCTGAGCGGCCAGTACAAATTCTCCTACTACTACCGAGTCGTCAGTATCAGCCAAGGTGCTGATTTCACTTGCAATATTCAGCTCACGGCTGGATCTGTAAGTACTTACGGCGAAATAGGTGACAGCGTCGGTGGCTGGAAGACATACAGCGTCATCATGGATATGGGTGCTGCTACAATTGCACAGGCAGAGGTCGAGTTTGGTTTGTCCTGTTATGGAGAGTTCACTGGCATTGAGGTTGACGTTGATACTCTTGCGTTTACGCGAGTTTGCGACGCTTAGGAGTTTGCGGTATTAGAGCAGCTTTAGAGGTGCTGGGGCGTTGAGGCTTACCTTCTGATGTATTTGGTACATATTCTTACAGGGCCCATTACGCTGTTACCAACAGACGTAATCAGCATAACGCCTTTTCCAAGTTGATCATTTCGCTTTCTTGACGAGCTATACTGGCCAAGTTTATGCCGAGGACTGCGGTGACCCAGGATAACACGTTGTGAGCAAGATGACATTCAGCATACCGACTGCAAACGTTTGTCCATGGCAGCGACAGCTAGAACTTCCATCACGCACCTTATTACAACATGTTAGAAATGCCATTATCTCCAGTGGTACAATGCCCCTGTTTGACCACTCTGTCAGTGTAATGCAGCTTCATGAACTTGATAACAAATCTTCAATTATCATGACAGTTTAAAGTCTGAAAATGCTGGGCTTTACGGTTGATCTAAGCTCTTGAGCATGAACGGAATGCCAAAGGCTTGGGGTTGGCCAACGGCGGAATAAATAAGCCAGAGCCCCTGGCTAAAGTGTTGGTTGTTGGTTGTCCGTTGATTTATTTGGCCAAATGGACTACGGTGGCGTTGCTGACGGGTCCGTATGCATACTATCTCCAAAGGTGACTAGCTGGAGTGAATTATTGGCAATAGCCTCCTGCCAAGCCGTTGTTTAGCGCCAGGTACAGCTGCAAGAATGAACTGATGTTTACTCCGTAGATACTGGTGCGAGGATTTAAAAGGGGATAAACAGATGGGAACACCTTTACTTAAATTTTGCCTCTCGCAACGTCTCGGTATTCACATTCTCTCTAACGACGCTGCAATCCCTGCGGTCGTATCCACTCGTTTAAACATTTATTTTCCGTCACGCACGCCAGAATGGTCCGCTCTACCCTCCTCAAGATCGTGGCCCTTACCGGGTTCCTTGCCGGAGCCGAGGCCGGCCTTTGTCGACCATCAACAACGGCCGTGACAAGCGCTGCCGTTACCACGACTACCCTCGCAGCAACCACCACCACTGCTGTGCCAGGCTGCGTTGAAACCCAGTTGCTTGTTAACCCGGGTTTTGATGACTATCTCAGCAGCTATGCACCCTGGACCGGCAACGCTATGATCACCAATCGGGAAACTCAAGCTGGAACTACGGCTCTGTACGCTACTCTAGCGAACGATTTCTGTTATATACATGCTAATACATTGTGCAACAGGACCATGTTCTACAACGCTGGTCAGAGCCAGGGGAGAGAATACATCAAGCAGACCCTAACGAACCTGAACGGCGCCTACGAATTCTCCTACTATTACCGGGTTGTTGTTGCCAGGGTTGGTATGACCACTGCATGTGATCTCCAGGTCAAGATCGGGGAGGATACGACCGTTCCCTTGAACATAGGCTTGGTCACTGGTGATTGGACGTCAGGTAGCGTGTCTTGGTCTACTTTAGGTCAGACTGTCGCGCAAGCAGATGTAGAGGTTGCCATTACCTGTAGAGGAGACTGGGACACAATCCAGATCGATCTCGACAGCTTTGCATTCACGAGCGTTTGCAGCGCGTAAGGCTCTCCGGATTTTATTGGGGTATTTCTTTAGACTTCCAAACACTTTCCAGACTTAACTTCTCATGTGTATATTTAAATAACATTATTAGATTCGACATATTATAATCAAAAACGAATTGACTGTGGTGGATTCTAGGCGGTGCCAATCCTTGACAAGTTTTCGTGGTTGGGAGATATCATGGGAACAGTTGAACGAAGCGCAAAACAAAGATGGGGGATCTGTGAAGACAGGACACATGGGCACTTGATACAAAATGCGGTATCTCTTCCAGATTCAACTTTATTGGTGGCTATATGTGATATGAGGAATGCATCATTTGGCAAGTAGAACTTGTCTAGGTATCTCAATCCCTAACTGTACCCGCCAACAACCAGATTCACATGACGGTCAAGCCAGCCATCCAACTTATTTGTTGCTCTTGGAAGACCAGATGGGAGTAGCTCCCCCATTCTTGTACAGGACAAGATTTCCGTCATCCTGGACAGAGACAAAGGTCTTGTTGTCACCGCTGGGAGCAGCAGTGTTGGTGTGCCAAGTAGCCTTGCCATTCTTGTCGCTGTAACATATGAGTCAACAACATAATAAAACGGATAGATGGAGCATGAATTGACTTACTAAATGCAGAAGTTACCATCACCCTGCATAATGGCGCCCTTTGCGTTGCTGATCTGCTGGTCGGTGCTCTGCCAGGCGCAGCGGTTGTTGTAGTAGATGGCGAGCTTGCCATCGTCTTGCATGCGGAGCTCGACGGAGCGGTCTTTGCTGAAGATGCTCATGCCGACCATGAGCCAGTCGCCGTTCTCGAGAGTGCCATAACCCATCTTGAGTGATTTGTGTTGGGGATTGTTTGAGAGAAGAAGAGAAGAGTGAAGATGTGCTGATGTGAGTTGATAGTTTGTGTGCAGGTTCGGTGGGAGATTGGCGGGCTCTTATAGACAAAGGGTCCTCTGGGTGACCATGAGAAACAGGCGAGAAACACCTTGTAGATCAGCCTACGCGTACAACTGTTCTCTTGTCTCACAACTGTCATCCACAATCCATCCGGGCTGTCCGATTATCTCCAGAATCACTGCCCCATGTCACCGTGCATCATGTAGTTGCACGTATTAGTCGCATTTTACAGGATACTGGCATGACTTTCTCCCCCCCGGGCCATCGGCACATCAAATTCCAACCACGCACTGAGACACGGTACGACGACGATCTAGCGGTAAGTCAGTCTTCCGTGATGTGCTCTGAGAGAAGAGAAATCATCTGCATCATGCCATTGGGCGGACTGCTGATCTGGCTGTCGGCCTGAGTTACACAATCGTGACGATGAGCCTGGGGAAGACCTGGGTACATCTTGTCCCTTTATTCATGAGACCAGATTCCTCGAACGCCGTTCACATATCTTACTGCCTAGCTACACTATTGAGAAAACTTCTTCTTAGAGGAAGTCTACGATGATACCGAACAGTGGGTAGGAGCCAGAAAACACATCATTTTTCGCTCCCGATAACCCGTCAACGGGGAAGCGGGGTTTGAAGAGATCTCAATTGTGACAGGTTTCGCTGTACCTGGTTGCACACTCTGTATGTCTCACCTAAAAGAGAAGCGGCCCGTCCGAACCCCTCTCTTATGTCTGAGATTCAGCCCGCCACAGAACTTCCCGTGACTCAGTACTCGGCCTTTTTTTTTTTTTTTTTTGGTTCAGCAAATAGCGACGTCATTCGTCGGATTCAAAGTTGCTTATTATGCCCCCAGAAACCTCACTCTCGGTTCCGACAAGCATTACGACTGCCAATGATGCACCTGCTACTCCTATGTAATGGCAATTCCAAGTTCCAAGTTGTTCGCGGACAGGTATGGTGCCCCAAGGACTAGCCTGACTTTAGATTCCGTTGTGAAGCTCACAGCTCAACGAGGCGGGGTAGTGAGACATGCAGCATAAGGTGCCGCAGATGCATCTTCGAGGCGCAACTGCCCGGTACATGTCACTTATGACAACAAAGGCTGCCTAAGAGCAAGTTATCGGAGGGTCGGGGTGAAGTCCCGTCCCGTCCCATCTTGCAGCCGCAGATCTGTCTGTTTAGTCTCGATGCATAACGCGGTGAAGATTGCCGCCGCCACTGACAAGTTATAACTTGGCTATCCGGGTATTGACGGCGCTAGCAGACACGGCTCATCCTTAGCATGTGAAGTTGTCTTGCTTTGACTTGCTTGATGTCATAGTCGGGCTGGAATCGAAGCCGCTGGCAACCGAGTGAATAGGATATGTGGCTGCAGGTATGCTCTCGCATTGTTATCTCAGGAGATGCCTTGCCTTCTTCCTTTGATCTACACTTGAGGAAAGTTCAGTGGCTGCTTTAGCGGTGTGCAACACTTTCACAGCTGCTCGAGGACATGTTTCACGAGGCCCCGCAATGCACAACTGTTTGCTCTTTATCCAGGCAAACAAGGAGAAGATTACAGCTATGAAAGAGAATATCCTATCTGAGCGATGCATCAATGCCAACCTTCCACAGACTTCCAACGGTTTCCTTGGTGCAACGTCTGGTGCACTGATTACCACGAAAGGTGGTGAGACATGTGATACATCTAGCTGATTTCATCCTTCAATGTGCGAAGACCGAAATGAGTCGTAGGGACCAAAGGCTGTTAGTTCATGATGTCAAGGCCGTTGGTACATCGCCATGGATCTACTGCACCATACATCTTCGCAGAATAGTGCACTTTAGAAGATATTCAAGCACCATTAACAGCTAACTCAAATGATTAAATAATGATTCTTGTCTATCCCAAACGAACCTTCTTGCTGTTGGGAAGTCTCTCACATGGGATCATTTCGTCAACAAACGGCTTGGCCTTCCCATCATTAGCCCAATCCCAGTTATCCATGTAACTAGAAGATAAATGATTAGCACTGAGTTATTTGAGTTTGAGGTTTTCCAGGCAACTTACAACATTAATGCGAAAAGAGCATATGACTCAGCTGTGAACGTGGCTTTGCTTGGGCCACAATTTCCAGCGTTGGCCCCTCATGAGAGCGCGCCAAGTTGGAAACCCACATGAAGTTGTCTGTTGTAATTGAACTGTCAACGACAAAGACTTCTCATTGGAAGTAAGAATTAAAGATAGAGCGCAGAAGAGCATACATGTAAGGTACTTCTTGAGGTCCGCGACACTCGCATCAGTGGTGCGTTTGCCATCGGGCTTCTGCCAGACGAGGGCTCCCTCCTTTCCGACAGCTTGTTGATCGGGAACTAGATACAAAGCAGATTAGAATTGAACAAGATTGAAAAAAGATCATTCGCAATACACGTACTATTGCGGTTCTCAGGTCCTCCAGTCTTATCACCACCAAACCAATGTGCAAGCGCATGCACCATAACTCGAGAAAGGCTAGTAGCAGAGTATATAATATAATTCTATTACTATACTGCTCAGAACTAATCTAAACATATCTCGCATTATAGTATATATACTAACCTATTACAGTACTATATTTATAAAATAACCTACTTTTAGCCTTAAAGAAATATAATACTTAGCCTAATATTAAGCTAATAAGGGGAAAGCCTTTAGGTAATAACCCCTCCTTTATTATATACTAAACTAGGTCTAATAATAATATAATTTCCTAATTAAACCTACCTTTCCTAGCTTTCTTATTAACTAGTTAATATACTATAGTTAATAATACTATGTTCTAAGTTAACTTAGTATTATAATTAGGGTAATTTTTAGTAATTAGACCCCGGTTTTTAGCTTTTTTTTAGGGTTAGGGGCTACGGGATTCTCAACCTACTACCTTTAGCTACCTAGTCAGCTGTTAGGTCGGGCCAGTGACGCCTAACCGTTACGCCACAAGCCCCCTTTCCTCGGGGCTCAGTAGCAGTTTTCTAGGTAGTCAATTCAGCGCCTATGCTCTCTATATAACAAGTAATAAAGTTCTATTCTAAATGATGACAATGCCTTTCTCTTCCCACTTCTGTGCTATGAGATACCCAGTATCCTTCTCCTCATCGTCATCAGCCGAACTTTGTGCTTCAAAGGACCCTATTCTGTAATATTCGCCCTCCTTCTCCGCCGGATACACCATCAATCCATACAGGTTTTCGATCTCACTGCGTAGCTCATACAAGCAAGTAGAGAACGCGATGACCAGAATCTTCTCAGCGAGGTGCCTCGGCGTGTCCGTGACATCAACGTCCCAGTTCCATTTAATACCGCAGGCAATTTGGCTGCTATACTCCGGTGTAAACAACATGTTCTTTATCAGCTCATCATCTTCTCCCTCGCAATGTGCTGCTATTTCTCCCAAAGATGCCACTTTTGTGGTCACCGCTAAAGTGCCGCGGGTTACTTGGCCAAACAAGTTGTCGCCAACTTTGTCAGTGGTGATATCGAGGTATTCGCACTCGTACTCCCAATCTCCACCGTCAAGCTCTAAAGTCTCGCGATTCATGGAGGAGAAGTTTGAATCCCAAGAGACTCCACCTCTATGCCCAGGCCACGACCATGTAGGCCCTATGGCCAGATGTCTATCCCTCAGCGACTCAACGTACTTCTCAAGCCCGCCCTTGTCACGAGTATTTCTCTCAAATATCAGATCTTTAAAGATGTCATCGACCCATAGGCCTGCAGCATATTCACTACCCGTCGCTGGAGAAACCTGCTTGGCAACACCTGCGACTGCAGCTAAGCGATCTGATTCAAAGCTGATATCCATGGTCGAGATGCTTTCCGCGCACGTTCTGAAGAACGCAAATGGCTGTGCGTCTTGGTATCGCTTACTGTGGTACTCGTTCAGTCCTTTCTGGATAACTGCCGTGTCATTTGTTGCGCCGTTCTCGCAGATCAGAATCTCCGGACATCGAAAGAAGACAAACGTCGGGCCAAAGATGACCAGTCTAGCGGAGAAGTTGACTTCCTGCCATACCCAAGCGCGACTGTACCACTTGGAGTCTGTGAACTCGAAGGTGAACATGAAGGAGGGTGTGATGGCCTTGACGTCATATGGTATAATGGAATATTCTTGACTCTCGTTCTGGAATACGGCATTCGAGGTTATTGTGTGTCTTGACACAGATGCCAGGGTGAAGTTTGCGTTGACCGAGAAAGCCTTCTCGGCAGCCGTTCGACGACGAGGGGCAAAGCGTAACGTAGGCGTTACGAAAGATGTCGTTCATCTTCTGGCTTTCCACCTCCCAGTCCGCTATATCAGCCTTGCCCTGTAAAATACAGAGCGCATCAACCCATAAGTAACGCATCTCCAACGCGTCGCAAGTTATGATAGCATCGCGAACGACGGGAGACATTGCGTCAATGCCAAATCCGTCGAGTCTCTCCGACAGGTTTGCGGAATTTGTCTTGGGCTGGTACGCTGCATCATCTGCGTTTCCCCAGCAGTAGCTTAACGCTGCGTATCTCACCCTGGGCAACCCTTCCGTCTGTATGAGCTTTATGCGCCCATTCGCTTTGTATTCGCCGATATCCAGCAATCTCGCAGGAGTAGAGCCAGAAGGCTCCCATGGATGGCAGGTCGATGCACAATGATCAATGGACCTTTTTGCGAAATTTAACGTTTGGTCTGATAGAACCTCTGTAAGAGGAGGGCGCAGAAACGGCATACTATCTGCTTATAGTTAGTGCATCCTCATTCTCCAAAGACAAAGTCATACGTACCGTCGTCGGAACATGGTAAGAATTGTGCATACGCGAGTGTATCATTCAAATCCCTGCCTTCACATATAGTGACGGAGTAATCGGAAACCTTCCTTGGCTCCACCTGAATCGATGTCGCGGACCTTGACACATAGCCAGTAACAGGCCCTTTGTACTCGGTCGAAGGGTACTGTGAAACGAAAGTGTCTCGAATTGATTTGCATAAGCCACAGCCAGATTCGGCGGAAGCCGCGAAGCCTGGTAGTTCAGGCCAAGTGTCTTCAAACCGGTACAGAATCTTGCTTGTCTCGTACGGACGATAGCCTTTGTTGTTAATGGGGTTATGGTCCAGCAAGAAGTCTAAATCTAGAACCGGTGAGCAGTTCCTGCATAGCTGCGAGATTGGTGGTGTAGACATTGCAGCCGATTTAGACGATAGGTCTCTACCAACAGGTTCATAGAGTCAGATTTGTTCTTCGTGATCTTTTCCGATGCCCTTCCTCTGATCCCTGTACGGAACGGGTGAATAGTCAGCCCGGAAATCGTTAAGGCATCTGAAACACCGACTTCGATCAGGCCAGCCTCTAATCAGATGCGCACATTTTATATGAAGCTATTCAAAGTCAACTACCGCCAACCGCGACTCATAGTCTCATGGGTAGATTTAGCAGACATTATCCAACTTGGCTATGGGAGAGTGCCATGCTGACAACGCCGGGAGGCCGTGATTTGATTAGATTTTAGTGACCACTGGCTGGGTTGCGTCTAAAAGCTTCGTGCAAGCTCCAGAATGTTGATGGGTGACCAAGACATGAACCATTCCTTTTAGTCTGGGTTGGGTACAGTTCTGTATGCCTGGGTTGAAAAGACTGCCCGTCACCTCGCCAGGGGCTGGCTGAAGGGCGAGGATTCCCAGAAGAACCCTACAGCCAGGAAGGTATTTCACTTATGTAGAGTCCGCGATGTCATCGCTGCTTGAGATAAGGGGGCTGGAAGCAGTTTTATGAACGAAGAACCTAACGCTCCGCCTGACAAGCTGCGTATACAGTTTACTTTTCGTGGTTCATTCAAAGCTTCGCAAACAGTCTCAATATCTCGCTGGCATCTTTCATTTGCTTCTCAGCATTCCAAAAAGCCTATTGTGTTATTTTTGTTGTGCTGCCCGGACTCCATGGTTGTCGAAATCCTGTATTATATATTACACTTTACCTATCAACCTTAGAGTGACGGAAAATGTTAGCTTTTGCCTTCGGAAACCACGTATAGCCACTGGGCCCTTGCAAAACCCTAATCTAGGCGCAAAGCCCACTGGCTTTAAGTTTAAAGACTGACTTTTAGCATAAAGTTTATGAAGTTTAAGCTTTATATTAATATTTCTGAAGACACACAGCATGGAGCTTAAATATTCGCGATGGCCCATTATTTAAATAAGTGGCCTTCCCGAAAACTGGAGTCTTACCCCAAACATATTAATGTACACAATACCATTTGAGAAAGGAAGAGGGGAGACCGTACGCAGATATCCAAGATGTTGAAACTCTGGCTATGTCCTCTCTTTAGCTGCTGCCGCAGAGCTATGCCTTCAGACTGTCCAGGTAAGACTCAGAACTGCTTTCTACTATTGCTACTAACTCAAATGGAAGATGAGGTGGAAAGCGTTCATCCGATGAGAATGGATGAGGTAAACAACCCGATGAGTGTGGAGATGCACAAGATAGACACCGCCAAAACCTCAACGCATTCGCTAATCCAGGAGACGACTTTGGACAACGATGAAGTGAAAAAGGTTCAACCTAAATTGGATGGCTTAGTTACACCAAAGACCCTGGCGGGATCGGAGGAACCACATGTCGAAGGTCTAGTCACTATTGTACACGACGAGTTTGAGGGCTTAAAGCGCTTATTTACACAACCAACAACTTCACACAAATATCAAACGAAGAAGATTGAACTTGAACCTGGGCGGTCAATAACACCTAAGAAACTATGCCCATCGGAGAAGCCACATGCCGAAGATCCAGTCACTATTGTACACGACGAGTTTGAGGGCTTAAAGCGCTTATTTACACAACCAAAGATCATAAGAGGGGTTCTCCTTACTGAAATTAACTCTCAGCCGCAAGTCTGAACCGCAAATAACACATTTAGCTTGCAGCTTGCCATAAAGAAAAAACTCGGCAAACCTTTGACTGCATCGCAACTGGCCGTTCTTCCAGAAGAGATCATCCTACATATCATTCGTCAAATATATGAAGGCACTGACCAACAGTCTCGGTGCGCATTCTTTATCCTTAGGCAGGTATCCCGGCAATTCAGACGTCTGGCCAGAGAAAAGTCTTTTCTATCCCATCCTTTTTCAGACAGAGAGTGCTGTGCATGGTGTGTCGGTTATAAAACTGACTCTCCTATTGCTAGATCGAAGTTCAGGAATTTAATATTCAGAAAAGCACATTGCTTCGAGCGCAGGATAGGAAGTCAAGACACAACAGAACTCGCAAATCTCGTCAGAAAGGACAAGATCTGCGAAGTTTGCCAATTGGAAGTCGAAAAGAGGCAGAGACGTGGTGTTTCATCAACGTGCAAGTTTGCCGCCCGGGACGACCAAGATTGGGTATACTGCCGCACCTGCCATGTTGAACATCCATCTTCATGTTTTTCCCGTGACGAATTGCAAAAGGAATCAAAGCGACGATGCATTGCCACAACGGGCTACGTTCGTCTTTGCGAACACAAGGTCCTGTTTTGGCATGACATAAAACACCAGGCTATGCGAGCGGGTGGGTTGACAGAGGTTCATACCTGCAGTCATCCAAGTCATTTGGAAAACGATCTCTGTCATTACGAAGTCCCCAGGGCCAAGATAAGTGGCTCTTATGACGGCAGGCTTGGCCTGTCCCTATCACTCACTGTCGTCTCGGCGGAGAAATGTCGGACTCTTGTGCCAGGTCAGAATAGCAGCATAGCACTCGACCAAGTACTCGAGGCTATTCAATCCGTTCGCCTGCAGGGAGCGCAGTGTATTGTCCCAGAGCGCAGCACGAAAACTCCTCTTGAAATGGACGCTTTCTTCCCCGCAGACAACCCTGGATCAGAAGAGAGGATGTGGACACCCATCAGCAAACGGCCCAAAGGCGGCGAGCTCAAGGATCGCGACGATCGGGGGAATCGCGCTCACGGGCTGCCGGTGTTTTGTAAGCCTCGCCGCTGCGGGCCTGATAAATCGATCACTCGTCTTTGCTTTCAGTATAAGAGAAAAATATGTGTCAACAACTCCGATTGGAATGGACCCAGTCACGACTGGTACCATGCAATCAGCCCAGAATCATATACATATTCTGGACCGCCAGGCGTTCCTGGGGCGTGCACTAATCCTTCCTGCCGAAATCACTATCCATTTACAACAAATTCAGAGCGCCACAGAGTTAGTTTGCGGAAAAACGATAGGGTGCCAGTAAAATCGAAATGGCACTGAGAGGGACGATGCAAATCCAGACGTTGTATATAGCTGTGTTTAGCTGATAGCGGTGAGGGTGTTGACTATAGCCCTTGCTATGTGGAATCATGTGTTTGGAGCAATTTATAGGGCTTGAAGTTGATCCCGCATATATGAGGATAAGGATAAGCAGTTTTACTTGAACTCCATAGCTCAAGGGAAGATCTATACTTTCATACCCCGGAAAGAAATAATTTCGATCAGGCAAGCCCTAAATCGGATGCGCATATTCTTTTCTCAAGCTACTCGATAGCTACAGCCGGCCATAGTCTGTAATCCTATATTCAGAACGCAGTATACAGATTGGGTTGCCTTCATAGTGCCATTTAGCCAGACTAGGAGGATAAGGCCAATCAGTTTACCTTAATACTAAACACCAGTCTGTGTTACTATATCTTAAAAGCTAAGAGAAGATAACTAAAACATTCTTCTAGCTTCAGCAACTTTAGGATACACGAAACACTAATAAAATAAACTCTATAAAAGGTATCCTAAACTTATCCTAAATTTATACTAAGTTACCTAAATCCTTTTACCAGTTAGGCTTTGGGTCCCGAGTTTATATCTATCACTTCTTTAGTGGCTGGCTGAATTCACTATGGGGCCAGGAACGGCTACAATATAGAAAATGCATGTGCTCGGCATTACCCAAGGCGTAACATATATGTGTCTCATCTACTTGCAATGCACGTAACTTGACTTAGTAATTTGCGGCTCTAAACCTGGCTGGCGTAAGGTTAGGGTTTTAAAAGAGGCTTCAGCCCCCTGAATGTAGGGCCTTGCAGAACACGGATCTTTTTTGCGTGTCGCGGCGCATTTATGTGAAGATTGAAACGTGTTTGGCTGGGAGCCTGCCATAAGCAGGTGCAACAATAGATGTATGGTCGTATGATTGGGCGAGTGATGCCAGCTGCATATTCCTGCATTCGGCGTTCATGGGGATGACCTGCTTTGTGCTTAAGCTGTTTTACTGGATAAGTAAAAGTCATGACGCACATATTATTGCATTAGTAATGATACTCCTCCACATTTCTGTCCCGTTGCGCCCGTGTACGTCGGGCATGTTCCCCTTTGCCTTTATTGGCGATGTAGATGCGGTTTTTCAGTTTCGTCCGCTCTAGGTCCATGCGATTGATGTCGTCGCGGGTAAGGAAGTCGTGAGGGGGCGAATCTTTGTCGATGACCAGCGTCTCGGTAATTGTGCGTGCATAGACCAACCACTGGGAACATTCTGCGCAACTGCGCATTGAACACGCACCAATGAAATGATGCCATGTCATACCGCGGATAGCCCTTGGGGCTGTGGTGAAATTTACATTCAATGTCAAAAATCAGGCTGTGCCTGCTTTCTTGGTAAAACGCAAAGACCTTCCAGGCAATCCTCCCTCATTCTTCACCTTTTTACCGTGGGAACATCCCATTGAATCTTCCATCAAAACTCTCTTCCTTACTACCTTCATCCCATAGTCAGCATCCAGTATCAGCGACCATGGAGCCCGTGGGTGCTACCGCCAGCATACTCACGTTTGTGACTGTCGCGTTTTCCGCTACCAAGTCAATTTACGGCGCCCTGTCAGCAATCAAAGACGGTCCCGAAATCCTTAGCTCTATCAACGATGAAGTCTCCCAGCTCCAGAGTATTCTTCAGAGAATATTGCAAGTGGTGTTGTCATCAACAGCGAGACCTGCCGATAGATCAAAGCTTGAGCAAATGGTCAAGAAATGCAGAGATGATTTGCTTGGATTTGAGACCAAGCTTCGCCAACTCGGTGTCTCAGGAGCCGATGGCCGAAAAGGCCAATTATGGCGAAAGTTTAAGATCTGCTTTGAGGATAAAGACCTCGATCGGATTCGTCATGTAATCGGGAGACATGTCCAACTACTCACACTCTATTTAGGCACCATGCAGGACCAGCAGACGTCGCTCATCGCAGCACAATCAATGGAAATACTTGCCCATGTCCAAAAACTCCAGCAGTTATCACCTACAGCCACACAGTCAAACGAGATACTTACTCGTATCCGGGAACTCCAGCATACATCTCCTACAGCAGCACAGTCAACAGAAATGCTCGCGCGTATTCAGAAGCTCCAGCAGACATCACCTACAGCAACACAATTGAATGAGGTGCTTGTTTCTCTCCAACAGCTTCAACAAGATATGGCCATATTGCAAGTATCTAGCAAATCTGCTGAAACTAAAATCGGGTCATCAGGTATTTCATCAAGGGTCGTAGAACTAGACGACGAGAATTTACCGATTTCGCAGCAGGCCCCTCTGGATGATGCCATCGCTCGATTGATGCGGTTACTTGAGAAGAAGCCATGCATCATAGAGTTTGATGACGCACAGAAAACATTCGATGACCTGGAGCGCCTATTGCAGTCTATTCGGGATGGTATACACTCTACAAAAACGGGAGAAGAGGATGAGAATAAAGATGCAGACGTCTCGAAGGAGATGAAGCTTTTCACAAGTCTGATTTTCTCGGCCCAATCCTTGAGAGTCAACCAAACCGGTAAGTCTATCTGCCAGTTTAGAAACTAGTGGCTAACTTGAAAAGAACAGATGAACTCCTTCGAGGCTACTGAGCCAAGAGTTGGTATCCTTCAACAAAGAAAGCGCAAAGAAATGGACGCTGGCGACAACGTTCTTACAGTCGTGACAACAAAGCGACGAAGGAACCTTCTGCCCGTGTCACAAAACGCACCCCACAGCGAAATAAGCGGGTGGGGGTTCCTTGGGAATTTAACCATAAAGTCCAAGACCAAGAAGAAGATGATCACCGTATCTGTTAACCGGAGCCAGCTTTTATTCGACCAATTTACCAACATGTTGCCACGAGTAATAGTTTGCCAGATTCTCCCCAACAACTCGCACGTTTTCCGAGTAGCAGCACATGGCTCGGTTCAAGATCTTATGAAATTGATAGTTGAGAACAAAGCTAGCCTTCATGACCATGATGAAAATAACTGGTCTTTACTGCATGTAAGCATTCATAACACACTGATAATTTGTTTGCAATCTGTATCAAGCTAAGCAGCCTGCTATTTATCTCAGCACGCGGTCGGAAATCTCCCAATGTTGAAGTTTCTTATCCAGAAAGGATTAGATGTTGACGAGGTTGCAGAATCCCGTAACCAAAATCACAACCGTCAAACGTAATTTCTTCCTGAAGTCTTTCAATCGAACTTGAACTAATTAGAATTATATAAAGGAATCCTTTAACTCTAGCATACGATCACGGCTATGATATCAACTTTTCAGAAGTCCTTTTACATGCTGGAGCTGATCCTACTGTTAAATTGGAGGGTGATCCAATATTGGTCGATTCTATGCCTGAAAGTGCCTGTATTGAGGTGAGAGATTCATTACACAATCTAGAACGAGTTCATTGGTTAAATGAATAGACCAGGAATATTCTGTACCGCATCCTTTGTATTAGCCCATTCGTGTTTCCAGACTCTCGCAATGAGGTTTACGACTACATATATGACTTCTGTCAGGCATGGCTAGAAACCCCGGGAGGTTTCAATTCAGAGAAGGAGCGGCAAACTTTGGATCTCCTAATCAGCCACGGCTACAGCTTACAGACTTACTACGGGAGGCAAAGTGGCCTTCATGGGTTCTTTTCAAGCAAGAAGAAATCATTCTCTAGGGTACTGGAACGACGGAATCTGTTGATATATCTCATATCAAAGGGCACCGACCCTTGCACAGCCGATATTGAGGGGAAAACAGCTTCAGACCTCGCATATGGAAGCATGTGCAAGCCTTGCTCCATGACACAGTCCTCTTTGATGGGTGATCTATGGGACACTGTTCTGGACATTTGTGGTTACGACATCTCAAGGTTCCGGTGCAATTACCCGCGGAGAGCAAGTTATAAAAATGGCTATAGCCGCGAAATGTTTGAAGAGCTCTGGCGTGGTAGGGAGGAGCGCTGCCCTTACTGGAACGACGAGCCTTGGCCAGAGTTTCCAAATGAAGAGGCGGAGTCCGCTTTTGAGTCGACACTATGGCAGAGCTTGTGCATGCACTGCTGGAGTTGCTTCAATAATAATGACAGCTCTTGTGATAACTGCGGAATTTGTCGTTTGGTCTTCCGGTACACCTGTGGTTGGAAATTCGACGTTGATCATGAACACCACTCCTGTTGTCCCCGCTCCCGAGTTGGTTATTTTGAGCATTTCAAAGATTGTCACCGCTATTACTTCAGACCGAACAGCGCTTCATATTTAGACTCAAGTGATCAAGAGTCTGTAAGCGACAACACCTCATCCTCAGGCGATGGATTTAAAGCTGAACTGTCATCGTCTGATGAGGCAGTGACTACACATCGGGGTTATGACTCTGAGCAAATCATTTCAGACGATGAGTCAGATGGAGGAGTTTCATTATAGATTTTCTAAGAGATGGAGTTCTTGAAAGCTTGGTAAAGAGGCAGGGAGGGGCAAGAAAACTTAAGACCTTTATCCTAAGTAATAAAAAGATTTAGGCAATTTAGTCTAAGTTTAGAGGAATCTTTACTGGGTTTATTTTAACATTCTCTTCTAAATATTATGTTTTCTTGCTCCTTTAGGGTTGGACTGGGCCCCCTATCGCGTGTTGAACTTGGCAAAACAAGCTGCTGATTATGTTAACTCTAACAAGAAGCCATGTAGAAACGTGCTGCATCGTACCCAACTTAGTAACCTTCGTGATCCCTCAATCGACGTCGATCAAGCAATGACTTGATTCTGCTTCCATAAATCTCCACTCTGTAGGCGTCGCACATAAGGTCCTGCATAAAGCTTCGCGCATTGTCCCCTTCTTTAGTCGAGATGGGAAAGTCAGGCTTGCAAACGACAACATCCTGTCCCTTTAATCCCATGTCTTGCTCGCAGTACTGTCTACGGGAAGCTTCATGCTCGCATATATATGGATTTCCTGCCATATGTACCGCAAGCAAAAAGAAAAAGACTTGTCCCTTCTTAGCGTCTGTTGCGTCATGTAGTGATGTCGGAAATCTTTCTCCATTTCTCCCGAACGCCGCAGCAGCGTAGTGAGCGAATACGCTGTAGGGCAACTTTTTGATAAACCACGGGACGATTTCGGGGCCAAAGTTAAAACAGTCCATCAGGCGATGGTATAGAGCGTTCATTCGGAACACAATGTCCTGTCGGTTCGAGAACAGCGGGTGCGAAAGCTTCCTCTTCTTCCAGAGCGCAAAGTTCTCGTTGGAAAGTCCATCTTTACCAAGCAACGAGTACATATGAGCCTCAATGAAAGCGCCGTCATGTGTGCCGCCGAAGGTATGTTCCAAGAATTCCGATGTTAGCAGCAGTGTACTTGTCCGCCGCTCCTTTCTCATGACAGGTGAAGCTAGACATAGACTGTCGAAATTATCATAACATTCAAGATAAGTTATAATTATTTCTCGTATCTCGGAAGGGAGGTGTTGGAAAGGGTCCTTGACGCTCTGGGACACGGGTGCGCTCTGGGACATACTGGACCGTCGATCTTGCAAGCTTGAAAATGAAGAATTGGGAGGAAGGGATTTTCACACAGGGGGACTTTTTTATACTTGCGTGGTCAAGAACTTTCTGTCGTGGCAAATATTTATATGCCAATTGCAAGTCTATACTGCCTAAAGTTTAACCCTATGGCTTGCCACAATTGGCTCACTCACCAAAGTCAAAGTCATGCTCTGTGGGTTCGGGACAGACACTTTTACTGATCAAGGCTTCAGATGCATAGCTCTAGCTCGTCAAGGACGTAATACCTGATTGAGCGACTAGTGGAGCAGACAAATCAGACGAATCTTGGTACCCAAGGCTATCATCAAACAAACACCCACTCTTCTTCTCCCTCCTCATCTGTTGCCTGATCCGATCCGTGATCAAGTATCCGGTAAGTAACAACTACTTTTGTGAATTGCTCCCACTTTTCCTCTCTCCGTTTTCTCAACTCTTCCTCTTCCGCCGCAGCCTTGATCCCATCTCGCACTGACATTTCAATTTGCAGGGCAAGACCGGATGCAAATCCCGAGGCAGGGTTATTCTCTTCGATGATATACCTGTGATGATGGTAGAAGATTGTCGGATGAGTAGGACCAGAGAGGGCCAAAACATCCATGACATCTACAAGAATAAGAAAAGTCGTTACGTGATCATATTCTCTTTTATTCAAGGGATATGTCGTTGGAAATCTTTCGCCATGCTTTCCGTACGCCTTGACGATGTGGTGGGTGAGGCATTCATCTGCGTGCCTCTCGATGAATGTACGGACTATTTCGGGACCCAGGCTCAAGTAGTCTCCAAAACGTCCATGAAGTGCTTCCATATCGTAAACAATCTCAGGTTTTGTCGAAAATAAGGGATTAACAAGTCCGAATTTCCAATAACCCAACCAATCATCCTCTGATAAGTGACCGTCAGAAAGAAGACAACGCACTTGAGCGGCTTTAAAACGCCAGCGAGACTCCCAGCGAGAACTATAGCTATAGCGATCATACAGCTGATCAAATTTGTTAAAGACAGAATCCGAGCAAATCGTCAACTTGTTTGTATGTCGCTCGTGATTCATAACCACCGAAGCTTTACAAAGACTGTCGTACCATTCGTAGCGATCCATGTTTGTTATGATCTTTTGTCGGACATTGGAAGGGAGACGGAAAAAGGGGTCTTTGGCGGAAATATCCTTCATGGTGGTGGTTGAGGGTGCCATCTGGGGCTGAGAAGCAGGGCTAAAATGTGAAGAATCAAGTTCGACGTGGATTCTCAGCGACAGGAGAACTTTTTATAAATTAGTAATAAGCTTGCCTTTGTAGATGACTATGTTCTCAAAGTTTGGTCGGATGGTGTCATGAGGCAGACCTTAGCAAACCTCGAAAACCTTATAGTGACAGAATTTCCATTGTTCTCTCGAGCCTAAACTTACATTCGACCATCAAAGACAAACTTTGCATATAAACCTTGACAACAGTCAGCCAACTATATCATACCGAGGGCCAGAAGACCCTCAGCACATGAAAGGATAGTGTTTCCTTTGAAATGAACCTTCGAGAGGTCCTTTTATCACCAAGTCTTGTGTACGGGTTGACACTCTGGGTCATATACCTCAACTGCAAATAACGTGCCTACCGTAACTAATTCTATAGCACAAACATCACACATGGAAACGACCTGTAGTCTTAACTTCCAAGACATCACTAGTTGCGCCAGATCTGGTGGAGGGCAGTGGATCAATAGTGTCGATATTTTCGAATTACATATAGCAAGTTCATCCATCATAGGGCACGTCCAGTCCTCCTTGTCCAGTCCTCCTCGCCCCATTACCCATTCTGACCATATCGTGTCTTTCACATTTCACCTATGACTACACCTGGACATTGCTTCATACGGGAGGATGAACCTCAAAGAATAGTTTTCCTTTCGGGCGGCCGTTTTGGTTCAAATTGTCATAGAAACTGGTAGTTATTCACTCATCCTCTCGATGACCTCGAAGCTTCTAGGAAAGTGATGCTATCTTGGAATCCCCAAACAGAAATTTATTGGGCGTACTTGCGTTCAACAACAAAACTAGCATTGGATAAACACCATTTCTTCTGCTTCCTTCTGTCCCTCCTCCGCTTCCTGCTGCTCCTCTTGCTCCTGATTATCTTCACCGAAATACAGGATTGTCTTGAATCAAACATATGAGCTGCTTTCTAGATGTTAGATATTACTAGGCCTTGGCTAGCTTCAAAATACAAGCGACAAACATCATGCAGTATCAGAACTTGGTCATTTGCGAGCCGAACAAGGTTTAAGGTATGGGTTCATTTCATGATAGAATAATGAATTAATAGTAACCAAGCTTTTGAAATGGCAAAATGCCTTTTCTATCATGTCTTAGCTCTCATCTCAAAGTTATTCCTCCTTCTTATCCAAAAACAGTTTATAGTCGTGCAAAACTGCGCATTGAACTGACATTATCCATCTATCAGCAAGCATATGGAAACGCTGCTCCCTGATAGATAGCTGTTTATCTAACTCTCTGGGATTTGTGACAAAGGCCGATGGGCATTGGTCCATTGTTTCGATAATTAGAAGAAGCAATAATGTTCGGTACCAAATATCAGACCCAACCGAAGGCATCGTGGTAGGAAGATGTTCCCCATGTTTTCCGAATGATTTGGCGGCGTAATGGCCGAAGATACCACCGTAGGAGTCGGGATATTTAGCTCTATATAGAGGCACCAATTGAGGGCCTAAAGAAAAGCATTCGACCATGCGTTGGTAGACGGCGTTCATCTCAAAGATCAAGTGTTGCTCTGATGTGAACAGCGGATCCCGCAAGTATTCGTCATGTTCAAACGCTGGAATCGGTTCCTTAATCTTGGAATACTCCACAAGTACCAATATGCAATTGAACATTTCATAGTCCAGCTCTTTGTGGAGGGCTTTCCAGGTTTTCAGTAATTTGCTCGTGTGGAGCTGATGCCTGAAAACGGGTGATGCTTGACAGAGATCTGTGAGAACATCCTCGGCAACTAAATTTGATATAATCCTTTCCCGTATTTCTAAAGGAAGTAGTCCGAAGGGGTCCATTATGAGAATTTCGAGTCGCAGTTGTAGTATGAATGGTTGATCGGATCTTGTGATGGTTCAGAAATTAGGAGTTGTTGGTTGGAATCTTTGCGGGCGGGGCGCGATTTTATAGGCAGAAGAGGAATATATTAGCTTTTGTGGCCCACAAAGAATAGGCTGCCAAAGTTTGGGGACGCGTGTGAGGCGCGTGATGTGAGGCATCAGCTGTGGCCGTGGGAACTATCAACTCAAAAAGTCACACAAAATTTGACTTCGGCAGGAAACTACCTTACTTTCTTCTCGCGGTACCTTTTCGTGGAACTGGAATATGACCCACAGTTGTGATTGGTGGTATATGTAGTGCGTTATCGAATTCTTTGTTGCGAGCACAGGGTCTCGCCACCATAAAAAGCTTGAACCACGGAGCTCAAAGTGCTGTGCTGGATCTCATCTTCCGTGATTATGAGGTCCATGAATAAACTTTAAGAGAAGTTCGACTTCGTTTTGATGCCCTAGTCCCCACCGGAACCCGCATGGCATTCTTTATTATCGGTGCCATAAGGTGTTCAGAGGTAAATAGAGAACCTGTGGGCCATAAGCTGTGACCATTAATTACCAGTAGCAGTTCTAGCACGGCAACTTTGCCTAGTGCGAAGGAATTCGGAATCTCAATAAATTGATTGATACTCAAACCTCATGACTTCTCAACGAGACATATCAAGCCACCACACTCAAAAATCCCAATAAACTTTAGCCTTTGAAAGGCAATATGCGCATAACCTCCACAAAGGTAAGTCACCTGATTGAAAATAGAACAATCTGCTTTTGTGACGACGGAATCTCGATAGATGTCATGACTCTGGGTAGAAGCCTCTTTTAAAACCCGAACTTTACCGCAGTCGACCTTTGTCGACCTATCGAGCTCGGTACTGCCACAAGCATTCTAACAGGCGCAAATCTTGTTGTGAGCTCCATCTATTCCTCAAAAGTCCCTCATTTTGATGCTCAATTGATGGCACCCAGGATCCTACTGCAGTTCCTATTATGGGCTGGTTCAGCATCCAAAGTTCACATGGATGGCGGTGAACAGCCTCCATTAAATCGAGCACGGCAGCTCTCTTTGGCCCCACGGCTTCCAAGACGGTTCCCCAGACGCTAAACGTTATGCTCCTGACTGGCTAAGCTCGCTCAGTGCGTCTTATGACTCAATATTGGGCCATACATGGTGTTGCAGAAGAAACACCTGTGAATATTAACGAAACTACGCACCGCGGATTCTCGTCTGAACACTTGCCAACTTACTGCTGAAGTCCGTGATCAGTCTAGCCATAGCTTTTTGTAATGCATTCCAATTGAATGGCAGAGTGCCAGGCTAACAAGCTACTTGATCAACCTCCAGATTCGAAAAGAATATTTGAGCCTCCATTGAAGAGGTTATGGAAAAACCGCTCATTTATGATGCCGCAATCATTTAAACTTAGTTCAAGTGTAAGCGCAACACCCTGATGATCTTAATAAAGACAAGTCTTTGAACTTGTTTGTAAAAAGACCGTCATACCCTACAGAAGTGTCGTGAGTCGGCGATTTCTTCTTTCAGCCTGCCTTGGTAGCCGACGCCAAGAAGATCGCTTCAGCTAGGATCCGCAGCCCTGTCACTTTAGCTCCCCAAGCGCAGCACTCGTTGGCTGATTTCCATGATCCTAGCCAGCATTGAGGCACAGATCCTTGTATGATGCCTAAATCGTTCCATAATTAACCCAAGGGCAACCAACGAGAGTCTAGATTGTCCTCGTGTAAAATTAGACCGGCCGCTGATGACGGAAACATAAACACCACCTCATTCCCGGCCCCAACGGTTCCCTCTTGTTCTTTGACGCCATTCATTCTTTTGCCATGGCGACGTTCAGTTTATTACATGCCGCTCTTCTTTTCTGGGTGGCTCTGGCAGTCGCCCAGGGTTCCGATTTGAAGGCTCTCAAACATAAGGGCTGCTATTGGTCGAGACCGACGAATTTTGTGGTTGGTGGATTTTCGAGGACCGAGGTTGAGCGTCAGAAGTGTCTCGACACATGTACCCGACGCGGTCAGCAATGGATTGCGTTCGGTTCCGTCAACTGCTTCTGCAGTAAAACCGCCCCGAGTTATCATCAAGTCGACAATAACCGCTGCAATGCGCAATGTATCGGTATTTTGGATGGTGACTGCATCAAGCAGCCAAGAAACATCTATGCCTCTGAGGAGGAGGACGAACTTTACGCCGTTTTCTCCATCCCTTTCATCGCCAATGACGAAACACATCGACTGTCTGCGCACCACAGACAGGGACCCTCTACTCATACAACCGAATCCAAGCAGCTCGCGACAAACCGAGGCGAGGTTGGCAAGATCACGGCGCAGGGATGCTATTATATCTCATGGAGTTTGTCAATGCTCATGAAAGTGTTGATCAGTGATGATGACTCCCGTCGTGAATGCGCCAAGATCTGCGCTAAAAATGGAAAGCCTCTTGCTCTGATCAGTGGAATCGATTGCTCCTGCGGTACCATGTATCCTGCAAGAGATGCCACTGCTGGTTCTGATAAGTGCTACATGCCATGCTTGAGCGACGGTGATGATAGATGTCAGCGCGATTCGGAGTACGACCCAGCTCGTCATTATCATTATACCGCCGTTTATGACACCGGCCTTGGTCTTGATATCGAGACTCAACCTTCTATCGACACTGAGTTACCGAGTTCTGGAAAAACATCTTCCAAGCATACTGAGCCAAATGATCATCCCGGACAGGCTTGCTACAGCAGAGTACCTCCAAGTCCTGTATACAACGTGTTTGCGGGCAATACTCCTATGCTATGTCATCGCTTCTGTCAACGAAAAGGTCTTATGTATGCGATCACCTGGGATCAGATCTGCTACTGCAACAACGAATACCCCGATAAGAAAGACGAACTTCCAAATTCTCAGTGTAATATCCAGTGTCCCGGAACAAATCTTTTCAAGTGCGGTGGCGGCAGCAATATCGCGTTCAGTGTTTACAACCTTGGCCGTGAGAGGAGGCCTGCCATCAAACCTGAACCTATCAGACAAATTGAGCGATGCTTCTACGATATCCCAAGGACCGCAAGTCGCATACCCTTAGACGCAGGTGCAGTCTCAAGGTTCCCCTCATCCTGCATCGACTCGTGCAAAGCCGCAGGAAGAGGTGTTGCGTTCATCAAAGGCTCGCAATGTCACTGTGCCCAAGGTTATCCTCGCTTCAGCTCCACAACAGACCTTCGCGAATGTCAGATTCCTTGCTCTGGCGATTCTAAGTTCTCTTGTGGAGGCTACGGTGTCACTGCAGACACTTTCTCAGCATACAGGACTGGCTACTCAGAAGGGACACACCGCATCCAACACGAATCCAACAACAGGGCGCATGTACAAAGGCCTTATGAGGAGCCCAGCTTAGGCTATGTGACATCGCATGGCTGCTACAACATGCAATCTACCACCTTGACACGCAAGAAGCTTGAGGGCAGGAACACCCTTGAACAATGCGCTCGCTACTGTCAGCGTGAGGACAAGCCTGTCGCAGCAGTCCAGCGTGGCTGGTGCCTGTGCTCTGATACATATCCTGCCAAGAGCGCACGGGTTGATGATAGTCAGTGTGCGAGCTGGTGTCCCGGTTGGTCTCGTGACGCTTGTGGCGGAAGGAGAACTTGGAGTGTTGTGAACACAGGAATAAGCACTGACGTGGCGGACGATGAGACCAAGTCCGAAGAAGTCGAGCGACCTTCCAAGGTCCCCAATCGTCCGGCAGAGTTGGGACTGTCTAAGCTAAAGTCCCATGGCTGCTTCAAGCTTCCTGACTTCACCTCTTCGTATCCTCCTCGCGTCAACATCAGAGGACCTTATCGAAGCTCCAACGGAGATTCTTGCAACAGGCAGTGTACCATTAAGGGATATTCTGTAGCCCTTCGCCATGGATCCAGGTGCTTCTGTTCCAACAAGGTTCCCGAGGAATCTGCGCGAGTTGCCGACGACAAATGTTGGTTTACTTCCATTTTCGACACACGCGAGCAGTGTGGCGGACCAGATGATGCTTACTCTGTGTACCGCCTTGGTTCCGACTTGTCGCATACAGAGGAAAAGGAGGTTCTCAAGGGCGACAACCCTAGCAACTCTCCTGTGAAGAGACCACAGTGCCTGCATCATGGGATGGAGCGCATCTACGAGACTTCATCGTCAGCCATCACTAAGATGGGCGAGTTTGCTCAGAACGCCCGAGAAGGCTTGGCTGGATTCCTTGACAAGGCTCAAGATGTCTTCGACGCCGGTCTTTGGAGAGTGATGGTTGCGTTCTCAGATGTTATGTATAGTTTGGGATGGAGATCGAGTTCAAGTGATGTTGATCTATAGAATATAGCCACATATAGTCTCTTATGTTATTTCATGAATTTGAACTTCTCATACGGTCTGCCTGTCAATGTCTTACCGAGAGTGACGTATTCCCACTGGGTACAAAGAAAGAGCTAACGAGAGTGGCCTACATCGGAACTAAGTACATAAGTATGAGGTGTAGTGGATATTGTCCTATGCCCCTTATGGTGGCACATAAACAACTCTCTCATCACCTCCTATAGTGAAGAAGAGAACAGTGCATCCATCTGGCACTGCATTTTCCATATCGTAGGAGAATTGCTGAGACTTGGCATCGGCAAGATTCTGTACAGCTATGGTGGCTGACTTCCCTCCATTGGACTGGAAGTAACGCATGAAAACTGATTCGGGATTCGAAAGATCGTAAGCCCTGAGAATGACCATGAAGTGAGTCACGACATCGTCCGCATCCACAACACACCAGTCGATATTGACAGCGCGATAGTCAGCATCGTCGTAAACTCTGTAGGTGATTTCGTAGCCAGCGTTCCCTTTGATTCGCAAGTTATCCCAGTAAGCCGCAATGGCCACTGATGGCAGGCCATTGTCCGGAAATGGGTTATTAGAGGATTGTGCGATGGAGTTGTCAAACAAACTGATCAACCCGTTGAAACCGACGTAGATGGTTTCACTGGACTCGGTGTATAGTCCAACTGGGAACAGAAGAGTAAGCTCCTCGACTCCATCTTCGCTGTCTTGGTCACCGCTAAATAATACGGTTGGGTTGATGAGATAGGACTCGCACGCACGAGACGGTGGACTAGTGGTGGTAGTAGTAGTCTCGGCTTCTGAGGTTGTTGTAGAGATTTCTGTTGTGTTGTCTGACGTGCTTGTTGATTCCAAAGATGCTGTAGTAGTGGTAATCTCGCTGGTAATGGTAGTCTCACTGCTAATGGTAGTCTCAATGCTGATGGTAGTCTCAGTATCGGTGGTAGTCTCGGTATCAGTGGTAGTTTTCCTGTCGATAGTCGTTTCTATGCTGACGGTAATACGAGTGTCGGAAATGCTGCCACTAGATTGCGAAGTGGGAGTATCTATATCGGACATTGCCGATGTTGTCGCAGCTAGTAAGCTGGATGCTGCGTCATCCGTGGGAGGCTGTGATTCTGAAGACAACACGTCAGTGGGCAAAGCAATATCTGTCGTTGCTTCGTCTGACGGTGTGAATGTAACACCAGGAATGTTTGTGAAAGAAAGGTCTTCAGATGTCTCAATTGGTACAGTCGGGAAGGCGGCCGTTGAAGTATTAGAAAAGCGAAAGAACTTGTTTGCACAGGTCGTGTTTGTGTAGGTGCTAAAGACGGTGGAACAAGAGTCGTCAAGTCCACGAGCGGCGTGGTGTCGGAAGGGTCAGTAGAAACAACAGTAGTCGTTGCACTGAAGAGAAGAGATGTGGCCACAGAATCCACTGTAGGTTGCATGGTCTGGAGATCGGTTGACGTAGGAGCAGCGCTTGTAGACGCTTACCCATCTTCGCATTCATCGACTATCGTCAACAATTAGCTTCTGGTGATACTAAAGACACAGACAACCATACCTCCAACGACAGATAATCTAACTGACACGCAGCCTTCGGGTGAGGATGCAAAGGTTATGTATACCAGACCAGTTCCTGGGTTCTGACAGAAGCCTGCTTCACCACTAGGTAGGTCAGGGCTGCGAAACCGGAGAAATCCACCACCACCAGAGAATGTTGTAGCGACAGCTCCACAGGGTACTGTCGCCTGTTCACCGCGCAGTTCCTTGAAGTCTTCCCCGTTATAATAGATGGGCCTCCCCCCGTCAAGAAGGCGTCCATCGGAGAGGCTGAATGCAGAAGCATCTTGTCATACTTCCGAGGTAGAGCCTACACAGCCCCCGAGCGCTCTCTTGAGACGCCTACGTCTTGAGTTTTCAGTGTCTGGAACGATGCGGAAGACAACGAGCTGATCGTCAGGCCCGGGCGCTGTCGTAGGACTGGAGTTCGCAGTATTCGTATCCGTTGTGGCCGAAGTTTCGATCGACTGACTTGAGTCGTCAGAAAGAGACTGAGAAGTCTGGAGAGTCTCAGTCAGGTCGAGAGATGGACCTGATCCGGGCTCGAATGTGGTAGAAGCTGTTAAGGCAGCATCAAAAGTCTGCGATGTGCTGTTCGTGGCATCTGTCGGCACGGACCCCGTGACATTCGACGAGACAGGAACAATGTACGTCGATAAGTACGTTACACAGACTGTATCCGATTCTTTGAAAACATATTGAGCACCAGTTTGCGTAATTAGACCTCAAAGCAGTAGCGAAACGAGTCGTCGTGACATTTTGCTATGTACCAAGACAAGCAGCTTACCCGCGGAGGGCGAAAGAGGCGAGGCATCATATTCAATGGCTTTTCTCTGATATCCACCGTAAGGGAGAATTTACTCCGGATTTTGATGTGAGGAATGAACACATTTGGTCGCTCAGGAGTTGAGAGTCGCTAGTCGGTATGTATAGCTGCAAGGGAGCAACAACGGTCGATGTCTCAGCCTAGACCCGACTCAAACTAGGGAGCGTTATGGATCGCATCTGGATAAAATATGCTTGTTTTTGAAGCGAGACATTGCCTTGTAGTTGTTACTGGTTAGTAAACGGGGCTCCTGTTCGACCCTTCCAGGCTCACTGGCACTACCTGACTCCCTTCATGTATGTGTTTTAAGACTCAAATGCGTCGAAGTCTATCACATAACGCTCAAGCTGGAGCATTGTTTGCTGGCCGTTTGTTTTGGCTTGAAGTCACAGGTATTGATTGAAATCTTTGCATATTGTTGCAGGGAAAATAGTGAAGCCGGATGTTTGCATGTCTCGAGAGAGCTTCGGGCGACACTTGCGCCCGAAACTGAACCAAGTCAAAATTATATCGTTGCCATCAATTGGGCATCGGGACCATTGTTTGAAGAGTATTATCGTATTTACGAGTTCTCTAATTTTTTAAGAGTCAGTAATAACGATAAATGAATTAGCGTGAATATCTATAGCCAGCAAACTCCTGCATCATATCTTTTTTATATCTTTATAGATTCGGTCGGTAAGAACTCAAAGTAGCGAGCCCATACAATAGCGTTTTATCCGATCCAAATTCCCGTAAGTACACATAATCCATGACAGATAACTATTAGAAGATTCCGACATCACAGAAATGCAATGTAACCTGCGAAGTGACTTCAAAACGGGCTCATTGAACATCTGATAGAGTTTTCGGCTATTCTTGAACTTCGTGACCCGTTCCATATCCGATCCGATCTTCTGACAAGAGTCGTTCTCTTTCAACGTCGGCCCACATGTCAACCCTCTTCTCGACAAAGACTCTACCCTTGACAGTAATGAAGATGGTCAAGATAAGCCCTACCAGGGCTCCAGCGGCGCCCAAAGTCGCGTTGACGGGCGTTGGGTCATCGTGTAGTGGACCATGAGTAAGCGCATCGAGTCCGGACTGAATGAGCTGCGTGATTCCGGAGACGCAAGTGACCGTTCCGTAAATGCGCCCGAACGTAGCGAAACCGAAGACTTTGGTGGCGTAGTCACTAAGATATAGGTCAGTAACTAGATTTGATGAAGCCATTTGAATGGCACTTACGAAACTGCTGAATAATACAGAGGACGGAAGAAGACGAAAGCAACGACTGTGAAGTATCCAGCAATTATGTTCGGAATACAGTTCAGGACTCCAATCACGATGATAAATACCGTCAAAACGAAAAAGGTAGCGGGAACACTCAGGTTGTTGAGCAAAATTCCAATGAAAGGCGTCGCGGCGACGCCTCCAATGGGGAGAGCAGCATCGAAGAACTCATTGATGCGCTCAGCGGCTTTGTCGGAGCCCAACATGTATCGATACTGCGATCTGACACCCGCGATGAAGTAGTTCATGCGAATCATCTGGAGGATAGTCAAAACCAGAATGAGAATGAACCAAGGCGTCATCATCTGCTGGTGAGCTGGCATTCCATGGAGAACACCCCAAACACCACTGGCTTCCTGTCGGCCCTCCTCTTCTCTGACTCGCTCGCCCCGTTCTTGACGATCGCCGGCGAGTTGCTCAATCTTCTCAAGCTTTGCCTTTCTCTGGCCGGCTCGCGCACTTCGGACGCGGGTAAGTTCGTTTGTATTCTCGATCTCTTCATCAGATTGGTGAAGATCGCGAGTGCTGTCTTGGGCGTGCTCGATTTTCTGCTCGAGTTGCGGAAGGGTATGGTACGAGTGCGCTGGCATCCACAGGAATTCAGCCAGTAAAATGGCGACCGGGACGGAAATGTAGCCGTAAAAGAATTTGTCGAGTGAAAATGATCCGTCGGAAGCATCATAAGCCATGCGATAGAACAAAAACACTGCAGCCGAGGCATCAAAGGCGCCGGTGACGAGCGCGACGATGAGTCCAGAATATCTGGGAAACGCGTTGGCTAGTTGGTAGCTAGAGACGAAGATAAATGTGCCACCGAAAGCTAGGAGGATGTTCCCGATGAGATATCCGTGGAAGCCGGGATGCGAGAATGAGATGGCCATCATCAACGAACCGAGGGCGAGCAGGACACTCGAGACCAGCCAACACACCCGTCGACCGAAGCGATCAAGGACAGAGCCGGCCAGAAGAGAAGAAACATTCGCAGAGATTGAAGCTGAGATGAACAAAAGGTTTAAGCGCATGTCTTGCTCGGCGCATGGGATCCTGTAGTCCACCACCGGGCAGAGATCGGAGTAGATGCCCTCCTTGATGAGAATTGGCTTGAGGGCAGCGAAGCCGAAGACGATGCCTGCTGCGAACCAACAAGCAATTATACCAGTCGCTACCTGAACTGCGCGAAGTTAGCTATGCGTCTCTATTGATCCGGACTGTACTCCTTACCGTAGCGCTTGAGGTTGGAGACCTTGTAAGCAGCAATGTTGGGTAATTTCTTAGCAATCTCAACAGGAGCAAAATTCAATCGTCGCCATTCTGATCGGTCACCGCTTTGATCGCGTTCATCCCCAGGAACAAGAGTATTTTCTGTGACAAACTCAGGAGATACACTCGGATGACTCGGACCTTCATAGCTGGGATTCGCTGGGCCTTCGTAATCGAAGCCCTCAGTCTGGGTTACATGCTGAGCGAGAGACATTTGCGCGTCCGATTAAAAAAGAAAAGCCACTGCCCAAGCACAAACTAAACGAAAAAAGGTACAGAGCACGAGCGAAGATAATAAATAGGGCGGTAATTAAATCCGAAAGAGCATTATTTATTCCCTAATGCTTGAGAAATTGCGGTCAGGATCACCATGTTTCGGTGACTTTCTTCCGTTGACCGTTGCCGGTGACGTCAACTAGATCTCATTGTCAGAGCATGTTGTTATCGGGCGATAAGACTAGAATGGTCTTGGGGATACAAGCGAGGGTATTCGCAGATTGTGAGACCGTGGAATCGCATCGAACTGGGGGGCCTCAGGCATTTGTTGCTTTGACGCGACACGCAATTTCCATGTTGTTTGCTGTTGCTTGCCGATGTGAAGTTTCGCGAAGCTTCCCCGGCCGATGAGGTGGAGGCCACTAAGTTACAGGGGGCGTCGTACCATTGATGTTACCCTACACCAACCGCATCATGTTGAGCGCCGTGATTGAGCAATCGATTGTGAGTTCCCACTGGTCAATTCCATTAACGACATCTGTTGCTGATTGGGGGGATGTTTCTGTGCAGTCTGCAAACCTCCATCTGGCTTTCTTAGACGACTGGCAAAGAATGCGTGTAGCTGTGCGCTTTCGAGACCAGGCACCAGTAATTTTAAACTGTATCACCACTACTAAGAAGATTCATGACAGTACACGGATTATTGTCGCCTCAATTTAATCTAATAAGTCACGTTCGGGCCTCAGGCCTTTTATGTCAGTTTTCTTTTTAACAAGCCAAAGTTGAATGCACTTCTTATATTACTCCACGCAGCACCGTAGGTTGAAGTAACTATCTTCGAGGGTATGGATTGAATTATTCTATTACTTACGGCACCCGATTAGCCTAAATGGCTTACATCGTCTTCTCCATGACGATGTAGTTTATTTTCTGGGTCGTTGAATCAGCCTATTTTACAGAATCAGCAAGGTTGAGTTGCATCAAGACCCCTCATTCTGCAGGTTCAATGCGCTCTTCGACAAGATCGTCATGCTACCAACAAGGGTCAACATCTAGCGCTCGAATCGGCATCATCAATTGCGAACAGTTTGTTCCCGGGGATCGTAATTCAGCCGTTTTCTCCCCCGCATTTGCCTGAATCTATCTCATGATCGACAGCCTGAATGCGCACATATAATGAGGAGAAGCTGTCGCGATTGAAGTCATGTCTGGTGTAACCAGGACGATATCGCCTGACTGGTTTCATAATGCGCTTCTCTTGGTTATTGTGCCCGCTTCTTGCGATGGGAAGTGCTCTTCCCGAAACGAAGACGGATGTTTCGACATATACCAACCCTGTCCTTCCAGGATGGCACTCAGACCCCTCATGCATCCAGAAAGATGGCCTCTTTCTCTGCGTCACTTCAACATTTATCTCGTTCCCAGGACTTCCGGTCTATGCTTCAAGGGATCTAGTCAACTGGCGTCTCATCAGCCATGTATGGAACCGTGAGAAACAGTTACCTGGCATCAGCTGGAAGACAGCAGGACAACAGCAGGGCATGTATGCACCAACCATTCGATACCACAAGGGAACATACTACGTCATCTGCGAGTACCTAGGCGTAGGAGACATCATCGGCGTCATCTTCAAGACCACAAATCCCTGGGATGAGAGTAGCTGGAGTGACCCTGTTACCTTCAAGCCAACGCACATTGACCCCGACCTCTTCTGGGATGACGATGGAAAGGTTTATTGTGCTACCCATGGCATCACTCTGCAGGAGATTGATCTGGAGACTGGAAAGCTTAGCTCCGAGCTAAACATCTGGAACGGCACAGGAGGTGTATGGCCAGAGGGACCCCATATTTACAAGCGCGACGGTTACTACTATCTCATGATTGCCGAGGGTGGAACTGCCGAAGACCATGCTATCACAATCGCTCGGGCCCGCAAGATCACCGGCCCCTATGAAGCCTACAAGAACAACCCAATCTTGACCAACCGTGGAACGTCTGAGTACTTCCAGACTGTCGGTCACGGTGATCTGTTCCAAGATACCAAGGGCAACTGGTGGGGTCTTTGTCTTGCTACTCGCATCACAGCACAGGGAGTTTCACCCATGGGCCGTGAGGCTGTTTTGTTCAATGGCACATGGAACAAGGGCGAATGGCCCAAGTTGCAACCAGTCCGAGGCCGCATGCCTGGAAACCTCCTCCCAAAGCCGACGCGAAACGTACCCGGAGACGGACCTTTCAACGCCGACCCAGATAAATACAACCTGAAGAAGACCAAGAAGATTCCTCCTCACTTTGTGCACCATAGAGTCCCAAGGGAAGGCGCTTTCTCTTTGTCCTCTAAGGGTCTACATATTGTGCCTAGTCGAAACAATGTTACCGGTAGTGTGTTGCCAGGAGACGAGATTGAGCTCTCAGGACAGCGAGGTCTAGCCTTCATCGGCCGTCGCCAAACTCACACTCTGTTCAAGTACAGTGTTGATATCGACTTCAAGCCCAAGTCCGACGACCAGGAAGCCGGAATCACCATTTTCCGCACGCAGTTTGACCATATCGACCTTGGCATCGTTCGTCTTCCTACAACGCAAGGTAGCAACAATAAATCTAAGCTTGCATTCCGATTCCGAGCCACAGGAGCTCAGAATGTTCCTGCACCGAAGGTAGTACCGGTCCCCGATGGCTGGGAGAAGGGCGTAATCAGTCTACATATCGAGGCAGCCAACGCGACGCACTACAACCTTGGAGCTTCAAGCCACCGAGGCAAGACTCTCAACATCGCGACAGCATCGGCAAGTCTTGTGAGTGGAGGTACCGGCTCATTTGTTGGTAGCTTGCTTGGACCTTATGCTACCTGCAACGGCAAAGGATCTGGAGTGGACTGTCCCAAGGGAGGCGATGTTTATGTGACTCAGTGGACTTACAAGCCTGTGGCTCAAGAGATTGATCATGGTGTTTTTGTCAAATCAGAATTGTAGTTCCCCAGTACAGCTTGCTCGTTGAGAGCAATATTATTAGTTGAGATGCAATTGAAGTTGCTGAACTGACTGTGCTATTATTAGTGACACGTGTGACGGGAACCAATCTCACTGGAGGAATTATCCCTAGCTTCCATGTGGCCCCTCTCCACCCAGATCTGGGATGCAAGGGCGATGAACGGTTATTGCAATGCCGATTTAACGGGGCGACAAAATGGCCGAATTTTGAGGCAAAAAGCCACAAAGAAATGTGGTTTATTGGGGGAGTCTAAGTCATTGATTGAAGTTTCTCACTTTTTGCTCGCCGTCTAGAGCGCTGACAATTCATGATCCAGTGGCGGTGATGCTGAAAAAGCTCATTCCTTCGTCCACGTCAAGGTTCGAGCTTATCACAAAGTACCTTTCTTACAGTGACACAATCTCGAACCTCGAAATACATACCGCCTTTCTGACACAGTGATACAGCAATTGGCTTTAATCCGCAAAAGGTTACGCCGAAACGATACCCTTATCTCTGTGGCGATGGTGTCTTAGTGGCCTCCTCATCTAACCGTATTCGATCATTCCGAGGGTCCAGAACACAAATGCTCAGTAGCGACTTTACCTGCAAATTCTTTTTCCCATTCATTTAAATTCCCATCTTTCTTATCTGTCATTCTCTGGACCCTTTATCTTTCACCCAGCCAGCAACAATGGAGTTCCAAAAACCCCGACTGCCTCCCAAGGCACCGAGAAGTACGCTAAAACTTTCCAATGTCGTCACTCACGATCTGGAATTTTACGTACATCCGAATCTGGTCCCTGATCAAGACCCCTGCAAGGGTAGACTACTTCGAGCCACGGGTCCCATTCGAGAAGGAACCATTCTTCTCGTAGACATACCATATGCTATCGTCCCTTCCGTGACGTCCAACGAACCGCTTATATGCAGCAATTTATCCTGCTCTCGTCGTGTCCCTCAAAATGGTTGCGCCGTCCGCTGTGAGCACGCTTGTTTCAAGGATGTTGTATGGTGTAATGTCGCATGCCGAGCGACGGATAAGAGCCGGCATGACTTCGAGTGCTCTTGGTTGAAGAAAAACGCGGAAGGACTTCGCCAGAAAGAGGGAGAGTATAATTTCGCTACGGTCTGGCATGTTGTTCGTCTGCTTGCCACGTGGAATGCCGAGTTACACAGCGGTAACGCCCTTACACAACAGCGGCCTTCATGGGAGGCACATTTCCTACGTGGCTGGAAAGCCGTGGATATGTGCTGTGCGTACCTCGACTCGTGGCCCGAGGTGCAGATTACACATTGGAAACGACTGGTACATGAGCATCTCAGTGATGCAACTGTTCTACCGCCCCTTCTAAGTGCCGAACAAATGCTTTTGCTATTATGCAAGGAAGAGACCAACACATTTGGCCTGTATCCGAGGGCTACTGGCTCTCAGCCCGTGAACAACAATGCTGCACCAAGAGGTGAATCGTACGGAATGGCCCTGTATCCCCGCGCTGCCCAGTTCAACCATTCTTGCCTACCAAATGTAAGCGATGAAACATGATGAAACGCCGCGTGAATGTGTTACTGACAGCTCTCACAGGTTACTCACAAACCCGACGGCCAAGCGCGAATGGTCTATACAGCAGCCCGGGACATTGCAAAAGGCGATGAATGCATGATCACATACTTCGACCTCACAACGCATAAAGACCTCTCAAGTAGGCAAAATCATACACAAGAGCAGTTTCAGTTCAAATGTACTTGCGAAAGATGTCTGAAGGAAGAAGCAGAAGGAAACATCGAGGGCATGGATTCATTACCGTTTGGCTTCTGAGAGGGCGTGCATGGAAAGGCGTTTGGGAAATGATGAGACGTAGAACACGACGGCAGGAAACAACAATGAATTTTATATGAAACCATGATGCTTTTTACATGATTGATTGTGCTAAGAACTGAAACTTAAGTGTCCTGATACCTGCCTGTTCTGTCTCGGCTTATTGCCCTTAATAAGTACCAAGGGTAGGCTTAGAAATACCTGTAGCTATGAGCTATGTGCATAGTCGGACAATGAGTGAACGCCGATGCGAAAATGAATGAAAACGTTCTATTAATCATCAGTTGAGCGATGGTTCCAGGCTGCACTTTGATTCGTTGCGGAGCTTTGTTTCGTGGGGTTACGGAGCGGACGAAACGATATTGTAACGTTATCCCGGGTCTCGGACGAAGAACGGACAAATTTCAGAAAAAAAGACGTGGGTTTCCAGCCCACTACCCATGATGAGGTGTCCACTGCCCATGACCATGATCGACCTCTAGCTGATCACCCACAGGTTGTCGGGTGTGAGGTTGGCCCGTCCGAACCATGATAGGCTAGACTTAAGTCGATCGGACTCGTTTTTATCCGATCATGTCATGATAGCTTTTTTGGCAGAACATCTTTCGACTATTGTGGAGCAAGTCGCCTGTATATAAATGCCGAAAGGGCAAGGCAAGATGGAAATACTAAGCACGAATCCTTACGTCCTTTGATCAACATGAAAGTTCTCGTCGTCCTTGCTCATCCTGAGCCCCGATCCTTCAATGGCTCTCTCTTCCAAGTCTCTGTTAATGAGCTCAAAGCTCAAGGTCACCAAGTCAAGACCTCAGACCTGTACTCAATGAAATGGAAAGCCGAGATTGATCGCACAGACTTTCCTGATCTAGCAACCGATGCCCGTCTCAGGGTTCCATACGCATCAAGGGATTCATACACAACAAAAAGTCTTACCGAGGACGTCAAGATCGAACAAGAAAAGCTGTTATGGGCCGACGTCGTCTTACTTCACTTTCCGCTCTGGTGGTATACCATGCCCGCCATTCTGAAGGGTTGGGTTGAAAGAGTGTTCTCTATGGGTTTCGCTTATGGAGTTGGAGAGCATAGCGATAAGCATTATGGAGATAGATATGGCGAGGGAGTGTTTGCGGGAAAGCGAGCGATGCTTGTCGTTACTGTTGGGGGCCAAAAAGAACACTTCTCGACACGCGGAATCGCGGGGCCCATTGACGACTTACTATTCCCCATTAATCATGGGGTGCTATACTATCCCGGGTTTCAGGTTCTTCCATCTCACGTCGTTTATCAGACCGATAGACTTGATGAAGCTGGCTTTGAGAAGGAGGCGGAGGCACTTCGTGAGAAGCTGAGGCATTTAGATAGCATTGAGCCCATTGCTTATAGGCCGCAGAATGGAGGCGACTATGAGATACCCTCTTTGACTCTGAAGCCGGGGTTGGAGGGGAAGAACGCGAGTGGGTATTCGATACACATTCGCGAAGGTGGAGTTGCCAAGAACGAGTGATCTTGCTAGGAAAAGGCAGATACACGGAATAGATCGAAAATCGAGTAACGAAAGGATATTAGAAGATATAGGAAGTTACCTATCGAACCAGGAATAGTCTTCATCTAGGGATAGAGCAAAACCTGTTGTCCCCAAGCCATAGCCGTCTCTGCAACTGTGACCGCCCTCTCCCATTCTTCTATGGAGAACCCTTTCTCTACAATCTCATGTCCAGCTTCCTTGCCCAGTTTGAGAACTCCCGTTTCAATCATCTTGACCAAAGATACCAACTCCTGGCGCGTGTACATGAACTGCGCTTTGATCGTGATGTTTCGAAGCATGAGGCTAGCATAGTTGATCTTGATATCGAACATCATACCCAGAAAGACAACACGACCGAAAGACGCAAGTGAGTTGATGGAAATGTTGAGGTGCTGATGTGAAGCTGTCGCTGCAGGCGGAGACACGTCGATGTAAGCATCAGCGCCTCCGGGCACAAGTGCGGCAATGGCCTCGGTATCCTTCTTCTCATCACCAGTGAGCTCAACGGCGGTGACGCGAGGGTATCGAGACGTGAGAGGCTTTAGCTTAGAGGCTGAGCGTGAAAGGGCAATCACGCGACAGCCGATCTGGGCTGCCAGTTCGACAACCGCGCCGGAAAAGTGTCCTGTGGCTGGAGCAACAATAACAGTCTCGCCGGCTTGAAGATTGGCAGCTCTGATACCGCCGTATGCTACCGAGAGGCGTTGAATGTAGCTCAGGTCTCCATATGAGTAACCCATCTCATCGACAAGAATCTTTTCATTCAGAGGGATGACATTCTCCATGGCAACAACAGCGAAATCTCTCCAGAAGCCCTTCCAGAGATTGAAAAGCTTCAAGTCAGCTTCGGGACCACCGCCGTCATGAATACCGAGCAGAACTCGGGTGTTGGGATCATCTCTTGCCGTGATGAAGTTGTTCATGTAGACAAGCTGACCAGGTTTGAGAGCGACAGCGTCAGGCCCAACTGATACGATGCGACCAACGCCACCATCCCCGGGGTTATACGGGGGTTTGAAGGAAAGAGGACTGTTTCCTTTGAAGCCTTCGCGTTGATGAGGGCGTACTGGCGTGCTGAGGACACGGACAATGACTGATCCAGGAGGGACAGTCTTGGGAAGTGGAGTCTTCTCGGGCTTGAGAGGCTCGTTGAAGGCGGGGAGTACAAGAGAAGTTGAGAACTCGGGAACGGCTTGGTCGCCCATTCTAACTCTGTGTTGCTTGATAGGTGCTTGAGTTGGAATATGAAATGAGTCGCTGGCTGGATGTAGAACAGCTGTTGAGGGCAGGAACTGCTCTTATACCCGTCCCAGATATTAATCAGCTTCCTTTTCGAGCCGTGAGAAGCGGATGTGAATCCCATTGGCATCGGTGTCTTCGTGCATCGACTGTTGGGCGTCTTGGCGCAGCGTCGGATCTAAAGTCGGACATGTCAATTGCCCAAAACGGTAACTGTTAGAACCGACAAGTCCGACACCCCACTATATCTCGCCATTCACGCAGAACAGGTGAGTAGCACAGACCTAAACGCCGATGAATGACTCTTCTGTGATCGATGTGTCAAATTCTTCACAGCCAGTCAACATGTTCACTGAGCCCTAGGTCTCGTCAGTGGCGCAAGTCTGGAAGTGGATATGTGTACAAACCCAGTCTGACGTTGCAGCGATGTTCCATGTGAAGTTGTCGAAGTCGTAGACATCGCCGTTTCTCAAGCCGTAAGTGCCAAAGCATTGCACAAGGGCACTTTCTTGATTTGAATCTGAGACATGGGGGTATATAGGACGCTCAATCGAAGTTGACGAATGGATATCTGCCAGAATTACCTGGAGTAGGCGCGAGCTTTCAAGGGCGTATGAAGAGACGCATGATCTCCTGGGCCACAGATGTGCCGCCTTTTCGAGTGTGTGGACGATATAGCCTTTTCGGCTTTGCCTGTAATACTTCAGTCTTGGCGATTAATCTCCTCAAGGCAGACTTACGGCAAGTTGGGACAACCGAAAAACTCAAGCGGTGCCATGATCATAGTTATAAAGAAGTCATTGACGGGCAGGTTAGCCTTTACTTGCGGCTCGTTATAGAATCTGCCCCCTCTCTGCATCTCTTGATCAACCTCTATGTAAACTTCGATAGATCTTAGGGCATTCTTGCGAGACACATCGAGCGCGGTTTCGCAATATCGATTCTCAAGGCTCATAATATTAAGGAAAGGACGATATATCAGTGCAATCCCTGTGTTGTAGATGAGCTGAAACAACACTCGTTGCAAAGCGGTGAAAGTGGTGGTCGTCAGGCAAGTATCCTTGACAGAATACACGCGGAGGCAGGGTGGAATCGATCTGTACCATGTCTCGAGTTGTGTTTTGAGAAAAAGGGCGTCTTTATAGTTGCAGGTCTTGAAACCAAGGGCATGGCAAATGATGTGTCTCAGAATTGGCAAGAGATGGGACATGTATACGCAGGGGAGTGCAGCATGGACCACTGTTGCTGGAGTAGAGAAGATAACCTTCGAGTCCTCGTCAAACTCATCATCAGTCACGTCTGTTGGATGGCTGATAGAGTATGTATCGTCGTGTAGCACAGGCGGTAGTCCATGCTCAAGAGAGAGCAAGACGTCGTAGTATTGGAGATAATACCAGACCCGCCGTCTCATTTCAACTTGGAATAGGGTCAGAGCCTGTAAGAAGTCGTCTCCATCAACATGATAGCCCCGCTGTTGCGCAATACGAACAGTCAAGGCATGAAGCTGGGAGAGATTGATGTCGTTGTCCGTTTGATGGAAGCATCGTGCATGAAGATGCATAGCCAAAGCTTCAACTGAGAATTCGCTTGCTGTGTTGTACTGTCCGGATGTAAGACATCGGGCTGACATGGAAATAAATGTCGAAGAATGTTGATGGTATCTCCTGTCATCAGGTATGATGGCACCAACTGCGAGGACTGAGAATAGGACGCTTGCCCACAGAAGGTTTACAGATGCAGGGTTGTTCCAGAAGGCCTCGTACTGTCTGCGGAATTGGCGTATATGAATGAATGGCACAGCGATATGCCTTGCATCGAGGTATGTTGAGACTATCTTATCAGAATCCTGGCGGGATGGTAAAGCCGCCAGAACATCTTCTGGGGTAACTTTGGCGAGAGATCCAAACACGATATCTGGAAGTTGATCTACTTGCGGAGCCGTAACAGCCTTATTGCTGATGACCTGCCGAATACGATCCACACCTGCAGCTAGTTTATCGCAGGATGCGGCAGCTTGGTCCTGGCTAGGCTGGCTGAGGAGACTCTGGAGAAGGCTCTGCATCTGCCTAAGCTCATTCTGGACTCGACCATCGGCACGATTGGCCAGCGAAGCAGTCGGTTGTCGCGGAATCGATTCTAGGTGACATGATTCCTGAACACCACGCTTCAGACATGAACCGCATGGCTGTTGTCGGTCGCATTTCTGCTTGCGCGCACGACACGCTGAGCAAGATACAGCGGGTCTGTTCCGCTTGATCCGTGGGGTTTGGGATGCTCGGAACTTGGTGATATGGCCTGACAGGATCTGGTTTGTCATTTTCTGCGAGTCGATTGGGTCGGGTTGGGCAGTAATAAGGTTGCGATAGATCAAAGAGATCATGAATCGGTCAAAGCCGGTGTCTGGGGGGTTCTCACTTCGTGTGCTCGTGCTTCAGGAGATGGTGGGGTTTTGGCCAATCCATGCGCTCTGGTTGGCTGTACTAATGCACTAAACTGCTTACAGACCCTCGCACGACCTCCAAGAAAACGTAGGGCTTTATATTCTAAGAATTGGGATATTTAGGTGAGTTAAGTAGAGCTAATTGGGCCTTCAGGCCAATTCGTACATCAAGTTTAGAAGAAAGTTTCTTGCTCCCAAAGAAAAAGGCTGCCATCGGAATGTATGTCTTAAAGAGCCTTGCAGGTAATACCCAAAACATCAGAGCTAATGTTCTCACACAAAAACTGCCCAGCACCAGTTCCCGACTCAACAGTCCAGTTCGTGAACTCAACATCGCAATTCTTTCCCTCAATAGGGCAGTATACATGACCGGTAGTAGGAGCATACTTGGTACTAGTTTCTCCAGAGAAGTTCTTGACATAGATCTCAGTCACCTGCGCCGTGCTGGGATACTGTTCGCAGTAAGACTCGTCTTCGTTGTAGCAAGCATCAAACTCGAATGCAGCACCGCAATTATCAACGATAACACCATCCCAGGTAACGTTGCGGACAACTGCTGTGCCATGATCAGGACCGCCGGGGTAGATCTTGATACCAGCCGCTTTCGTGGCGCCTTTCATGGTAGCATTTCTTACGTAGACGTTGGTGACTGTGTCTGTGTTTGTTCTGCCGAGAGAACCGACTGATAGACCGTGGGATCCTTGGCAGGTGATGTCCTCGACGGTGACTTGGTCACAGCCTGCCTTGAATGCAACACAATCATCCTCGTTCTGGATAAAGATGTTTGAAAGAGTCGTGTACTTGGATGCTCCAATATCGAATCCATCGGTGTTCTTTGGTGGATAGCTGGACTTGCTGATGGCAGTCAAGTCCATGTTGAGGAACTTAACCCTCTCACTGTTGGAACCGATATCAATAAAGACGTTTTGAGCGTTCTTCATGAGAAAGCCGTTGACTTCAACATCGGTAGACCCCTCCACGGCAAACATGACAGGCCTCTTCAGATCGCCGGCGGATCCAAATCGATCCCACGCAGCTTGCCCATTGCCATCGATTACTCCAGTACCAGCAGGACTATGGAACTTCAGCCCACTAATTCCACGAATATCGATCTGAGTACGAGAGTTGTTCCAAAACGTGTAATCATCTGAGAGTTTGAGTCGACCGTCGAGCTGGACCTCGCAGTTGGTGCACCCTGTAAAACTGAGTTTGCTTCTGATCATGTAGGTAGTATCTTGGGGAAACACGATGACTCCGCCATCTCCGCATTGCTTCAGCGTTTCGTGGATGGCTGGGACATCATCTGTTGAAGCTGAGCCGGCTGATTTGGGAGTACAAGTCGCTCGCTTATGACGCGCTCGAGAATTGTCGTGTGAGGTTGGAGTTCCTGCGACTCCTTGGGTAGCCAGTGATAGGAGCGGAACGAAGAAGACAGATTGAAAGAGCATTGTTGTATTCTTCAGACACAAGGATCTGTGATCCCGTGGATGTTTCGTCTTGTGTGATCTAGGTCACTTAAATACACTTCTTAGATCAAGACTATTTAATGGTGAGTTAGGACACACTACTCGATGGCTTGGCCTTCCCCAAGTCATGAGTTTAGCTGAACCTCTTGAGTTGCCTACCTGCCGACGATCTGAGTTCGTAGCACCAGCTCAAACTTAGCTGTAGAACCGTTTCAACAAATTATCCACCAATCAATCTTTCTGGCATTTTAAAAATACGACCCCTCAGTTACTAAACCAAATACCTTGAAGATTTGTACAGTTTCAATGGGTAAATAGGATGATCCCTGTCACTTTGGTCTGAACCCGAGTAAATCTTCGACTTGTAAACGAATACGCGCCAAGACCCCGCATCCTACCTTACCTACTTCTTTTGTATATTGCATTACCTTCTGGGGGTTGATCGAAGTCTGGTTGTCAACAGTCAAAATCATCATGTGTCCTGGCTCAGCAAATGCTACCTTTTAGCCTAATACCCCAAAGTCAACCCCGAACTGCCCCCAAACTTTGCCCCGGATTAAGACCCAGACTTCCTGTTTCGATCTCTTACTTGTCCGGTTTACAGTGGTCTCTGCATTTGATGTTCCTTATTCGATAAAATACGGAGAAATGAGAACCTGGAACGACTTTCACATGACGCCAAACCTCTTGCACAGCTAGCCGACGGAAGGAAGTTGCCGAGGGCCTGTCTCATGATCCGATTAGTTGTTATTTGAACGTCCTGTTTCAGCCTGATATCGAAATGTGATTTTCCATGAATTAGATAAGGTTCTTCACAACCTTATCTCGACCAAGCGATAACTGGATCTATCTGAAAACAAGAGAGCTGCCTACTTTGATCTCTACCCTGGCCACCGTCATTGTGAAACAGTGCAGTCTCATATATTCTCAACTATCAACATCAAGATGATTTTCCCCAAGGGTCTTTGCCAACTAGTTCAATTGGCCCTTTTCTTCGGCCAAGGTCCATCTTCCGGTGAAGCAGCCAGCCTTCCGGCCCGAGCGGACAAAAGTCGCACTGTTGCCCCTGCGAATTGTATTGTGGTAAAGCCCAGCGGTGCTAGTGCATCGGAGTTCACCAGCCTACAAGCTGCCGTCAATTCTATCGGCTCATCTACGGAGCCCTCATGTATCTTCCTTAGCTCAGGAACTTACAATGAGCGAGTCGACATCAAGGTCAAAGCACCATTGACCCTCTATGGATCAACCACCGAGTAGGACAATATTAGATCCAAGATTTCGAATGCACTGACGTAATGTGTCAGTACTGGAAGCTATAAGAAGAACACCGTCGTTATCCAGAATACTCTGGGGTCTCAAGATGCCGGCTCTCTGGACGCAAGCTCAACCGTCAATCTCAGATCCAACGACTTCGCCGCCTACAACATTAATTTTGTCAATGGATATACAGCTGGGCAGGTAAGCTCACCGAATCATGGGAGTAGGACAAGTGTTAAGCATAGGATAGGCTGTTGCCTTGACGGCAAATGGCAACAAAACTGGATTCTACGGCTGCTCCTTTAAGTCGTACCAGGATACTCTATATGTCAAGGCTGGCTGGATGTACTACTCCAACTGTTATATCGAAGGTATGTCTTTGTTGAACCATTGTTCCTGGTCATTGAGGGTAGAATTTCTGAGTCACAACTATAGGGGAGGTTGATTACATTTTCGGCAACGGTCATGTATGGATAGGCGAATGTAAGGATACCAATGCTCCCCACTGACATTTCTAACTTTGCTCAGCCACTATTGCGTCTAATGGACCGGGCTACATCACGGCCTCCTCTCGGACCGAGCCAACGGACAGCTCCCGTTACATCATCGATCACAGCACGGTAAGTGCAACGGCACCCCGCACTTATAACAACATCCATCTTGACAAAGTTTAGATCACATCTACCGGCACTCAAGATTTGACTAACAAAGTCTATCTCGGACGTCCTTGGAGGGTCAACGCACGAGTTATGTACCAGTACAGCACCTTGACAAGCGTCGTGAGACCAGAAGGCTACTCACCCATGGCCGAAGGAGCAACACCGTAGGGTAACCATATTCCTAAGGTGATCAAAGGCTAACTCCACTAGTATCTTCCAAGAGTTCGGAAACACTGGTGCTGGCGCTAATACTTTAATGAGAACGTACTTCACTCCATCTGATAAGGCTCTGACGAAGCAGGATCTGTGGGGTGCCGACTTCAAGTGGTATGATACGAGCTACTAATGCTTGATGTCTGAATACATGTGAGAAACAGGTGTCTTACTACGTAAGAATCCTATCTTATCCTGCTTGCTACGAATAAACTATTCGCCTCAGACTTGAGTATTGGCGCGAGTGTTCCGGCGTCGTCATATCTAACGACAGTCCAGCAGCTGTTTTGACTCCACCCATACCATCAACCAAGGCTCCTCTCCAGGTCTTGCACTGCTGAGACGAAGATAAGCGTCTTCTTCTAGCTTCCAGGTCAAATCTCCGGGAGAGCCCTCTTTGGCAACCACGACATCCGGCTCTTCTTCCTCCACCACTGGCTTTGCGTTCAGCGCACACAACTCTTTAAAGTCTTTCATAGCAAGCTCATTAGCCACTTGAATCCCCTTAGACGCTGAGGCGACGCTGAAGCCAGAATTAGCCTCTGTACCCTTCTGTTTGACAATGACAACATAAATATTTTTCCCACTGCCGTCTACGGTGGATTGGTTGACCTTATCAACAGCTTCCAATAAGTCAGTGGGAAAAATGCTGGAGCCACCATTCTCGTCACGGTTTTCTGTTCTGAGCTTCGACAGATCGATATGCCCAGACAGGTCATCCTCCTTGACTACAGGCTCACTCGACAGCGCTACCAGAAAGTTAGATATCCCATACATGCGGTGAAAACAAGGGCGGCGAATACATCAAACATGTGATCAAGGTTGATCTTACCTTCTTGGTTTGTTTCTTCGTTCATATCCACGTCACTCGACTTTTCATCAGTCGCCGAACCTGAGACGTCCGCCACTTTGTTCTCCACTGGAGGTTTGTCGTCAGGTTGCTCTTCCTTTGGCTCTTCATTAAGGATAGTTTGAGCATCTGTCTCAGATTCCAGTTCAAGCAGCTTCCTGGGCTGTTCGTGATGTATTTCTGTAGACTTTCTCTCGGACAAGTGCCAGATTTGCTCGCAGTCGAGAAATGGGACGATGTATTTGTTCACAAATGGTTTAGAGACACCAAGTGATACTGCATCGTTGACGGCGTTTTGCATCCTCGCGATGTACTCCTCTCTGATGGAGCCATCGGTAGTGTAGTCCTCGCTAACATACACCAATGCTTTGACTTGTTCGGTGCGTGAATGGCGCCCTGAACGCTCCTCGCCGTCCATGTAAGATATAGGATCAATGTGAGGTGGTGCATTGAATCTCACTTTGCGATTGGCATTGTTCGGAAAACGAGCCACATCGCCGCTCATCGAGTCCCGGCGCTGCTCAAGTAGATGGGATAATCGACCAGTCTTAAAGTTCGCGTATTGCGGATGAGGTTCGAAGGAAACTCTCATGAGATACTTCTGGTAAAAGCCTTTTGACACGCCTTCCGAGCGATCCAGAGTCCTTTCATCTTTGGGACCGATCATGTAGAGAAGGCCCTCGACTGAGTGCTCGTTTCCAGATTCAACGACGTTGGCAACTCCACGCTCATTGATCTGCCAGCGATAAGACTCGAGAGTGGCCTTTCCTTTGAAAACGCTTCCGGGACAGCGATGGGCCACTTGGGCGAGGTGCAAGTTGCTCCCATAGGCGAAGTATAGAGTGCTGGCTGCTCTGATCATCCTTGACCCGGGCGCGTCAACTGTGGCAGACTGCTCATAAGTTGGGCCTGACGGATTGAAGGAATACATGATTTTCAGTTGTAGATACACAAGTGATGTCTGGAGACAAAGGGTAAAGAAAATACGAGAGACGAGGGAGAGTCTGGGAATTGAGATGGCGGGGCAGACCAGTCGCATGAATTCACAGCCTGATAAGGGAAACAGAGCCTCAATTAGGCTGCACTCCGACCACTGTATAATTTTGACTGTGAACATCACAGTGCAAGACTCAGCCATATGCAACTGGCCGAAATCGTCGCCACCCATGCCATTTCAATCCTTCGATGATACCCATGCGGTTCTTAGAATACAAAATCCCACTTCAAAGTTCCTCTAAGACCTACCAAAAATCACTTGCACTTTATGCTCACTCGGGCCAGCGGGTGACTAATGATACGATTTGGTGATGATGACTGCATAACCGGTCTGATGGTGACTACCAATCAAGCTTGTTGAAATGGCGCTTTGTGTTACCCTGTCTGTCTTACTCTCATGTGAAATTGCACTTTGTACCACTTCCCGTTTCGGTTTATCATGATGGAAAAAGGAATTCCGGACCACCAGGCCAGCCCACCATCAATTACGATGGATGAAGACACTGTAAGCCTCAAGGAGTATGACTACTGTCAAGGTATCAAACCAAACCTGGGGGAAGGCGGCTTAGTCTTGCTGGAGGGAAGTAAAATGTCAAATATCTAGTCGCGAAACGGATAACGATGGCTGCTTCTCATAGCGTCTGTTGACAGTCTCTAAGATACTACTTTTCGTCTCATCTAGTCATGGGTGATTATCATTTCGGCATCGAGATAGAGGTCATTGTCGCGCCTCACAAGATTCGGACACCGCTTAGCACCAAGCATGCTTTGTACTATAGCAAACTGGCTGCATCTCTCCGAAAGAGAGGTCTAAAGGCTAAGGCCGACGATCTGCAACAAGGCTACACCAAAAGGCCGGAACACTACGACAAATGGTGGATCACCAAGGACGGGTCTCTTGGATCCCATACCGACAAGAGTAAGAAGATCTATCAATCTTAATCAGAGTCCATGTTGACAACTGAAAGTTCCAATGGAGGCGGTCTCCCCGGTCCTCAGCTTGAGGGCAAACTGGGAGCATAATTGGGAGCATGAAATCGATGTCTTCTGGACCGCAATGCGTGTTGTTTTCCATATGCCTGATCGGTCGCTTCTTTGTGGAAGCCACATCCACGTATCCAAGGGTCTCAACCAGACCTTCTCGCTTCCTCAAATCAGAACGATCGCGTTCGGCGTGGTCTACTATGAGCGCCTCATCCTAAAGCTTCTCATGCGAGAACGAGCCAATAACCGATACTGCAAGCCGAATACTCTGAACTCGACAAAGCTGATGGGCTGCAATGGTAACTACAACGCCGTGGCGGAACTCATCAAGAATGCAGGGAGCACCACAGCCTTGAAGAACATCATGCAGAACGATAGGTACGTTCTGTGGAATTTCGACAATATTGTCCCTGGGAGCTCTGGAACCATTGAGTTTAGAGGCGGACGGTGCCTGAGAGGAGAGATCAGAACTAAGCGATGGATCGCTTTCACAATTGCCCTGATCCAAGCTTTACTCAACATGGTACGTTATATAAGGTATTTCTAACGCTTCCAACTACTAACTTGCCCAAGGAAAACATCAAAAACCCCAATGTTTCCACTCTAGAGTCATGGACACCGGAGGGTCTGTACAATGTGATCAAGAGAGCCGCCCGTCAGCTCTCCTTGAGAAACTCTTTGCCGGAAGACTGGAAGGTCTTGAACGAGTCACAGAGATGAGATACAGGTTTAATTATCCATGTTTTGAACTTACTTTGGAGTGGCTGTCAATCAATTTGTTATCTTGGTCCCCGAGACTTTGCCAACTCGCGATATCGTGACTTAAACATTGGGCAAACCAGTTTATAGGCAGCTAAGTCTCGTAAAGTCGCTTGGTGAAGCATGGAGACTCCAACTTGGCTGAACTGGGCTGTTTCTTCTTGTCCACATGTGCGGTGGGTTAACCAAGAGATCGCTCCGTCAGATCTTTGAGGGGTTGAACAAGGGGCAGCACCATCATGCAGGCTACACCGTTTTGAGCTACCATCGTTTCGAAAAACTGCTCGTAAAGCTGTAGTGATACGCGGCTTAACGCACCCAATCTGGTTGAGTACTTTCAGCTTTCAAGCTGGAGACCAGTCTGATCGCACCTTTAGCAGCCATCAGTGACCGGTATTGGAAGGTGTTTAAGACACATGAGGCTCAGACCGGAGTCACGATGACTCATATGCCGAAAATACGACATCAACACATTGATTGTTGCTTTTGATGGGGCTAATCATCAAGCATGTATCCTCATACCCTGTTAAGAAACGTAAATGGGATCATTGCACATTCACAAGACAGTTGCATCAACCGTGACTCAGCCTGAGACCTGGCTTGCATGCGGCTGACCAACTTGTCAATATTTACAATCACAGAGGTAGGGAGTTTGAAGCAATGTATTATTTGGATATGTATGAATGCGTGCTAAATCACAAGTTCCAGTGGGCTGAAGTGAAGACGGTGAGCCTAACACCTGACAGCTTCATGGCCAGCCCCACGTCCAAGAGGTTGATTGTGAAAATGGTCTTGAAACCCTTTGGGAAGTGCTTACGCTCCGTCCCAAGGTTGAGCCTTGGCGCTGAAAGGCATTACCCCATGTTCTGTGCTGAGGAGATGAGCTCCGTCGCCCTCTACGACGAGGCTCTTCGGGTTCTGAAAGACCCCTGCGATAGCCGCTTTGACGCGTCTGTCTTCTTCTCTGGTCTTCCCTTTGAGACCTTCTTGAGGCTGATCTCAGTGGAATGGACGGCCGAACAGTGTTCTCAAAGAAGTCACTGGGGATACCCAAAGTGACAGCATCCCTTATGCCACAGTTCATGCGGTCAATGTATTCATCCCGTGCAGTCCCCCACTGAGAGTAACGACTGCTGAGATAAACCAGCACGTTGCTTCTGATTCTGCCTTGCTGCTCGGGCTCATGGGATCGCGATCCTGACCGCACTGCGTTGACAGCCTTATCTAGCCCACCATCTTGGACAAGGTATCGCGTTGGAAGTTGGAGGTCTTCAACGGCTTCATGTAACACGACGCTATGATATGACTTGGTGTAAACGCCGGAATGGACGCCTTCGTTCCTGTCGAGTCGAGCTTCATCGTCGACACTAACTTGGTAGACCAATCCGTGCACGTTGTAGCCGCTGCAAGGAATCAAATTTGCGAAGCCTCGACTGTTGATCTGCCATCGGTGATCCATCAGAACCGCCCTACCAACGTAGTAACTTTCGGGGCAGCGGCTGGCCATTTGCTGCAGCCAAAGGTTACTACCATAGGCGAAGTAGAGCTGCGCCGGTAGGTCCGGCATGGCTTGATTGTGCATGTACGCACCACGACCCTGGTCGAGTCGTTCTCGGGGCTGATACCCAATGATTGAGAGAGTGAGGCTCCGGGATTCTATGCGAGTTGGGCGGAAGGATTTACGTTGGAACCTGACAATTGATGGTCAATAGTTTACATGCGTTAGGCTGCGACGAGCGAGGCAATTTATGGTGGCTTTCTAAATGAGCTGATTAATTTCCTTGGTCACGCTCGCTGTCATATAACCTTAGCTGGTGGTTGCGATACTTGCGTCTTCCCGTTTGTAATTCTTATCTGCGCGTCCAGCAGTCAAAGCCACGTCGAAGACTGCATAAAGTTCCAAATTTGGATCGAGAGGGTGCTCAGCTGCTACATAGACAAAACGTCGCTTTTTATCAGATCAACCCCTCGTTATGCGGGCGTTTGCAACCATAAAAGTGTGGTAATACAAAGCTCAAACAAACTGGGATGATAGATGGGTGATGCAACCCTCTTAGACAGTGCGAGCCTGATTGTGTACTTGAATAGATACACATCAACTCGTAATCTGACTTGCAAGTGCAAAGCCTGATCCGTTTTGATTGCTTCATCCAATTTTTGATGTTGCTACTGATATCTTGATTATGAACATGGCTTCCCCAATTGCTTGTGATGGGCAACTCAGTCATCTTCTTCTTGCTTCATGTGAGCCACCATGTCGTCGTATGGTTCATACAACTTTGGGGTCGAATTGGAGCTCATTGCCGAGCCCAAACGAGTACGGCATCCTCTATTGCGTGCTGTCTACTATGAAGAGCTGGCAACATCTTTGAGATATGATGGTGCAGAAGCAGAAGCAGATAAACTCAATCAACGATATCGGAAACGCCCAGAACACTACGATAAGTGGTGGATCACAAAGGATGGATCGTTAGGAGATCCTGAGCATCCGTGCAGTGAGTATCTCACATCTTAGTTGTGATTGACTACTAATATTTGGACTTGCTCGTAGTTCCACTTGAGGCTGTCTCACCTATACTCTCAACTGACTACACATGGGAGAACGACGTAGACACTTTCTGGAGCTCTTGGGACCGTGTGTTCCACATGCCAGAGTCATCCATCGCCTGCGGAAGCCATGTTCATGTGTCACCATCACCAGACATGGAATTTGACCTGAACCAGCTTCGCAATATCGCGTTTGGTATCGTCTACTATGAACCCCTGGTTATTCGCCTGCTTCCACACCATCGACAGAACAACAAGTACTGCAGGCCTAACACGCTGCGCTCTGGACCATTGTATGACCTCATGTCGAGCTATCACGAAGAAGCAGCGCTCAGAGAACTATGGGACACCCTCGACGATGATTTTTACGAAGAAGACATCAGAGATCTTATGCAATCTGGCCCAGAGCCGAAGCAGGAGAGATATGTTCTCTGGAACTTCGACAACACCTATGGGAGTGGCTCTGGTAGCATCGAATTTCGAGGAGGGCCAGGTTTGAGAGGCCCTGTTAAGACGAAAAGGTGGATATCCTTTGTTGTCGCTTTCATTCACATGTGCACAAATCTGGTAAGCTTCCGACTCGTCCCTCCAGATGCTTGTACAGGCACTGACTTATATCACAGGATGTTGCATCATGGAGCTACTTTACAAGGCCAAGTATGGACAGATTCTGGAGAGATTTACGTCGGTCTGCACAAGCTGTCAGTGTAAAAGAGAACCTACCATCAGACTGGAGAGTCATGGCAGGGCTAGTCAGGTCAGTGTTCCCTTCCCATTTCATGAGCTGTGACTGACCATTTGCAGCGGCAATTCCTATGAAGAGTCTGCTGTTGATGACTTCAGCGATTCAGGCTATAGTGATGACTCATCTATCATGGGCAAGTCGGACTCTGAATATTCCGACTCTGATTATAGTGATGGAGAATATGAAGCCCTGCAGCAGGAGTTAATCCGGGAGAGAGAACATCGGTGCACAATTCTTTAGGTGGCAGGCAGATATCATAGCGGCTTTTCATGATTGGCAATAAATAATGATGACTGCATATTTGCGGCTGAGATGAGTACCAATCAGGATGAATCGGAATGATCGCAGTAGAATGCTGTTGGTGAGATTCGAGACATGCATTTTCAGGCTTGCCTTATCAAATGTGATCAGTCTTGGCAATCAAGCTCTGAGATACGCATTTGATTGATAATAGCTCCGACACATTGTGCCATTCTGCAGGCTGTGTCGTTGGGCGATACATGCAAATAAACTGGGAGTCTTGAGACTCACGCTTCATCATTACGTTCGGGACGTATTGATTACTCCCTTTCTGTCTGTCCAAGAGACCTGAATGTCGGTTTGTAGGAGAACAAAAAGGCTCGAATCATCCATGGGGTCCAGAAGCCGAGCTAGTTCAGCCGACAGCTTCAGCCTCAACGTGCATGCATATTCAGCCCCCAAGACCTCTCCCGATGGTTGCTAATCATGGGGGCGAGAGGCATATTCAATGCTTCCCAAACCTTTCGCGGTGCGACAGCCCATCATTTTACGAAATGTTGGATTTGGGTCAATTCTCAAGTGAGTTGCTTCGTTGGTAGAATGAGAACTTATCAACATGCGTAAGTTTCGCAGCCATCTCCATTGACAATATGTTGTCTGTAGCTGACGAGACCCTCCCATCTAACCCTCATAATATCTTCCAATGCACCGGCCTACCACGAGGTATCAGTAGCATCCACAACGTCTGCATATGTGGCAACTTAAGCAATCTTCAAGACACAGGAAATAAACCCAACGTGTATATGATAAGACCCTAATTCGATATGATTGGGGGCTAAGAGTTGTCATTGAGCTTGTTTCTGTTTGAAGACGTCTGGAGTTATCGTGGGCATATTTGGACACTGCAATAGTGCCTCAGCCGCACGCAAGCCAGAGGGATGATCCCTCACCGGCATCAAGCTGCTTCATGCAAGTGTCCCGTCTGGTGCTGTGGCTTGCTCATATCACCCTGCATGCATTTGAGCTCTTGAGAGGAAAAATGAGGCTCTAGGGCCAAGTACAGCTGCCCCCTTCCATTTTAATGTTCCCATTTCTCCATCGTGTTGCCTCGCTGCGTGGATGTTACGTTCAGGTTACTTTTTCTGGAACAATAAAATTGATCAATATGCAACTGAGCATTCTGACGTGGTTGGTGTTACTGGCGTTGGTTCATACTAGCTACGGTTCCGCTCTGTATGCTTTCTTCACCGACCTCACCATTCAAGTTGGCGCGCAAGACCCTACTACGGGAAAGCTTCTCTACAGTACCTGCAATAGCCAGGATATCCCAATCTTTCCACTCGAGAAGCCGAATATCCTCGATACAAGAGAAACGCCGCGCAATGGCACTGCGCTTACAGCCGTAGGCTGGGGGGATGTGAATTTTATCACTGTACGTGGGACCTCTCCAAACTGACCAAGGTACGAAGCTTACAACATGTAAGCTTGTGCGCGACCGCGAGTTCCAGATCTCGGCAGCGGCTGGTGTCGACTCCATCCATAACGAAACGGGCCTCTCGATCGTCAACCTCGGAGAGAAAGATGGATATCGTCTGTTCTACCACGACGAAGACAGGAAGGTCAGGATGCTGTGGTATACCGACGATGATGGATGGAATGATGGTGGCGCCATCTCACAGGATACTGCAGGAGGCATGGCGTTGGGGTCAACGATATATGACTTGAAGAACATTACTGTGCCTTTCCCCAAGGACTCTGAGAATATCGAGCTGTCGCGCCTGGATAAGTCTGGGCTGTGGACTTTAGGTATGCCCATCGCGCTGGTAGTCTGCACGAATCAATGGCTGACAAGTAATAGACGCGTTCCCGAACACGTTCCTCGGACCCTACACCAACAATACACTGCCCTCGGATATGTATTGGAGCTTCGAAGACGAAGCTGACTTCTCTCTTCCTGCCTGGAACGCTTCCCTCGAAGCCATCGGTGCGGCGGTGGACCGATCGCGAACACGAAGTGTCTTTTATATCGGCAACGATAAGAAGATACATGAAGTCAAAACGACGAAGAATGGTTGGCAGCTTGGCTCAAACCAAACAGAGCGCGCATGGCCTGTTGCCGATAACGCGAGCTCCGGTCTAGCCGTAGTCTCTCAACAGAGTGAAGGCAAAGCTTGGCTATACTACTGGTCCAACGAGACAATCGTACAGGCATTCAAGGACTACGACGGTGATTGGATTGATGCAGAAGCGTTACCAGAAAAGCTCCCGACAAATGGGACAGATAACAAGAAGCCCAAGGGCAGACCAACACAGGAGGACGAGCCTGAGCCTGAGGGTTCTAAAGGCCTGAGCTCGGGAGCAAAGGCTGGAATTGGTGTTGGAGTCGGAGTTGGGGTTGGCGCGCTGCTGATCGGTGTTCTTGCTTGGCTGTGGATGAAGCGACGCAGAGAACGCGCTCACCAAGAGAAGGTCTCAGGTATAGTGGAGGTGGGAGGAAGTCCTCTAGAGCCGCGTTTATCTGTGTTCAAGGAGGACTTGCCTAGAGAAACTGAGCATGTCGAGCTGTCAGAGATGGCTGGCCAGGGGCGTCCAGCTGAGCTGAGCCACCATGATTCGGCGGTTTACGAGATGCCAGAGCATCATGCAAGGGCATAACGGGCGGGCATCGGATTGAAGGATCAAGGCTCGATAAGATTGTCAATTTGAACGCGAGCATAAATAGCAGTCAATTCCCTCTCTGTCCCTGTTTACTGTATTGCAAATGAATGGTGAAAACTGAAAGCTTGATCTTGGAGCGACTTTGTCAAGCCCAACTCACCGCCGGTGCTAGGGCCGACCTGGAAGTCGGCGACGTACAGGGGCTCTAACAGTGGCTTCCAGTGGTGCAGTAGCCTATCGAATAGCCTAACAGCCCCCAAGCCTGGGCCGCTCAATTGGTCACACGAACCGCATCTGGATGGGGCTCGACCAGTCGGGCCTCAAATTCTAGCCTAGGTGCTCTTCCCATGCGAGCCGTGTCCGATTAAAAGGACGCATGGCTTTTACGCAGAGGGATCAAAGAGAAAATGCAGAGAGATAAGCCCGGAGCTGGAGGGCCAAGACACACAAACCAAGAACCGTTCATCACATTCCCGCGACCGCCCAACACTAGCATTGATGGCGACCTGAAAAGACAAAAATGTAGAAAAGCTCAATCAAAACGGTGTCTCCGGGGCCGTGCGAAAGGGGCTCACAGCGCCAGCCACTTTAACATCTCAGCCAGCCACTAGGCCTGGTTCTAACCTGGGTAATTTGAAGCTATCGATTTCCCGGTGAGCGGCCCGTACCATTCACCAAATCATAACTAAAACGGGGCAAGTCCGCTGACAGCCCGGACCAATTGAGCCATGGGCGATTAATTTTGGAACAGGTAATCTGAAGAGAGAATGCTGAGCGAAAGCCACAGCTGACCCCCGAAACGCTATTGAATGCTGAGGCTGCCTGGTTCCCAATTTTGTCTCAGCTTGTGAGTCTATTGTTCGGTCCACTGCCCAAAATGGTTGAATCTCAAGGCTAACACACGGGCTGTATCTGTAGTTCGAGTACGGAGTAAATCGAGGGATGGACCGATATAGATAGTTGGAACGGTGGATTGGAATGGAAAGGCGCCAGTCTAGGATCTGCAGAAGTAATATAAAATACAGAGTCTGGCCCCTGGCTTTGAGCTCGCTAAGACTTTGGAACTCCGTCTTCTAATCTCAACCGTCACCATGATCCTGAATACCTTTCTTATCTCATCGCTCGTAGCCACTGGCCTCGCTTTATACATCCCAGAGCACACCACAAGCAATGAATGCAATTGCGACGGAGAGCTTGTTCACAGAAACGACACGCAGAGACATCTCTACATTTGCGGCGATGAACGTCTTGGGCCCACAGACCTCCCCAAGAATCTTCCTCTGAGTACATATGTCGCTAGCTATGACCGCTTCGGAGGCTTAACTCCCAACGAATTTCTTGAGAAGTGGTGGAATGACACAATACGTGCCGATGGCAAGAAGCCAGTTGGCTGGATTTATCCGTCAAAGAACGGCTTTGAGTTGGATGATGACGAGCGGCCCATACGGGCAAACGTGAATCTTGTGAAAGGGACGCTGGTTGACAGGTTTGGGGAACCAACAGGTAAGGCATACAATGAGCCCTATTTCAAACTTAAATACTAACATGCTACGAAAGGACGTTTCCTCTCTCCTGCGACAGCCCCCTTCTCACAACGGGCTCTCCACCCTGCCAACCTCATCACCGGGAAGAACCAAGAATTCCCCAGCAATTACCACTTGTACAAGGTGACCAAATCATTCACTGTTCAAACGGGGCCTATCAGGCCATGGTTTGGTCAGCCAGGTTACGGGGTACAGTTCTTCCTTGGTGAGGGCATTACGGTGAATGACTACCTGAGCAACGGTAGCTTGGAGCCGCTGAACGCGTCGGCCTTGATCCGGGAGGCAAAACACTGCGCACTGAGCGGAGGAGATACTAGCTTAGACTCGAAAGAGCTATAGGCAACTAGTTGGAGATACTAGAATTGAAAGGCGACATCAAGTAGCTAGAGTTCAATTAGCTAAGATTCGACTGTCCTATTGCTTGTTTGATATACTCAATGTGCGACATCGCGATATCGTTATCGCGCTACATACTAGCGAATAGTTGATGTTAGTTATCACTGGCCATATATCCCTGTTTCAAAGAAAGGTAATTTATGATAGTTTATTGAGAGAGGTACTATAAACCTCTGGAGCTTTCAAATTCCATGACCTTGCAATCTTTTTGCCTCTTAACGCCGTTGTCCATCATCTTGAGTTCACAATGGTGCCTACAGGGGTTCCGGACTGGTATATTCCCAGTGCTCTGTCAGATCGAGAGCCAGGTGATACAATCTTCCAATCGATGATTCATCAGAAGCCAGTGCTTCATCATCGACCTGTCGCCTCTTATCACATTTATCGCAGTAAATATTACTCATAGAGGTGATAGTGCCGCAAAGCTTTCCCGAAATGTTTTTGTTACACTTCCACTTCTTGTGGTCTTTGCGTACAGTCGTTGTCGTAGTGGCCATTGTGGGATTCTCTGGTTTGTAAGGTCTTTATGTTCTGCTCTGTATGGAGTTATTTGATCGAGTTCTTGATCCACGCTTTGTGTTATAGAGTTAAGTTTTCAATAAGTTAGTTCCGAGGAAGCAAAACCCGTATTTATACCTGTTCTTCATTTACGGTTATTCACTTCAAAGAGCAACCTCAATATGACCGTAAATATTTTCCAGTTTGCGCCACGACTCACTAAAACGCGATGTACGTGCCTCGTCGGTGCGAACTATGGATGAAAGTATACAGTCAATATAAAGCTGGGTGTCAGCTAACATGCCAGACATGTATGCTATGTCGGTAACATGAATCAGATAACAAACCCTTGTGTTACATCACGGTGGCCAAAGTTACAAGTCCAGTGATGAGGAAATAATAGCTTGTGTGATGCGCATCCCCAGATGCTTGGATCACCCTAAACTACTTGCTGCAACACAACATCAATGCTTACTGTGATTAAATGACCTCTAGCTTTCGTGACGCTTAGCCATGTGGGAAGCCTTAAGCTTCTCAGAGACTCTATATCGCTCCACGGACCGACGGCCATGTTATTCCAATTCCCAGCAGAGGTCTCAGTGACAAGCTTCCTGTATCAACCACCATCAAGAGCCAAACTCAACTATAACATCACATCCGTGGAGACTTTGGGACGAGTTACGAAAGTCGTGAGCAGCAATCATGTTCATTGACAGTGCAAGAAGCCGCGAAAGGGGTGCGATGAAGGCCTCGGTGAAATCTGCGTCGAAATCAACGACATGGCACTCAAGCAATGTAAAGATTGCAAAAGAACACGGCAGGGCGGCGATGCGGCCCTGTCCATATCGTCACAGGACCCTATCTCAGGCAAAATACCAGAAATTGAATATTTGAGCCATGTCAATGAGAAAGGCGAAGAGCACCGGTACTACTACGATCCAAACGCAAAAAGACAACCACAGCTTATGTGATCGCTGAGACACATCTGTGAAGGAGAAAGGAAACGATATAACGCTTGGTTTATTACATCAATGTGGGCTACGCTAAGTACACTAGAGAGTTTCTGCATCGTTATACTCTAGTCAAGGTGCTTCACATCAGCCTTCTCAATCACTTGCTTCGTTTCCAGCTCATCTGAGTAAAGCCCTTCTGGTGCATCGCCAAAGATGACCGAGATCTCCTCCAGGGTGCGTCCGCGTGTCTCGGGATAGAAGAAGAAAATCACGAAGCCGTAGGACACGAGAAGAGCCACATAGACGATGTAGTACTTCCAGGTGATGGCTGATAAGGCAATTGGGTTCACAAACACGTTGAAAATGAGGGCCAAGATCATAATCATCCAGGCTGCAGAGATTCCACGACCACGTAGCTGGAAGGGCCATAGCTCGAGAGGGTAGGCAACTTGAAGAGGAGTTCTACAGGGCTGCGTTAGTGATGTGATTCAGAGTATGGATGGGTGAAACAGATTCGACTTACATGGCGATGGCATAACCAGCATTGAACAAGAACACAAATGGAATCATTGTGACTCCAACTGATCGTGATCCAGTCTGTGCAAAGCTTCCTGACATGGCGGTGATAAGGATGAAGCTGACAAGCATGACTGCGCAAGAGATCATGAGAAGAACTCGTCGCCCCAGTCTCTCGACGCACGAAGCACCAGCAACTGCAGCCAACCAACTCCAGATCTGGAGACATCCCATGATCAGAGTCTGATCAGTGACGCTGGTGATGCCGACGGTGGCCAGGACTGTGGAGAGGTAGTAGCTGACGACTCCGTTACCGACCCACTGACTGTAAATTGCCAATGATGCAGTGATGAAGAGTCGGCGACGATGGGCGGGAGTGGATACTAGCGATGCCCATGAGCTTGACTTCTCTGCTTGTTTCTCGGACTCGATGGCGGTTGTGATCTCGTGAAGTTCGAAGTCGACAAGCGGATGGTTCGCGTCACCGCCCTGTAAAAAAGTACTTAGCCAACTGTTCGAATGGTGTCCATCATGTCAATTTGACTTACCGCGTGCATCCTTCCTAGAGTCTCGCGCGCTGCGTCTTCCCTTCCAACAGATACCAGCCATCGGGGACTCTCAGGCACCATAATGAGAGCAGGAAGTGCAACAACAGGCAGAGCAATCTGGAGAATGGTTGGAATCCTCCAGGCCCAGTCGTTGTAGTTCCTCGTACCATAACATGTCCAAGCTGCAATGATACCGCCGATAAAGTAATTAGTGTTGGTCAAAGCAGTAATGACACTTCGGTGGCTGGGATACGCGATCTCAGTGATGAGAAGAGGTATTGAGGTCGCGAACATGGCAGTCGGGATACCGAGGATGAAACGGCCTGCGATCCACTCTGCCTCATTCTTAGCACCTGTCTGAAGACCAGTACCGATTGCCAGCGGAATGAAGCCCAGGAAAGCTGGCAGACGACGACCATATTTGTTTGCGAGCCATGAGCTGGGAGGGCATGCTACAAAGAACCCGATGAAGTAGATGGCGTTGATGAAGCCGGACCATTCGCCAGACGGATGGTCCATGAAGTCGCTCCATTGGGGAAGTGATTGAAGACCGTTGAGGAGACTTCCGTCATATCCGATTGCAGATTCTTGTTCACGTCAGTTCTCCTGGACCATAGTGATCATTCCTTATACAACTCACGGAAGCATACCAAACCCAGGATCAAACCGTTGAGTTTGAGCAAATGGGCTTGCTTGTACCAGGGGGTCGTCTGGTTCGGCAGAACTGCCTCAAGACCCCCAGACGGAGGCTGGATCTTGGAGTCCACAGCCATGGTTCTCAATTGACTCAGTGGATAGTGAATTAGTGGAGTTGTTGATGGCCGCTATCTGAAGAGTCAAACCGCAAAACGGGTGCGATCAACGCTCATTATAAGCTACTACGACCTGACCTTGCACGGGCACCCAACAGGACGGAACTGTTCCCGCGCGGGTGGACACAAAACGTCGCGGGGTCTCCAGGTTTTTTCGCTATGCCCCAGATCTCCAGATTATAGGATGATATGAGCAAGGGATGCGCAATTCGGTACCACCTCGTTCCACTTAGCTGAAGGGCCGGCCAGGGTTCGTGACAGGAAAGAAACTCGGCAACCCCGCAGTTGTCTAATTGATCTCTCCATCTTTGCGAAGTTTGCCGGACATTGCCTGTTCAAAGCGTCACTTGCACGAGTCAGGCACTTGTCCTGATATGATTCAGAGTCAGGGTGAACTACGGTTAACTCGGTTGAGATCCGGTTAGATGCTCTAGCGTCGGTAGAAGCTGGGGAAACTTCGCTTATGAGTCGGATAGCAATTATGTGAGGTTGTTATTGGTTGAAGATGAAGATCTGAAGCTGTCGGCACTTGGGCCGTCTAAAATTGACATAATATCGGGTCTCTAAGCTGAAGGATATGCCGAAATCAGACTCTCAGAATGTCCAACGATGAGGTTCTGATGGAAACTGACCTCGTTCTTCGTCTTCAAAGTCCTTCAACCTCATCAAATCTGTTAGACTGTCGACTGTGAAGCTGCTCTTGAGCTAGCTCTCCGGCAGTTTTTCTGATCCCGTGAGCAGTCTCGGGCCCGTGAAGTGGGATACTGCCCAGGGACCCCTGCATTCAACACTTGTTTCGGACACGCAAATGACTGGCTCTCCAGGTTTCCTCCTCCTCAATCACCAATCCCCGAGCATTCCGAAAACACTAGCTCCGCCTCCACGCGATACCCCAACCCGTCAAATGAAGCCAAGGCCGTGAATAGGACCGAGTCGGGTCCGTCCAATCGCCCTCGGAGCAAGACCGTGGTAATGGGATACGGCAGTTGCGTGAGTATCTGGTCATGATATCCACAAGCAAGAAATGTACGTTTGTAATGATCATGTAATGCTCAATATGCATCAAGTTCTTGAAAGGGCGAAAGGATTGTTTCATGGATGGTAACATGGCAACAGACGATCAATGAAAGGGCCGATGCATTCTCCTGTAGATCGACTATGTCCCGTGGTTGATCACCATAAGCACTTAGTCCCGGGGAACTTTCTTAGTGAGCTTGTAACCAAGTCCGTGCTATTTCCCCAGATTGATATTCCCTCGGCTCATGCACAAAGTGTAGAGAGTATTGTAGCGGTCACAGAAGCGTACCATTTTGTCATGAGCTCGAGTTATCATGAAAAAACCCTCGCTATACTAACGTTATGTTGGACTTTCGGGACTCGTCCGCGCTTATCCGCGCAACACCTCGTCCGGATGTAGGCAAGGTCGCAACAAGGCCGAAGAAGCTGGCATGGCCCACGGAAACAAGGACAAAGTGGCCGACACGCTTGTAAGTACTTCTAGCTCCACAAACAGCTTCAAGAATAAGTCCCTCGATTATCAAAAACGCTTCACCAACTGGATTCTCATCTGGATCTTTCACCTCGCGCCGCAATGTCGACCTCAAGGGAAGAAACGAAATCGATTCACCGGCCTGAAAGGTCGTCTCAAGTGTATCTGGGTAGGCGTAGATCGTTGACGAGATTTCTAGAAGCTTCAAATTTGTGTGTTCTGCGCCTATGCTCCTACTGCTTTCATCGACAGTGCCTCCGGAGATACACCCTCGCAGTTCAATGAACCCTTTCAGTTTCTGCGACCGAGAGGAACTTTGAGCAATATGAGTTCTAACGTCAATGACTTCAATCAAGTCTTCATCTCGTGGTAGGTTTGTCCTCTGAGGCAAAACACATGTGTCGACGGCAGCCCATGACCATGATGGAACACGCTCGGGATCCTGGGGTGTGGGACCAGGTTCTAAAACAACCCAATTGAGTCCTTCAACGATCCTTGATCTCCAAAGGCCTGCGAGATATTCATCACCAGAATTCTTCCTGAACATTTCAGCTATACCAGCCATAGCTATCAGCCGGTCATCAGGGCAGGTCAGACTGCACTTGGAGTATGTCTTGACCAGATTTATCCACTGCTGATAGACATCCACGGTCATCTTCTTGTCCTCTTCCTTTGCCAATGCAGTCCTACGATGACCATCGTCAAAGAACGCATCGATAGCTTTGAGGTCAGGCGTGTACACTGCGTCAGTGGGCTGGGGCGACCACCGAGGAAACATCTCGCTCTTGTTCATCTCAAAGCATTCCCATACTATCTGAGTCTTGGTGAAATGGAGGACTCTTGGTGACAGAATACGCTCCTGGAATACCCAGCCGCGATCGGTAAGTGAACCTTGTGTTAATCGCTGCATATGATGCTGGTCCCAAAGATCAAATCCTCTGGGGTTGCCATCGGCGAACTGAACCTTGATGTGCCCTATAAGTGTTTCCTGGGCGGTTCGTAGGCGAAATAACCCTTCATCGGGGCCTTCAGAAGCAGTTGCAGAGATGGTGCAGGCGGAGTTGGCATAGACGAGGTGCATCTGGAGTGATTCTCGGGCCCAATCCTCCGGCGAATCTTGAATGATGCACAGCGAGTCAATCCAGAGGTACCTAATAGAGAACCGACGTGCAACAATGATGGCTTCTCTGAATGTCTTTGGGAATTGAGCTATCGATGTACCTTTCCGAAAGACTTCAACATTAGAGCTCAACAGTCTAATGGAAGGGATTTTAGCCCATCGGTAACTCAGAGTCATATACTCCGGAGGATCTGTGATATCTTGTGGGTAAAGACAAAGCTTCCAGGTATCACCAGAGCTAATGTCGATGAGTCGCGACGGGGCAAACTTTGGAGAAGACCGCAATCGTTGACACAATTTGTGCGAGTCGCTACATGCCTTGTGCCACTCGGAAGCCAGTTGGTGGACTTCCTCTGATGAGGTACTGGTCTGAAAGTCCGCGGTCCGTTCTTGCAGCATCGAAGACTGCTCATCTAAGCACCTTAGTGATTGTACGATACTTGATGGGATGGCAAGTCAACAAACCTTGACATGGAAGGAAGCAAAACACATTTCCTTTGTACTTGAAACTAACCTGCGGGTCCATTTCGAACTCTAGGTATCTCATGTGCCAATAGATAGCTCCGTACCAACGTGGTGCCCAAGGTCGTCGTCCTAGGCTGCAGTCTAAGGGTACCCAGATATCAGGTTCGTCGGACCAGCTTTTGATGGAGGCGTCTGCAACGGAGTCCCAAAGTTTCGCACATATATAGCATCCATTGTCCATGGCCTGCTTGAAGCTAGAGAAAGTGCTGTGGTGCTGGCAATCAGTGTGGAGGGTATTCTCCACTGCTTCCAAACCTGTTTGCAACATGTCGAAACAGACATCGCAAAGCTTGCTTGGTGTCACCATCTCGCTCATTGATTCGATGACAGTGCTAACTGAAGGATGTAATAAATCGCGTTCTACTTCGATGAAAAAAGGAAATGGCTGATGTCCGCTGCTCAAGCAATCAATCCTAGCTAAGTAGATCGCCTCGTTGCGAGGCAGATCGAATGTGAAGCGGGGTTGAGGCTGATCTCAAGGCAGAATTACAATATCGGCGCCTTACTCATAGTAATTTGAGCAATGTCTACTTGTAACAAATCACTCTTCGGGTTCGAGCAATTCATCTTTGTTTCCTTCAAGCATAATACAGTCACCATAGCTAGTGACTGTACCCTCTGTCATCCAATCTTTCCAAACTGGTTGATGCGCTTTATTTTCCGAACATTCACAAGCAGCAAACATCCAAGCAGTTGCTCAGTGGACAATCGAGGAAGCTTAGGGGAAAGAGGAAGATTACCTTCTACTGTGCAAGCCGACATATTCACTCTTTTTGTCTAAATACTTGATCTCCTGGCTAGATAGAGAGCTTGACGTTCAGTCTTCGCCTCGCAACCCACGTTACCCGTCGGTGGTGGGTCGTCAACCGTAAGCCAGTAAGCCAAAACAGCAGAAGCCACTGAAAGAAAAATAAGCCAGCGGATAAGCCAGGCCAATGACGTCTTTTTATGCAGTGTAACGCAGGAAAATCTTAAACGCCGCTTATCTCCCACCAAAGTTATGTCCGTCACCGCACAGCGACCTTCAGTAGTGGACGCCAACACCCGGAGATAGGCTGCAATTGCCGGAGTGGATCACAACGTGCATGCGATAAAGTTGACAACTTCCCGATTTCGTCAATGCTTCTTGTAAATCCCCGTTCTCTACTGGACAGCCTCATGATGGTATGGGGCTGAGTAGGAATGGCGTGCCATAGTTTTCGTATCAAACTCCGCCGTTTGAAGTGTAAAGAAGAGCAAAACGTAGCCCTATACAAACGATGAATCTTATTTAAATCGTCGTCTTTCCCCTTAGCCAGGACTTTTGAACCATTGACATCTCATCAAGTTTCTCTGATAATTACACTACTGAAACTCACCTTTACCACTTATACAACACATTGATTTCAACATGGCCCGAGTCTGGTTCGTCACTGGTTCTTCTCGAGGAGTTGGCCGCGCCTTGGCCGAAAAGATCCTCGAGTCAGGCGACGTCGTCGTCGCAACTGCTCGCAACCCATCTCAGCTCGACGACATTGTCGCCAAGTATGGATCCGATAAGATTCTTGCAACCGCTCTTGACGTAACAGACTTTGACCAAGCCAACGAAGCAGCCAAAGAAGCTGTCGATAAGTTTGGCCGCATCGACGTGGTCGTCAACAACGCCGGATACGCAGACATGGCATCCATCGAAGATGCAGACATCAAAGGCTTCCGCGAGCAGGTTGACGTCAACCTCTTCGGAGTTGTCAACGTTACAAAGGCCATCGTTCCTATCATGCGCAAACAAAAATCCGGCCACTTTATCCAAGTGTCAAGTGTTGGAGGTCGCGTCGGTACACCAGGAGCAGCAGCTTACCAGAGTGCCAAGTGGGCCGTTGGTGGATTTTCAACCGTTCTATCACAGGAAGTGGCCCCCTTTGGTATCAAGGTCACCGTTGCCGAACCTGGTGGTATCAAAACTGACTGGGCCAACATCGCCACTGAGACGGCCAAGGTCAGCGAGCCTTATGAGCAGACTGTCGGCCAGATGATTCAGCTGGTCAAGGGACATTCAACGTGGACGGAGGCGTCTGAGATCGCTAGAGCTATTATTCACCTTTCGAATGTGGAGGATCCACCATTGAGAATCATCTTGGGCAAGGATGCGCTCCAATATGCTCATATGGCGGCCAAGGCACTTGCTGACTCTGACGAGAAGTGGGACAGTGTCTCAAAGCTGGAGTTCTGATATGACAGCTGTGATATAGCGATGCTTGGACAGACATGCTGAATTCTTTTGTACGATAGTTAAATTGATGGTCCTTATTTTTATCTTAACTCACATCCATTTCACACCGAATTCACGATGAACGAATGTCTTCTCATCCGGCTGCTTCATCACATCATTGGTACTTTGAGGTCATGACATCCAGTGCCGCTGCAGAATGTCACATATCACAACAAGCAAGGGTATGTCCATGTCCAAATGCAGATGTGAATGTCTTCGTTGGTTGGCTGATCAATTGGATGCTGGTTCCACCACCAGACCCATACATTTATGCAGGAACATCGAATGTAATGGCAATCGAAAAGAGAGGTTCGATCGCATTCTGCCAAAGTCTTACTGGATTTATTGAACCGCAGATTCATTTCCACGAAGCCGGTTTCATCCGCTCAAGTCTCATACAAGCTCGGTTATCAAAGTCCGCTGGGGTCTTATCTTAGCGTCTCTCGCTGACTTATCGGGTCTCTCCGGTTCGCTAAATCAGATCCGCCAGCGAACTTGAACATTGCGTCACACGACCATCAACAATTCAACTTCATTTTCACAACTCAACAATGATGTCCAGAAGTCGAGAAGCAAGGAGTATTGTCGCTTCGCTGCGCAGGCCACATGTGCTGCGACCAGTCAGCCCTGCATTGGCGCGTCCCAATGTCAGCAGCTTCCATACAACAACGCCAAGAAAAACAGATGGCGTATTTCAGGGCCTCGAGGATAAGAGGCAGCCGATGCCGTGGATAGAGGCCTTCGAGCGTCAGCAAAAGGGTCTCCCGGCTCATAAGTCCGATGACTATCCCAAGGAACGCGATTTGACCCCCAAGAAAATGAGCGACAGCTATCATCGCGTCGTGCTTCCTCTCAAGAAAGACCCTTGGTTGTCAGATACTTATGTCAACTCTTCGGGTCACATACGGCAAGCACATCAATTGAACCGGTTTCAAGCATTGAACTAACATCTATGATAGACTTGGAACATTATTTATGGATCTTGATGCACTCTCTGGAATCATCGTCTACAAACATACCGGCCCTGGAGTTACTACAGTGACCGCCGCTCTGGACCGTATCACAATAGCGCATCCACTCACCGAAATTTGTGATCTTGAGTATAGCGGTCAAGTCACTTATGCCTCTGGAAGGAGTAGTGTTGAAATCACCTGCAAAGTCGCCAAGGCCAGAGAAGAAGGCGAACCTAGCAAGCCAGAGGATGTCCTTCTGACATGCACCTTCACCATGGTCGCCTTAGATCCCAACACAAGAAAGCCAGTCAATATCCCCAAGCTGGTCCCCACCAATGAGGAGGAAGAGAAGATCTTCAAGGCTGGAGAGGCGAAATCGCTGTCCAAGAAGGAAAACTCCAAGGCCTCGCTCCTCCAAACTGAGCCCAACGATGCCGAATCTGCTCTGATTCATCAGATTTGGTTGCGGCAACTTGCGTACCATGACCCCAACAATGACCTTCGCCAACCTTCCAACGTCGTCGCTATGTCCAAGACCCAGCTTTCGACAGCTGCGATCATGCAACCTCAATACCGAAATCGTCATCAGACCATGATTTTCGGTGGTTTCCACTTAAAACAAACCTTTGAGCTTGCGTTCTGTTGTGCGGCCAGTTTTGCTCATGCCCGACCGACCTTCATCAGCGCTGATCCTTGCACGTTCCGAAATCCAGTTCCAGTCGGTAGTGTTCTGTACCTGACCGCTACTGTTGCATACACTGATCCCCCCCTGCTGGAGGAAGACGGCACTGAGCCTGGCTTCCCAGACCCCGAGAAGCCCATGACCCGTGTGCATGTCCGTGTTGACAGCAAGGTCCGTGACGTTGAGCATGGTGTTGCAAAACCAACTGGTCAGTTCAATTATACATTCTCCGTGCCCAAAGATCTGAAGGTCTTGCCGCATACGTATGAGGAGTACATGGTGTATATTGATGCTAGGAGACGTGTTTCGCTGGGTGATAGTCAGCGAAAGGAAGAGTCTAAGGCTTTCTCGGAGAAGAGGCCTGAAGCCACGGATAATGTCAACTTGATTGGATAAGGGATATTGGTGCTCATGTGAGCTGCCAACCAGCAAGCCTAGAAAGACTGGGATCCGAGGGAGAACAAGGAAGCTGGTAAGAATACCTGAGGAGAGGATGCAATCCTTATGTCCGAGTCTTAATACCGACGTGAGAACTCTTGTTATTAGTATAGTAAGAAGCCCAAAATGGATTACATTACTTCCACGTGCGATAAAACCGTTAACTCCGGGCTGGAGCACTACTTTTGGTCGAGACTTTGAACGGGACATTCACCTTTTCACAAATACACTCTCGAGATTCAGATTATCATATCGTGAACACGCCTACAACTACTAAGATGGCACTCTCAAGAGAGGAACGACTGCAGCTCGCAGCTATTGATCCCGAGCTGAACGATGTAAGTCTCCAACATCCACATAGATGGACTTCAAGCTGATCGGGCCCAGTACCTCAAAACAATAAATATTCCCCAAATTGACACTTCTGATCCAACGAAGGCGATCACAAGTTTGAGATGGTATATGAAAAGCCTGCATAAGCTGCCCGATCCAGAGAGCGGTGTTGCTGAGCGCGATATCCATTACACTGCAAGAGATGGGCACAAGTTGCGTGCTCACGTTTACGAGCCAGCTGAAAGGTCCGAGTCACCTCCACCGTTGGTTGTTTATATCCATGGCGGTGGGTGGACTATCGGATCCCCAGAAGATGCTCAGCGCTCGTGTCGTGATATTGTACAAAAGCTAGGGGTCGTTTGTCTGGCGCCTTCTTATCGTCAAGGACCTGAAGACCCATTTCCAGCTGGCATAAACGATATCTGGGACAGCTTGAAATGGATTGCTGCGAATGCAGAGTCTGAACTGAAGGTCTCACTATCGAAGGGTCTTATCATTGGTGGTTCATCAGCTGGTGGAAACATGGCTGCGATAGCCAGCCATCTGGCCCGAGATGATAAGCTTACTCCTGCGATAACTGGCGTCTTTCTGCTCGCTCCAATGATACTGCCACCAGAGAAGGAAGAAGCGCTGCCTGAGAAGTACAAGGGCCTTTATTTGTCTCGAACTCAAGCTGAGTGCAAGAACGATCCCATTCTCACGCCAGCCTTGGACAAGATATTCCACGACTCTGCAGCTGGAGATATGTCGTCGCCGCTCTTTGTCCCATTCATCTGGCCAACGGGTCACCAGGACTTACCTAGGACGTATTTCCAAGTTTGTGGAATGGATGTCCTTCGTGACGAGGCCTTGATCTACGAGCAAGTGTTACGTGAGGATAATGGGATTGAGACTCGGCTGGATATTTATCCTGGAATGCCTCATATCTTTTGGGGTGCTTTTGCGCATTTGAGCCAAGGGAAGAAAGCAGCTGTAGATCTTGTTAAAGGCATCAAGTGGCTTCTAAAGTGATAAGTCGGTCACTTGGCCTTGAATGCTGTGAAGTAGTATCTTATTCGACGTTCATAGGCTCTTATGATCTTATCCTGGCTAGGGAGGAAAGAAAACTCAGGAGCTTGACCCTAAGCAATGAAAATATTCAGGTAGATCTAGCCTATGCTTAGGTGACTCTTTTCTGAGTTTATTTTAACACCCTTTTCTAAAGGTCCGATTTTTCGTTGCTCCCTGAGGTCTGGTATATCGAAGAATCTCCCGAGACTCATCATTCTCCTCCATGTCCCTTGTCACTATACCTTCTCACTCTCTTGCTTCTTCTCCGCCGCTATCTGTACCAACACTTCCGATGACTCCTCCTCCCGACCAAGAGGCACAAAGATATGATCATGATAGAAACCACTAACTGGGTTACAACCAATTCCATTTGCCGCTAGTCTTGTCGAGATGACCGCCATGAATCCGACAGCTTCCAAGCTCGACGTGACATTGAGAGTGATCATTTTGCAGGGGAAGAAGTATTCGATCTTGTGTGACTCTGCGTATTCCTTACTGGTAATCACCGTGATGCCTTCAGATTCCTTGAAGATCATTTGAGTTTCGGATAGGGGTGGTAAGTTGGAGGTGTCGGTGAGCGTGGCGAAGACGTATGTGGTTGGATGGACTGTATGGGTGAGAGTTGAGAGGAGCTTGCTGAGCGAGAGCTCGCCAGGGTCGTTGGCCATGAGCGACATGATTGTGCACTTCAGAGAGACACTGTATCTATTGGCGACTAAACAGAACTTTTACTGAAGTACTCCGAAGCAACAGAGCAGACGTCTTTCAACGGTTTTGTATGTATTTTGATGGTGGAGGACAAAATGCGCATGCGGTCAATTGCAGGGCGCGCTTACAGAGCTAATGACGTCACTTCAGCCTTATTACTGTCAATGGTCAAGATTTTCAAGCATGTGTTGAACATTGACTATGCTAAACGAGTGATCTAAGTAGACACTTAAAACTCAATATAATTTTCACCTTGAGCAAGCATGCTGAGATAGGATTAAGCTCAAGCACCCTGGATACCGCTGGCCCCATGCTCAGCCTTGGCCTTGTTGAATGCATCAATAGCGGCACCAGTCTTGATAACAGCAGATGGTGCATCGAGAGGAGGTAAGACGAGTTCGACCAACTGTATTTCATCAGCAACGTCTCTATATCAAAGTGTAATATGGTGAAGTCTTACCTCAAGGCAGCCTACATTGCCAAAGTTAGGATCTTGAAGGAGTGTAGATAGCTCTCCGCAAGTCTTGATAGGCCCATGGTACTTAGATTCGAATGCCGGCCCGAAAGTCTTGCCGAGCTTGGAATAGTCTAGAACTGCGACCTCATTATAGAAGGCTTCCTTGCCGTGGATGAGACGCTCGACTGTATATCCGCCTTTGTTGAGCACGAATCTGGGTCATGTGAGCCAATGCTAAAGACGGTCGTCAGAACTGAGACGATGGTACTTACATGATTGGCTTGAGGTCCCAACGCAGCATATCTGCCATAGCCTGGATAGTGAGGTGCATGGAGCCCTCTCCAGTGACGAGGACAGGCCTCTTCCATTTCCCTTCGCTCTCCTTGATAGCCTGACCAACTCCAACAATGGCGCCAGTTGCATACCCAATGCTTCCATATACGGTTTGGTTGAACATCATCACACCGCTGGGGAGTTTGGTGTCGCACAGGCCGAAAGCGGAGGTACCGGTCTCACCAATGATGATATCTCCGGGTCGAAAGAAGGAGCTTAGTGCCTATGCCCGTCAGTATCAGCTTTCACTAGAACATACCAGGGAGTGACCTACGCCCCAGAGAAAATCTTGCTTGAGCTCATCGCCGGCTTGAAAGCTGAACTTTGGATAAGGATCCCAAGTGACGTGTCGTGAAGCAATAGAAACTGGATTCGAACGAAGAGAATAGACGAGGCGTTGAAGAACCTGAGAGAGTTAACAGGCTTTGTCAAAAGAGACTATAAGCTATACTCACATGCTTCATTGAGACCGGGTACTGGGTCTTGCCAATAGAGACCGTGAAACGTTGGAGGTCAATCACAATGGCATCCTGGTTTACAACAGTCGTAAACTCGCCCGTGTTGAAATCGGAAGGATAATTTCCGATCCAAATGACCGTGTCAACAGATTCAAGTGCCTCTTTGACTGCGGGCAGAGTGCCAGCGCCGGAGTGGACACCTGCGAACTGGGGAATGGCTTCATCAAGAACTCCTTTTCCCATTGCGGTGGTAAAGGTTGGGAGGTTGGTCAACTTGATCAACTCATGCGATTCTTCAAGGACACCGTTGCGCACAGCACCTACAGAGAGTTAGTGTGATCTGTTGCACAACTGGGAGTTACGACTTGCCTCCATCAACAATAATAGCTGGGTTATTCGATCTCTCCATCAACTTTCTGATTCCTTCAACAACAGTCTCCTCGAAAGTTGGATCGTTGGGGGGCAGCGCAGTAGAGATAGGGACGTTGAGACCTTCAGCGTCGATCATTTCGTACGCAATATCAACGCTGAGTCCTATATAGACAGGCCGGCTCTCACGCATCATAGTAGTAAGCGATTCATCGATCTCCCGGGCAGCAGTAGGCGCATAGTTGATCACAACAGTCGCAGCGGTGATGTGCTTAGCCATGTTCTCGTACATGTCGAATTTCCCGTTGCCAAGACTATGATGCATGATTCTCTTGTTGTGAACAGCATCGACAGTTGGGTAGCCAACAATATGCACAACAGGAACAAATTCCGCGTAGTGACCAGCCATACCGCAATAGGCGGAGAGTTCACCGGGACCAAAGGTGGTGACAAAGGCTCCCGCACCACGGACACGAGCATAGCCATCTGCTGCGTAAGAAGAGATGAGTTCATTGGGATTGCCTTTCCAGGCGAGGTCGTTGTCAGTGACGAGATCCAGGAGGGCGAGCTCGTAGTCTCCTGGGACACCAAAAACTGAGCGGATGCCGAGCTCGTGAAGACGGCGGAAGAGGTAGTCACCAACTTTGATCTGAGGCATGGTGGATGATGCAGTGAATTCCTGGTTCGATAGGAAGTGAAGTATCGAGTATAGTAAATGTATTGAGTAAGACTGTTGGGAAAGATGTGTTGCTCTGGCATTTCTGAGGGATCAAGCAGACATATTTATACTCGTATTTCGTTATCAAGGATGCCGTTGTGTTAAGGGCTGATGCCGTTGTAACCGCTTGTCGGACGAGAAGCATTGAAAATGGTTGTTCTGTACACCATGGCTGCTTATGTCGCATCATGATGGATGGTGCGGAATTAGAGCCCTCCAAGAGAAAATAGAATGCAACATATGGTTCTGCCATATCAGCCGTGCTCGTGCAGAGTAAGGTAGCATTGAGGCGCTGTGTTCCGCTCGGAGCCGTCAGTATAGTGAGCCGCAAGTGCCGTGCCAAGGTTCAGCAGACTTAGTGGCTTGCCCGCCGTTGGGGCAACGGTGACGGCCAAAAATATCCGCTGGTCCATGGCCCTGGTGCTTAGCAATTTTCACATCTGACATGCATTCAAGCTGATAAGGGATGACTGTCAAAATGTTAACCCCAAATTGTCCTTGTGTTGTTTTTGCTCACGATACTTCACCGACCTGGCTTATAGGTCACCCATTGTCGGGGACATCGCCTTGATAAGTGTAGGCTAAGAACATCTCGGCGACCCTCGTGACTAGTATTATAAAATTCGCTAAATGCTCTTTATGATGTTTAGGCATAGGAAACGCCAGAGCCCAATTGAAAGACAAGACAATGTGTGGATATGAAGGTCAAGTCAAGAATTATCGTATACGGCAGTGGAAAATAGTGACGGGGGAAGCACAGTATTTCGAAGAATTTCAGGGCCGGTGGGGTAGCCTAGGCTAGGGCTGCGGTGATACGCGGTAATAATTGATGGTTGCATTGCGGGCTAAACAAACATGCAATGACATTCCATCAAAGCCATCTATGTCACACTGCAACGAGGAAGCGGAATAAAACCGCGATCAGGCCAGAGATAATGCGAGTAAAGAGATCTTGGTATTGGAAATACTTGGAAAGCTTTATCTGTGTAACATAAGGCTGCCAATTCATGGACGTGAAATGACGAAGTCCTGCATAAGATGTCGGGTTCCCCGAAGTTGAGTGTGCCCATTGCAAAGAACCCGAGTCTCAACCGCCGCTAACTACATAAAAGAATGATGTACCTACAGACCAATAAGCATCCTTAGTCAAGGGCCAAGAAGAAGCACTTCACGCGGTATTATTATGAACTTTACTATACGTCGTGTTATTTGAAGCTCTTACTTACTGTCTTCTCGGTGAATTTCATCTAAGCTATTAACTATGGATGGCGGCGGGCTATAAGGTTAAGATGGCATCGCAGCTAATGTCGGGGGCCTCTAACCTCCGAGTTAAGACAATCTCCCGGGGTAGAAACACCTATTGCTTTCTGTCCATCATTAACGTTATTATCGCGCCCTACTTGCTCAATCCGCAGGAGGCGAATCTTCAAGGTAAGACAGTTTTTCCTGCTCCTCGCTTGGACTTACTTTAGGTTGCCTGAGGTCAAGGGGATGACGACTGAAACTCCCCATCATCGGTTCTATTACAAGGTTTCAGCTAGAAAGTTTCTGGAGGCTTCAAAGCATTACCAGTAAATCTAAGATATTATTTATCTATAATAACACTCTTGATTATAATTTGGCTTCCTAGGAAGTGGCAGAAAGCCCTTGGGGCTTGACGAAGAAGAAATGGCTTCCATCCTCGCGATGCAAGCGAGTGAGAAGAGACATGATCCTTCCGGGGACGCCAGCAGATGGCCGAGTAATCATGTAATAGCCGTTATTAGCTTGTCTAAAAAGTCCACTAATAAACTTAAACGAGTACCGGTTGTTGCCAGGTTCTCGTGGCTTGATGGACCAAGTGCAAGTAGGTCGTGCGAAAGGTTCGAGAGCCAAACCATGTCGTCCGCCAGGGCACACAATACCACGCTGTCCAACCTGGTTAATAGCAACGGGGTAACCTCTAAGAGGGTCGAAGTTCTCGAGGTTGATAGGGGGCCAGGGGTCCATTCGCCATTCAACAGGAGTACGTCTGTTTACACTGATGCGGGTTTGGGTAGCACCGACATCCTCAGCAGCGGCATAGGTATCCTGATTAGTCTCCCAAAAGAATGGATGGGAGCTGGCAGGATCGAGCAAGATCGTCTCAGCGAGTCTGATTGTTTCATTTCCGATGAATCGGATAAAGTTACGTTCCTGATCAAGTATTTGGCGGATATGTCGATCGATGGCACGCTGCCCTTCATCGAATCTGACATTCTGTGCTCCATGAGCAATTTGAAGAAGGTCGATGCCCTTAGAGACGGTGATCCAATAGTCAAGTACCTTTACACGTGTTAGTTGTAGTTCATCGTTTTAGACTATTTATACTTACAACTGTCTTTGATCTACTATAGTAGCCCACCAGGTCAGGGGACTCGTTCCAGGCTTGCTCGGAGAGCTGCCGCATAAAGGCTCTCTGACCATTGGCATTCAAGAAATTGTGAATCTGGGTGAGCCATCCCGGGATGTTATCGGCGCATGCTTGGAGTCTGTCGTCGAGCCGCTCTTGCAGGCTGCTTATTAGACGCTCATTCTCTGACTCGGTGAGATTTCGCTCAGAGATGTCATAAGCAGTATCTATAATATCCGCGACAGTCTTGTAGTGAGCCTGAATCTGAGCCATTGGCTGGTTCAATGTGTCGAGACGTATCGATATGATACCATTGGAGAGGGTGTCGGCGAGATCGTCTATAGATGACTGGATGATTTGCATCTCTCGCACGACTCCGTAGATGTCGGCTCTGGTGACTTTGGCATTAGGATCTGAAGTCAGATGGTCAAGAAACCGGCCAGCTGCCCAGCTACCTGTCTCGGAGATGACCCATGATATTCCGCTTGAGACAAGAGCCTTACCCGCAGACAGGAGGAGAAAGCTGGCCGCGATGGTAGCCATGTTGTGCAGAAAGCTTCATATAACCTGTAGCAAACAGCGTGCTAAGAGGGATTTCTGGTGTTTGTCGCTTGTTAGTGGTTTGCCAGTGAGAGAGATCTATGGGATCTTTATACTCATTTTTGTTGGGGGCTACATTTTGTTTTTGTTGATTGTTTATTGCTCGGTATTGAGGCCAATTGCTCACTTGGATCACAAGGTTTAACGCAGCAGCTCTACGACCTTCTGAGCTTGACATCAAGGTTCATATGTCCTTTGGCGTTATACATGACGCCTCATATTATGTCATAGTAAACATAAGCATGTTATTGTATAATCAGATTATTTAATGCCTCAATCGGCTATACCTCGCGTATTGCTTTAGGGACACTTTGACTTTTTGGTACTTATTTTTGTATGTTTTCGACCGAGTGTCACGATCTCGCTATTCCTCTATCTATTCTGCTCTCATGGTCTTCGAGCTCGAATCTCATGACTTATTTTGTTCTGGTACCCAGGCACCTAAGGAAACATTCTAGATGGACTCTCAGTCTAGCAGCACAGTCTGCATACAATATCACAAGCGAGACATATGTCTGGTTCCCTCTCATATCTTGGCAGGACAACGAGTTTGTATGTTGTAGTTCATATCGTTCATCTACGGAAAGCTCCAACATCTCAACTTAAAAAGACATAACCGTAAGAGCTTAGCCAAGTGTAATCAAAGTGAGACCAGCGATTGTCAGCTCCAAAGCTCTATAGCCTAGTGCGAAATCAGCCGCAGAACATACCGATAGATTTTGTCGCGCCTAATAGAATTAAGAAAGAAGTGACGGTATGCAAGCAATCAAGATCTGGCTATGGATATTCTAGCATCCACGTGGAACCCCTGGCATTGAAAAGACCCGAGGCAATGGTCTCCTCGTGATCAGCCCAACGGCTGCTGCCGATCAGCAAGGACCAGGCACAGGGTCGAGATCGGCATACAGCCACCATTCGTATTGCTACTTTATTTAAAGGTCAGTTATATTATGTTTCTTGCCTTTCTCTGGCTATTTCTATGATAAGAATTGTGATATTCCCAGCTGAGAGCGGTGATATCCAGGCCAGCAGTGCGGGAACAACAAACCTTGAGCCAGGTGGCCATCCCAATGCAACCACCGTATTATATTCTCACTGATGTATCCTTTCTGTTCTATACTCGTCTTAAGAATATACTCTATTTTGTTTTGTCCAATCTGTTTGACGGAGCGGACATTGAGCAGACTAACATTCCGGGCACCGGATTTAGGCTCTGCATGCCTGCTAGACTGTCACTGCCAGTGTCAAGATCTAGATGCAGTTTCATTCTTTAGGGAAAGAGTTTCATAATGCATTTTCATAACCAGGATATAACCGCTGTATGAACTTTCATATCTCACCTCTTATAAGATTACCAATAACTTTTAACTTTGTAGCAAGTCAAGAAGCCACCGAGGCAACGTAACGTTCACGGCATAGATAACAAATATATCTTGGCATAATAGAGAGTCTAGCTAATTTCTATACAAACTATACTTCCTCTTGTTGATATCTCGCATGTCTTACAGTGTGCTCTGAGGTCGGGGAAAGGTTACAGGATAATGAGGAAGAGATAACATGAGATAACATATCTTATCTTATCAGAGTTTATCAGAGATAAGTGTTTCTTAAAACGGTGATTTCGTGAGACAACGTTATCGGGTAGACTTACCCTAGGCCTACGATTCTAATCACTCAGGCTCTTGCAATTCTCTTCTTCTGTTACTTATCAGAACCAAGATTATCCTGTTGCTCGTGGACGAGTATTAATATCTTTTAGAGTGAACTAAAAGTGAATTGCGCAATGGATTATATCTTTTACTTATACCTGTTTGTTTGTGAATTACAAAGCGTCGGGAAACATAATGTTCCATTTTGTGCTCATTCAAGCAAAGCTCGAACCATTGAAAACACTTATGCCTGCACATAGCCTTATGTGACATATAAAGCACTCATTTCAAAGCTCTAGTACCCCGGTTTAGGGTACTTT